TCTCCTTTTCTGTCACTTTGCGATGGCCTCCTAATTGGCCGTGTTGATTTTTCTAAGCGCGCCTCATAATCTTCTGACCTCGCGAATGGTAGGTATAACAGAGTGGTATTATGGGAGTACGCGCCGAGGTCGTATCAACGGTTCATCCTGTGTTGCCGGTCCGTGTATCCTTATTCGGCAAGAAACAAACAAATCCCCCATGGCGGCCACAAACGATTCGGGATGTCTTAGGCTCCATGGATCCTTGACATGGCATCTTGGGACGAAATTTGTGATACCCTCCTCTGTGATAGTCTCTCATGCCCTGGGCTCATCAACCAGCAGTGATGAGTCTTTCTGCCAGAAAAATATTCATGCATCGAATGTTGAAGATATATTGACGAAAATTCGTTGAATGTTATCGAAAGTGCGATAAGCCCACAAATCAACAGCGCTTCTGGACGTCATCATGCCGATGTTCTCCTTTTCTGCCTCTTCCGCGTCGACACGTGTGTATACCGCTGCTGGTGTTGTCTTCGCACATGTCGGGGATGCAATGGATTTGATGCCATCGATGCAGCGAGGTTGCTATCATATCCAGCCACGAAAGTCCATTGGCTCGACGAGAGCCTCCAGCTCAACGGGAAGATGCGTGGACTGCAGGCCAGGGTGTCGTTCGTGCACGATCCTGTGAAACGTGGTGTAGAGCTGGGATGTGTACACAAGTGTCCGCGAATAACGTCTGAGAATATGCATGTGGCTTGCAAAAGGATGGCCCCTCTTGCACTTCCGAAGCCTCTCGATGCAAACAAAGTACCGAATTGCTGTACTTCGTAAAAGCGTCCGCTTCTCGTGCATACGGAAAGTGAAAACAGAGTGTTTGGCAAGAAGTCGGTGTACAGACCGCTTCAATCTGTGCGGCGCGAGGGCAAGGACATTGATAACCCTGATGGATATCGGCGTGCGATATGGGAGGAGGGCTTGGGTTGGTGAAAATTCTGCAAATTGAGTTCAAGGAGAAGCATGGGAGTTTGGAGTTTGAAAGAAAGCGGCAGAACAAAAGTTGGAGTTTCCTTTTTCGGTCTCGAGTACGATCTGCTTCGGACCAACGGCGGGAGGAGGGCGTGCCGTTGACGGTTGCCATTTGAAAGTGTATCCAAATTCCATGGCACATTTATCGTTGAACCATGGAGGAGGAGATTTGATATGGACTGGGGTTGTGGACATGGTGCAAACGAGACGAGCGGCGAGAGACGAGCAGATTGACGAAGCGTTGAGCCTCATCGCCTGAGGAAGAGGCTCTTTCTATCCGGGTTAGGAAATGCTGGATTTGGTTGGTTTGCTTTTCCCAAAGCAAGCATGAACTTCATGGCATTCGAGCTCGATGCAAGACAGACAAATGGCGAACAAGCAGTTCCGTCGATCAACGGTCTCTTCCTGCAGCGGTGGATGCCGTCACGAAGGGACTGCAACGGGATGGCAACCTACATGATACATTATCGTTCGCTTGCACGTTGAACGATGCAGCACCACAACTGACAGGATTCTTAGGAATTGCATTAGGTGCCGCAATGCATCGATTAGCTTGCGATTCCTTGGGGCAATCTTCCCAATTGATGATTCCTAACGCTACTGCGACCGCTGAAATGCACCCTCAAGCGACATGAACCACTGGCTTGGAGAGGGCTTTTGTTGGTAGCGTAGCTTTCAGTGCGCTTTACCTGGAGTCTTCTGGAGACAGATTAGGAATCCCTCCTTTGTCACTGTCCGCGGTCACATATTGCTGTTACTTCGTATGTTGATTGGAATAATAATTCCAACTCTTTCTCTGACTACAGTGGACTGCGGCGCAATCCGTTTATCTATGCCGCTCAGTACTAGCCTAGCAAGATCAACCGACTCAGAACAGAGGCGTTTGCAAGTGTGTAAGATCAGAGTCGGAGGCGCGTGATGGTTGCAAGCAAAGCATGGGAGGAAGACTGACCGATGGGGCCGCTGAGAAGAGTGCAAGTCGTAAACCAAGGTTAGAATTTGCAGGCACCGAGGAGTGAAGCCTTTGCTGCTGATTGAAAGACTCAAGCCAGGACGAGCAGCCGGCTGGATAAAAGAAGAAATATGCCGTCTAAAGGAAAACAGAACAGAACACTTGACTTCTGGGTCCTCCGCTTTCCAGACTCCAAATCGAGTACATTCCGAAAGTCCTCAAGGGTAAAGGTTTGTACGATGATCTATTCTTACCGCCATGTGGTTGGTAAGAAATTCACTGAGGGTGTGCTCGAATTCGGTCAATATTCAAATTTGGCAACCAATCTATCGCGCTACCTTGGGAAGGTGTCAGACGTCGTGGAAACCATGTTGAAGAGAAGCGGCCCCAGACCCCGCTCACTCGTCTGATTCGAGACGACCCCAAGTTTGGATTTGAGGTCATCATGAGATGTGTGAGTGAGTGAGCCAGCCTCGTCGTCGTACACTCAATGAAGCCGTGGTTGGGGCCAGCTCTTTGGTGTTTCCACCCACTCTTTATGACCCCTCAATCCGTCTATATCAGCTCTCATGCCCTTCCCCTCTCTAATTCCTGCCCCCTTCAACGTCGACCCCTCTGCACTGCAACTTCCTGCTTGTGCTCGTGGTTTGTATCACCCACCGTGTCGCCGGACTGCACCACCCTTGGGGCCAAACTAGATAAGGTCGTCTAATTGTGCAATTCCCGTCATCCTCAATCTATCCTCTTCTGTTGCTGCTGCGCTCTTCGTCTCTGCCTGGACCGTCACCGTGGAAAGAAGTGCAGCCTCTTCCAAAATAGCTCCTCTCCCAGACGGACCTTTACGTGCGGCATCGTCGCTGCATCTTACCTAAGAAGTGCAGAGCGAACCACGGTTTACACCCGAGACGCGTGCATTTCAGCCCGTACTCCGTTCTCTGTTTGCACGTACTGTACCAGGAAGATATTAGCCTGGACGCATGAGAAGGGCACCACCAGTCATCAACCACTGCGAGGAACCGGATCTCTGTCCTTCGTGGAAAGCAATTGACGAGTGGTGCAAGCAGTGCGACCCCTCCACGAGATTCTAGGGCACCTTGGGACCGAATGAGATGCGCAGATATATCGACTTGTGTCCCTGATTCAGAACCTCCGGAGCCCAACAGAGGATTGAAAAGGAGCCAGACAATAGAGGATACGACAGCTTCAACGAACAACAATATCGACCACGGAGTAGGCCAAGGGCGACCGCAGCATCATCATTGCCATTGCGAACAACCAGAGCCAACCCCCTCTTCAGCGGTACCAGCATTATTTGCCCCTCTATCACGAGACCCGTCCAGCTTCTTCACCTCCCCCACCGGTGCAACCGGCTCATCGTTACTTTGTCCCTCCATACGATAGCATCAACCTTCATCTTTAACTTTGCGACCAGTCTCGACTTCCAGCCTTTGCTACACGGTCCGCCTTTCATCTACCGTACTCATTAGGTGAGTACGAAGGTTGCGATTTGTCGCCTATCGTTTCTTCCATCCCAGGATCCCAGGCTTCTTCCTCCCCTCACTTCGACCACTCTGCGCACCCAACAACAACATCATCCATTTCATTCGACAACACCAGGCCCAAAGCTGCAATAACAGGTCCTCGCCACGCTGAGACCACGACTACGAGAAACGCAATCGCCGAATCAATCTGTACTCGGCCAAGCCAATCGCGCATCGCCGTCGCATTGTTGGAAACATCGCCATCGCAACCTCAGCTACTGTATTGACATACGAAGCGCTCCATCAGCACTCCATATTTCACTTCGGCCTCTGCGCTCTCCGTCTCTCGCAACTCACGAACCATAGAATCGGCCCCGTTTTTACCAAAGACGCGGACTTGTCAGTTGGCGGCGCGCGGCAACGTTCCTAGCCTTCCCCGTCTCCGTCTTCCCCCCAGGTCCAGGAACCTCCTCGTCCTCGTCGCCGGCATCATTGTCACTTTAATCAATTTCAAGATTGTGCGCCAGGAAGGTTCTTCACCGTCCGAGTGTCTTGTCTTGCTCCAATTTCGCTTCCGAGAACCACCAAATCACCATGGCTTTCACTGCTCCGGCACCTGTCGCTCCAGCATGATCCAGGGGCTCTGTTGCACCAAAAAGCCGATGCATTTCTCGTAAGTGCCCCTTGAATTTTCTACTCGAGTCTATCGCAGTCCATCCTCCGTACCACCTTGCTGGGAGCCTCTCAGAAACAGCCGCTCGGCGGGCTCAAGCCTCTGCCTGAAGTCTCCCATGACTCTCGCTGCACGCTCGTCCACCGCCTTTGGTCATCGCAAGTCAGCTATTCTGCGACCCTCCAGTGCGCTCGTAGACGCTCTCCGAGTGGAGGCTGCTCTTCGAAACGGCTTCTGGAATGTGCGATGCGGTTCCTGCTGCGGCGCACTGCCCATTATTTTCTGGCGCATCTCCCCAATTACCAGGCCGGATATTCTGGGATGCGCCCTAGCAGACGCTAGCAGTCTTAGCCTCCTTGCACTTTATTGACCCCCGTCGCTGACCCAACCTTGCCCAGCCCTCGCTATCAAATACAGTCATCAACCCCTGTTGGCCCCCTGTTCCCGCCAACGCACCATCAAAGCAGCACCCACTCGATCCGAGCAGGAAATTTCACGCCGTCTTAAATATCTAACGTCCCAGCCATTTTGTTTTGTCGAGTCTCTCGACGTCAACGATCCCAAATCTTTCGATCCCCAAGCTATCAACACCGATTACCAATACTTACCGAGCCGGATTCGTCGAGCTCATTCTACAACCTTCCCGAAGCCGATATCAAATCGACTTCAACCATCACCATCAGACTTCCTCCAAGGGGAATTCAAACAACCGGTTCTTGACATGTACGGATCAACGACACAGGTTTCCTCCTTCTCTCGTACCGACTACATACCACGGTGACGGGCTCGTCACACTCTCCAACGCCTTTGAAATAGGGCGTTTTCGACCTCGTTTCCTTTTTTTCTTTTTGGATATCTGCGCACATTTTAAAAGCAGGATATCATGAACTACAACACATATAACACGCCTCCCGGCCATCCGGGAGCAGGATACTACGGATTCAGCGCGACCCCATCGCCTGCTGCATCACCATCAGGAGGAGCCCACGGTTTCTACGCGCCACGAAATGGTCCATCTCCAAGACACTCACACACGCGACATACATCAAGTGGAGATACCTACGGGTATACACAGTCTCCACGCGCGTTTTCTCCCCGGTACAATTCCAAGGGAGATTACGCGACAGCTGCCAATGTGAGTCGAAACAAAAGTTCTTGGTCTGGTCAACGTCAGGAGTCGAGGCAGCGGCGCAGTTCTTTCTCCCATCGGACCCCTTACAATCATGGGGATTCCGACGAGGATGAATATGAATATGTCGAGTATGTGATTGATGGTGTGATCTACCGAGCAGCACGCCGGCCGACGAAAACAACTCACAATTATCGCGGGCATGGAACTGACCACTATTACTCCCAGGGTCAGACATATGATAGGGATGAATATGATGAATCGCCACAATACCAGCCATCACCAAGACGACGTCGACAGTCATCCTCGACACCACAACGACCAACATCAGCGCGAACTTCCGCGACACCAAAGAAACCGCCACCAGCTCCCAAGGCAACCGAAGCTGACGCGCGCAAACATCGCATTCCTCCAGGATACTCGCTAAAGAACTGGGATCCTTCAGAAGAGCCTATTATGCTTTTGGGCAGTGTCTTTGACGCCAACAGTCTGGGTAAATGGGTGTATGATTGGACAGTATATCACCATGGACCTGCAACCCCAATCGCCGACATGGCTGGTGAACTCTGGTTGCTTTTGATCCAATTGGCCGGCAAAGTCAAGCGAGCGGAAGAATGCATGCCACGCATTAGGAAGGAGGAGAATAGGGAAATGGTGGAGGACTTTATTGAATCAGGAGAAAGATTAACGGATAAGCTCAAGAAGCTTTTGAAGGCCTGCGAAACGCCCATGTTGAAGGCAGGCAAGAAACATGGAAAGGAGTCAGCTCAGTTGGGCAAGAACGCAGGAACCGAGTTTGTCGACTCCATCTTTGGACGCGACCGTCAACTTGAACAAACCGAGAAGTTCATGTCATCAATCAGACTTTGGAACTTGCGATTTGACGCCAACTGCGAGGACATCCTCAGGAGACCACAACAATAGAATTTTTCGGTCAGCACGATATTGAAAGACACGACGAGTGAGAATGAGAGTCAAGAATACGAACCAGGACAGGAGCAGGAAGATAGTCTATTTCTTCCATCGTCAAATTTCTTACGGGTCATTCAATCAACAAATCATGATACCCCTCGCTGCGTTCTTAAACCTTGGACGGCGCATTGTAAGAATAATAAGATGGCGGGGCGACCCAACCCTTTTCTTTTCCGGATCATTTCAGGCATATTTAGATCTTTATGGATAGGGAAACCAAAAAAGTGGGAAATGTTTTTTTTTGCGATCTATAATACCCAGAGTGAAGGGAATGAGAGACGGAATTATTTCGAGCGCATATGAGATGCAGCATATCAAGAGTCGGATGGGTGAATTGTAATAACATCAGCGATTTAGTTTGGTCGGATTGTGTTGGTTTTTTGTTTTCTACTGGAAATGTCAGGTACATTGGGACAGGGCGAATTGCATTTGGCGTGGCTCTTTTCGTCGTCCTTTTCGATTATTATACCCTTCGAACTCTCTCTTTCAGAATCAATTAAAGATATTTTAAAAACTTGAAAAAAAATGTTCTTTGTGCTTTCTTTGTTGACATGTGTTTGACCTTTCTTTTTCCTTCTAAGATTAATCAAATATACGTTAAAAAACTTATAAAAATTGACTTCTGCTACTTTGTTTGGTGGTGATTATTTCGCATCTATCACTGAACGTCTTGTCCTTACTGTGAGGTTCCCTTTGCATTTCCTCCCGAATCAGAGGATTTAAAAATAAATCCCATACCCATCCTATCATCACCCTCCACCCTCCGCACTTGGGAATTAATATCTCACCGCACCACACCCACAACATCCACTCTATTCAATTCAGTAAGCGCACCACCATAAGCTGACCGAGACGACCCCTCATCGTCGTACAATCTTTCCCCCCACCACCATAGCGAGTGGGCTATGCAAGTCAACTGCCTAGGCGGGACATGATCCTTCGGATTGGTATGAGGTTGTGGAGTGTGGAGTGTGGTGTTGTGGAGTGTGGTGTATGGTGTATGGTGTTGTTGGTGTGGGATTTAAAGAGGAAGGATTTGAGATGTGATATGCATATCATACCCGTGATTCGCGAGGGGGGGTTTGGGGTGTAGAAATGTGGGAGGGATGGAGGGTGAGATGGAGGATTTTGGGGGGAAACGAAACATTTGTACTTGGTTAGGAAGGTGATGGTAGTAAGGGTTTTGGTCGAGAGGCTTATTCGGGAGGATTGGGGGAAACGAAACACTTTTCTTGGGAGTTGAAACGAAACAAATGGTTGTGGATGGGGGATTGGGTGGGTGGTGATGGTGGTGGGATGTATTGGGATGTTTGGGGATTTGGGGGGTATTTTGATGGTGGTTGTTGTGTATTGTAGAATGATGTTGATTGTTTGAGAGGGTAGAATTAATGAAAGACATAGACAATTCTTAAAACACAGGCTGGATTTTAATTTAACAAAAAACATATCCCCATACACTTCTTCGCCTTTCTTTCATAAATCTCCTCCTGCTTCTTTCCCTCAAAAGACAAATAAACCTCACACCTCTCCAGCCATAACCAACTTCATAAAAATAAACACCCAACACACTTTTGCTTTTTTGAAATCTGTCGTTTACCAGGCTGTGGCTGCGCAGGGATATCAAGGTCTGGTATTATCCGTAAATGGCTGAATTGACAGTCGCGAGTGAATTGGTGGCTGCAGATGATGTAGTATTCTGTATATGCAAGGAGGAATTGCGATTGTGTGAGGATATTATCACATGTGATTGAGACTCAGTAGATGTCGGGGGCTATTTAGGGTATACCATTTATTATAGTTTATATTATGTTGAATTTGTGCTATATGCAATTTAATAGTAGTAAGACCAACATTCCCCAGCGCTTCAAAAGGGCGTTCGGCGCTACACCTCTTCTCCATCTCCATCTCCACGCTGCTTTTACCACATCTCATCAGTGATATCATCCTCACGAATTTCCATTCGGGCAGCAAAATTCCAGAGCCGTATGTATGACAGAAAACAGCGTCACCTCGCACAATCTGTCTGCAGATTTCATATGTAAAGGCAGATTTTTGGTCGTGGTTATTGGACGTGTTTTTGAGGTTGGGCTGATGAAGATTCGTGCCTGAATTTACAGGGGTGCGGATGTTTTCTTGGTCGCGCCGCAGCTTTTGGTTTTGGAGAATATTCGGCAAGGGAGGAGACTTGTTTATCGAGCTGCAGAAGATAGATGATAGCATATCGAGCTGCAGATTGACGATTGCGATTTAGCATCTATTTGTTATCATATCCAAGGGAGCAAGAGCGCGGGCGGCCGAAAATAAAAACAGCGGAGACGTTCTCAGCCTTACCTACCCCTCCACCAACAACCTGCGGCGGCAGTGTTAGCGCTGAGGCAGTTGGGTATTCGGGAGCCTGGTGATTGCGAGGCTCTGGGGCGGTAGTTGGCGGATTACGTAGGTTGGGTTCAGTGTTGGTGGAGGGGATCTAAAAAGGCTGTGTTTTGGGGGTGTTGGTGGCAGAAACGACGGAAGGGGAAAGAGGATAAGGGTATTTTGGGAGGATTTGGGTATCAGAGAGGGAAGGCTCTAGTAGGAAAGATTGTTGGTGACGTTTGAGGTTGAGGAGGCTGTGGATTGGAACTGGGAAGTGTACTGGGCTGTCAGCCTTGAGTTCGGTCTGGAGTTTCTGGCTTTACGCTATCGTGAGGGCTTTCAACAAGGTCGAATTTTATAACCGACTTCCAGTTGTTGAGCCTCAACTTGATCCTACCGAACGAGATCCGACCGCATCTTGCAACCCCATTACCGCAAACATGCATTACATCCGCTTTCTCAAGCCACCACGCCTTACAAGTAATGCCCTACGAGCCGGGCCTTCCTCTTTAACAGCAAAAATCACAATAACAACCGACCTTGGAGAATCATTCCTCTGGTCAAACATCATTGTAATAGCTGAGACTGTTGCCGATGATGGTCAAACGGTAATCGGCCGGGCAAAGGAATTAGAATGGAAAGGCGAAGATGGAATGAGAGCTCTTGAAGCAGTTCTCCAAATCCCGGCACGTCACAAGGATGATATACGGATGTTAATACGTCCTAAAGACCAAAATCTTGCTGTAGACTCTTGCTTTGCGGTATTAGAAGGAAAAAATGAAGGAGGTGTGGTTGCGGTCAGAAGTATGTCGATGTCTCAAAAAGGAAATGCAACTTCGTCAAACACCAGCCAACCACCGCTCGCCGAACGAGTCTTCAACACAGGCAAAGAGGGAAAAGACTTGCACATTTGGGAAGAGACAGGCGAGTCAATCGCAAGACACATCTGGTACGCATATCAGGTACGTTCTGTTCTCTATCCCACTAACGTCACATAGGGATGCCGGTCTTGTACTCTCCGCCTATATCTCTACCCTCCCTACCACCCAGCCCAATCTTCCCATCCTCAACTCAATTCTCACCACCAAACCGAGTCTCAAAATCCTAGAACTCGGCGCCGGTTGTGGCATCGTCGGCATATCCCTCTCCACCCTCCCCAACACCACCCAAATCATCTTAACAGACCTCCCCGAAGCCACCGACATCCTAACCCAAAACCTCTCCTCCCTCCCCTCTGACATCTCTCACGAGGTCTTAGACTGGTCCGCCCCGCTGCCCGCGCATATCGCCGGGACGGAGTGGGATCTCATCGCTATCTCGGATTGCACTTATAATCCTGATGTGGTGCCCGATTTAGTCAAGACGCTTGGGGAGTTGGCGAGGGGAAAGGAGGTGTATGTGGTGTTGGCCATGAAGGTGAGACATGAGAGTGAGTTGGTGTTTTTTGAGTTGATGGATAAGAAGGGGTTTGAGGTGAGGGAGAAGATGAAGATTGAGTTGCCTGTGCTGGGTGGTGAGGGGGAGTGTGTGGAGATTTTTGGGTTTGGTAGATAATGCTTTTGCGAGTTAAGTATGTATCTTACGTGTGAGTTTGTTATATGTCTTTTCGAGGGATCCAGCGTTAGGTTTGACTTGGGCCTACGCGAGCCTCTAGGGATCCATGCTTTATAGTGTTTTCAAATAAATTCTATGCCATACTACTGTAAGTACCATCGTTAGGTAATTTCCCTGATGTGTCCCTTTATCAAACATAGTCATTCTATTGAGCTAGGCCACAGAGCAACGAGACTCACACTGAAGTTGCTTGCACCCTGCGCAGCCTATGCTGCCTAAATTAGATTTCGACCACGCTGTATTTCGCGGGGTTTAGTGGAGCAGGGTCAGTATTATTGGTATATCATAGTTGAGCATTTCCCTTTCCCAAAAGCCACGACGTACCAGCTGAAAACTAGCGCACAGCTAGCGTCAACCACACAGCACTCGCAATCGCGGGCAGCTTTCTTTCCATATCTTTCATAATATCTTCTGATTGTACTTCAAATTTAAGAATTGAAATTAATTTTCGGAGGTATTATATATTGGGAAGATGTCCTTCGGATTCAGCGTGGGCGACTTTGTTGCTGCAGGACAGCTGGCTCATAGTATCTGGTCACGCTGCGAGGCTGCCGCTGGCGATTTCGAGGAACTCGGCGTACTCTGCAACGAGATCAACATTGCCGTTGGAACTTGCCAGCCAAATGATGCTCGTTCAATCTTACGCAGTCAACACAAGGAGGCTATAACTCGTCTTTCTGCAAGTTGCCACACTACGCTGAAACGCCTCGAGAAAATACTCGATGAACACCAGGGCATGAATGGAATCCAGGGAATTGGAAAGAAGTTAGGCTTCATTGGCTCCAAGACCGAGCGGGATCAAATACGATCTCGTTTACAGCTGCATCTTACAACAATCAACACCTTTCTCGCAAATGTACAAGTCGAAACATCCGCTTTGACTGTCAGGCTGCTCTTCTCGGTTCTGCAAGAGCAATTTGGCGACCGTGATGAGGCTACCATACGTGGGATCATTGACAACCCAGATGCCCTTCAAGATCTCTTCAAGGAACTGCGGTCAGAGAACAAATTGTTGAACGCGGAGTTGGATAGAGAGAAGGAGAGCATACAAGTGAAGTTGAAAGCAGCTGTGGAAAACAGAAAGCAAGATCCTGGCACAATCGTTGCTTCGGATGTTTCTGAGGCCCAAGTAGCTAGGCCAATATACAACGGCCCCGTCGCACCAAGATCTGCGCCTTACGATCCGTGGAGTATCGATTGGTTCCGCGATGGCGGACATAAATTTTTGACCCCTATCACAGCTATACAACAGCGGCAGATGAAGCGTCTCACGGGTCCAGTTATGAGATACAGCTTAGACGAAGAATGGCTCAGTCAGCTACCTGAAGGCTGGTCTGGGATCACTACGACGCAATGTAGGAATGGTAAAAAAGAGCTGGCCATGTATTACACATTTAACAACTTCCCTTCCGTATTCGAGGGTGTGTCGAGGAAGAGTCGGGCGTATTTTTTCACGCAACCGTTCGACTATGACGGAATGAAGACGTTTTATTCGCTGAGTAGGAAAATAATCATACAGCAAGAGATATATAAAGGGGGTTTAGAAAGCAACCCTACGCGGGGCATTGGGTAAGGATACATCTCCGAGATCAAGCTACGACATAGCTAATAATGTAGCTTCTACCACAATGGGTTTCCATATGATTTAGGAGACGCGATTTCGAGGCTTTTAGCGTCGAAGGATATTGGAGCATTGGGGACTCATAAACTATTGTCAGCGGATGACATTGACCTCAGCTTGCCCGATGATTGGTCCTACTTTTGGCAAAGCGAGGACACAAACGAGATTGTTTACGTTGATAATAACACCATGACGGAAAGCACTGTTCATCCTGCTCGCTTTAATAACACCGAGGACGAGGTTGGAACTCACGTCTTACCACCGGGATGGCAGAGACGCCTGGACACCTGGGGGAATATTTTCTTCGTTGATCACCATACTCGTCGTGCCGTGCGAGAAGACCCTCGCTTCAACTTAAAAATCAACCAGAACACAGGCTTACCTGACGGGTGGTTAGCAATCGAAGATCACAAATTGACACCATTCTTCTATCGAAGATCAGGGCGCATGGTTTTTGGCACATACAATCCAGCTGCCATGAAAAGCAAATCACTAAAAGACAAGTGGACTCTTAGTCGTGTTCCAGAGCAAGGGGAAGACCCGGAATCGCTTGTGGAGATCAAAACCCCGCTGGCACGCCGGAATTTCGAGGATCAAAAGAAGGCTAGAGATAAAGCCGCAGCGCTCGCTGCATCGCTGGTCATACCTCCAATGACGCCGAAAGAGGAAGCCTATTATCACAGCGTGTTCGAATCCGTCGAAAAGGAGGATCCGTTCAGAATTAACTACAAAGAGGCTCTCACGCTGTGCACTACCTTCAGCGTCTCAGTCGACCTTGCTGACAAAGTACTCAAACAGACAGACGGCAATAGGGACTGGAAATGGAACGTCGACGAGTACGCGAAAACCCTTCACCGCATAAAGTTTGAGCTTAAGAAGAAACTGAAAGATAACCCTGTCAAAGCAAAGACCGCAAAAGAGGAGAAGAAATACTCGAAAATGTTCTTCGCTGGCAAAGATCCCGCTAGTCAGACCATGACCCTGCTTGAATTTAATGCTGTCTGCAAAGGCCTGGGCCCGTCCGTACGCAACCCTGAGGATATATTCCATGTCACAGATTCAAATGCAGACTTGAAGCTGAATGTCGATGAGTTCAGCGACGCAATACATCTTGTGATGCATGACATGAAAGAGGCCAAAGGTAAGTTTCGGTCTTCAGCGGTGAACAAATGGCTACTAATGCCTCCAAGCACTTTCAAAACTTGAACCACCGGAACCCAGCAGCTTGCCAGACACAAATGTAACTAAGGACCAGCCCTCGGTACCAGAAGAACACAGAAGCCCGACCGAAGAAGGACAAAAGTCTAATAATACAGGTGAGCAACCCGAACGTGAGATCCTTCAGTCCGTGGATTCTCCAGCCCTGGCCCGCGATAAAAGTCTCAAGAGCTCAACAGAGCTAGATGCTATTGACCTTCCTTTGACAGACCCTACGCTATTGATTCCACCCGAACCGACCTCGCCAACTGAACAATCACAGCTATTGGGGCTAGCTTCTGCATCCACGCCCGTTGTTATTGCAGATGTTCATACTGTTCCAATAGATGACGCAGCTCTAGAGCATGCACAAAGTTCCGTGGACATTGTCAACTAGTGAGACTCCAGCATTACAAAGGCTCCGGGAGCGAGGCCGTTAGATTTCTTCTCTGTCGAATCACCCTTAGCCTATATGACAAGCCGTCTATTTATTTGACGCTAACTAGGTAAAACTATATATCAAGAAAGACTTGTTCAATTCATCGAATACATACAAATAGAGAATTTACTTCAATAGATTATCTCAACTCTATTGTTATTGCATTATAAAATCTTTTGAGGCTTCATGTTCATTTGATGATCAACGTCTCTAATAAGTCAAGCTGAATACTCTGCCTCGTGTAAATCAGAAATTAGACGAAAATTACTACTGTAGGAGGTAGTGTAAACTCACTATAAATTACGGTCTCTATGCTTTGGCGTCTAGTTAAGTGTTATGCTTGATTTGTGTTCTTCTGAGCTCGTAGTCAGTGCTGGCTGCAGGTTTTTTGCTGAATATATATATAATTATGATATTTTGGGTACTTGGATTCAAGACTCGGAAGCGAGAAAAGTTGATTCCATATCCTGCGTTGATTAAGTGGGCACTCTGAGAAGATTGTGTTTTCCAGGATCGAAGTTATCTGTCAGGTAGGTTATTATATATACCCCGCCGATAGAGATTCAGATGTTACCGAATCCCTAATGCGGTGGAATTGAAAACTCAAAGGTGGTAATGATTGAGTATCACGAATAGGCGGAGCTCTGGCGAACAAATGGGTGAGACGAAGAAAAAGATAAAGGTTTGAACGGGTTCTAAATTACACCACCACTATATATCCAACACCAAATCTAAAATCTTGCACTCCTAACTATCCAAATATCTTACATCCACCTTTTACCCACCAAACTTCATTCCTCCTCCCCGCTCCCCTCCTCAACATAACTCTTCCCCTTCCCCTTCGCCCTCCCACTTTGTCTCGCCGGCGTCTTCTTAGCCTTAGCCACAGAAGCAACGAGTTCATCCCCATCCCCATCAGAAAGTTCATCCATACTAAGATCCTCATCCTCCTCTTCATCCTCCACATTCGAAAGACTAGGCGTCGGCACTCCTTTCCCCTTCTTCTTCCCATTAGTCGCCGCTTTCTTCGCCGGTGTTGTCTTCTTCGGCGTACTCTTCCCCTTCTTCACCTCCACCTCCTCCTCCGCAGTGGCATCTTTAAGCTCCTCAAGAATCTTCTTCACATCCGCCACGCTCTTAGCTTCCGCCAACCTCTCCCTAACCTCCGCGTCCAGCGGCGCCTTATTCCTCGCCTCCACCGCCTTCCTCGCCGCGAAATTCGCCGGCGTGGGATTCTTAAACATGTCCTCCTCATCAACCCCTCCTTTCTTCTTAATCTCCCTCTTCTTCGGACGCAACCACTCTTCCATTCCTTGTGGCCAATACACCCTATTCTCTGGTCCTCCCATGCCGACCTCCTCCTCAGGAATCAGCGCTCTCGCAATCTCTTCTTCTTCGCTTAACTCTTTACCAAACTCTTCAATCTCAGCGGAGATTTGCTTTTTGGTCTTCTTCTTCTTGGCTGGTTTGGGAACGGGTTTGTTGTCGTCGGCTCGTTCGTAGGGGATCACATTGTTGAAAGTGTTCCAGCCGGGCAACTTCAACGTGCGCATGAGTTCGAAACAGGCCTGTTCTTTGTCCTTGGCTTCGATCATGAGATCCATGGTATCGGGACAGGGCGGTAATGTGATAGGTCTTGGGTTGTGTTTTCTCCTCTGCCGGCCTGTGATGGCGTCTGGACATGGTTCGCTATAGTGCATTTTTTGTGTAATGCTTTTCCGATCCCAAGTGGCTTTGATACGAGGATATAGAGCCATGATGTCCAATGTCCCTTCGCGAAGGTCTTGGGGAGAGAAGATGATGTTGTGGTGATGAAAATCGAGACATAATGGGATATTTAGTTCTTCGCAGATGGGGAGAAGGTCGTGGACGCTGTACGATACATCGTCGTTTTCAAGGACGATACGAGCTTTGATTGACGGTGATAGCTTCTTGTAATTCTCGCGGAAACGATCTAGTGTTGCTGCTTTGTCGCCAAAGGTCCCACCCATATGTAAAATCATTACTGCGTCACGGTCTGCTTGTTCGGGGAGCTTCAGAAGCGACAGCATTTCGTCATGATATTCTAGATCGCGTACTGCGTTGTTGATGACTTCCGGTCGAGGTGACCCAAGTTGTGTAAATTGTCCTGGATGTGTACTGACTCTGTGACCGAGCTCTGCCACGACTTTTCCGGCCTCAGCTAGTGCTTCAGATGCGAATGGAGCGAGCTTATAGCCATACTCGAGATGACTTGCAAATGGGAACATCTCAGAGCTTAAGCGCATGAATTTAATACCGTATTTGTTGTTCCACCTGAACATTTTTGGGAGGTCTCGTACGTTAGCCAGGCATATCTCCTCGACATATCTTTTACCACGCTCAACAGATGCTGGCTTGGTCTTGTCAGGTCGATTTTTCGTAGCATGCTCAGGCTGTGAAGGGTCCTTGAGAGGGTGTCTATGTTCAAGAATAGATGCAATACGGCAGGTTCGGGATGTGAAAACTGGTGGATTGGAGAATCGAAGGTATGTGTTCAGACACGCCTGGTTCTTGTCAGCTTTCCCCCTTTTGGTACCGACAAAATTACTACTTACATATCCAAGCCGCCCTTTCCACGGCAATGGCAGGTAATCACTATTCACTGGTGGTGGCCGAGCAGCTTCCAGTTTCACTACATCCACATCTTCAACAGGTCCAGTCTCGTCTCCATCGGGATCAAGTCTCTTATCCCACTCGTCCTCTCCATCCTCCTCTTTCTTTATCTTGGCGCCTGACGCAGCCTTCTTCGCAGCTTGCTCTGCTTTGAAAGCTTTAATCTCGTCAGAAGCTTTCTTCGCTGCTACTGAACTCTTGGTTGGTGTCTTCTTTTGTTTCTTGGTTGCTGGGGTGGGGACGTCCGATAGAGGAGACTCGCTGTCATCCTCTTCTTTTGGTATGCCCTTCGCATTTCCATTTGTCTTCAAAGGTGTAGTAGGAGGTTTGATAGGGACCACCTTCTCTACTTCGAGAGCTTCGCCCTGTTCATCGGCGTCTGGACTTGCTCGCAGAGCAGTCTTGCCGTCCACAACATCTGGATTCACATCCGGATTCGTGCTAACTGTCTTTGGACCGCGACGTGTGGATTGTCTTCTTGCCAATGAAGGCTTTGCAGGAATCTTTGGTGGGAGAATTGGCGTCTCATGAATCCCAATTGGAGCATCGTTGACTTCTGAAGCTGTCGCAGCCGATGATCTCTTCCGCTTAGGAGGCATTGCGATTGGGGTGCTTCTTCGAGCAGAGAATATAGTAGTTCCGGCAAGAATTCTCGTACAATTATATTTGGAGATAACTCTGCTCGTTTGCAGGCAAATTTTGGTATTTGACCACATTCAACAGCGAAAGGGTATCTGACCAAAAGCTATGATGAGATAACTAAAATGAAAACAAAATGCAGACCTACCTGGTACTAGGTCCCGCGTCAACTGGCATCTCGCGTATCGTATTAGATCGCCGGATTGCAGATCGATCAAGAGCTGGAGGTGACGACATTGTATCAAGGGGTCAAAGAGTCAGGTACTCACGTGATAACGCGTCTGCCAAGAAGAGAACTTCGTGATGTCTTCTCCTCGCTCATTTTTCCAAAGAACCCTATACTCCAATGCTATAATATCGGAGACAAATTGTCGTCAAGAGTAATTAAAAGAATAATACGTCTTCAGAAAGATTTGTCTGAGGATCTACCTACTTACGTCTGAAAATTATCGGAGGGGCACCAAGAACATTGGCTTCGAGTAACGCAAATACATGCAGCAGACTGTTATGGGCTAGATAATGCCATATGACCAGGGAAAGCCAAATCCACAATAACCTGTCAATTGAGGAGCACTCGGATTGTTAAGTTCGTTGTTCTAAACTAAGTCCCTCGATGTCCCGACAATAACGTATTGCTCGAGACTGCAGTCCTTGGTTTTACTTGCGAATAATGGATCATTCAGTAATATCCGCGGGCTCATTGTTGCTTGACTTGACAGTCGGTTGAGTACAAAAATGTGTCGACCGCACAAAGAAGACTGACACGTAAGCCAAACAAGGAGACCATATCGAACTGTTTAGCAAGCTTAGCGAACTTACACGAAACAGGCATTCAACAAGAGAATGCAAAACAATGGTATTCTTTGGGCATATAGAATACACATTCGACACAATAAACATAGCATCGACTACTCCATCATCGAGAACGTTAAGTATTCACTTTTTCAAAATGTTTTCCAGCAGCAAAAGCAAATTGAGCCTCTCAGCGAACGAATGGAAGATATCTAATCCAGTAGAGCTGAATCTATCACCCCCTTTTCTTCCCGAAATTCCTAGTGTCAACTCTGAATGCGTCAAATTCGAGAACATTATTCTTAAATTCATCTACATCCCCGATGCTTCAGCATTACCGACTCTCTGGTACAATGGAGAATGCGAAAAATGGGAAGAATGGTCGACTCTTCAGGAGCAACAACGTCAAGTCTACACACTACTTGCTAACTCAAAGGCAAGTGGCACCCCTCGCGCTCAAGGAAGAATGGCTCTACTCAAGCAGGAATATAGTGAAGCTCAACAAGAAGATCAAGATGCGAGCACAATAGAGCCCTCGAGACTCCATCGTATCTGGGACACGATTAGGCCAGACCAATGCCTTGTTCTGCCCAAATCCAAGCTAAGTCAATCTAAGTCAACAAGCTAAACGTCTGGATGACTGATATGGTAGCAATGGTACTAACTTTACTCCTAAAATCACTCCACTTACTAAATAAGTCACCTCCGTACAATAGCACCACCTTCTCGCAACTTTGGCAGTGACAATAATGCCCAGTCACACTTCCCCTTCCAGTGCAATCGCAATATTAATAAATCATTATAATCTGCTAAATGTATTCAATTCTCAGGAGAACCAGTGGGAGATACATGCCACATGATATGTCGCAGATTCACTTGGAATTTCTTTCTTCACATGATACTAAGTCAGTTTTAAGTGAATCTTTGACTAACCTATCATTAGCAGTCTCTTCGCCGTGCAGGTATGAAATAAGAAACTGACCTGAATCCTTGATTCTCGATCTGGAATAAAATATGCAACAAACCGACATCAAACTTTCAAGCAAACACACCACTAAGAAACCATCAGTCAACGCACTCGAAGTAACAAAACACTCAATAGGAAGACAATAAAACCTATCCAATGGCGACATATCCAGATCCAATGGACGACCCGCCAACCGAGACCCAGCCACAGCTTCTCGCACCACACGATTCGCCATACACAACCAATCTCTTCTTCGCCTTCCTAAACCTCATCAACTCCCCAACAATCCTGTCTGATCCTCCAGGAAATACAAACACCACCACCGATCCGTCTTTCAAATACTATCTCCCAGAAAGCGACGACTACCTGGCAGTCGTCCCTACCCGCCCCATCCAATTTCGAAAATACTACTGGTTCCCCAGTCAAGAACACGGATATGTAGATTTCAATATGCGCCAATTCGAGGAGATGGGCGGGATTAGAGTTATGATCCAGACGAGCTCGAGAGCTGCTGAACAGCCTGAAGTGGTGGATGGGGTGAGCTCTATTCGCTTAAATAATGAGGGGAGGAGAGGGAGTTTGTTGACGAGAGCTCCGAAGAGAAAATACACCATTCGTGTGGAGGTATGGATGACGAAACAGGCGACGTTTTGGGAACTCGACCCTTTCTCGTTGGAACCGGTCCCAGAACCAGATTTCCCGTATCCTAATGAAATCGATTTGTGGCTTTCTTGGGTGGCAGATCCTGCTCAGATGACTCGGCATGGAAACTGGGGCTTCGTGGTAGACATGTTTAGGAAGGCGGCAGCGCTTTATAGAGCCGATGAAGATATATATGAGGATAGGGTTATCAAGCATGAGGAACTTGGAAATATAGATGTTGAGTTTGAGGTAAGGCCGACCGAGAATAATCACTATGCTAGTATTTAGGTAGATGCCACCGTTTGAGCTGAATTAATATTTAAACGATTTGTTTCTTAGTATGATATTTTGCATATGATACTAAGGAGATTGAATATACTCTTCTGTCACATCAGGCAAAGGTGAAGTTCGGAACGCTACATGAAAGTGAAGTTCTTGTACATCTGATTTACTCTATTCGTGAGTCACTCTGGATATTCACCAGCATATTGAAAGCCAAATTCTGTTAAGCATGTCTTGGTTCAGACGTCCTTTGTCCCAAACTTGGTAGCATTCAGAATTACTTCGTTAGCGATCTATTATCCACAATGTCAGATCGCGGCCTACCCATCCGCGAAAGAGAAGACCACAAGGAATACGACTTCATCTTCTCCTCTAAATACCAAACTGCTCCACAAGAAAGAAGAGATACTCCGAACTTTCCTAAATATTTTGCCGCCGACGAAAAAGATGCACCAACAGTTTTCATCAACTGCGTTCTCCTAAACACCATCAGCTCTCCCGGCTTCCGCTCCCAAGCTCCATCATCCAACTCAAAAGGTCCATTCATCTACTACCCCTTCCTTCATACTCGTGATATCGAAAACCAACCATGCAGAAATTCCCGCAAATTCTTCATGGCAAAGGAAGGCTGCTATGAAGTCGACCTCGACATGTCACACATCGGCAATCTTGACAGGTTCTGTGCTGAACTTCGAACTTACGCTCGACCATTGAAGTACATTCCTACCACAGATGTCATCACAAAAGCGAAATATACCATTCATCTCGAAGCGTGGCTTGAGGATGAGGAAGAACGGAGGATTGCGTGGCCTGTTAGGGGGAAGCAAGATTCGGTTGATAAACCCATGGCTGTGGAATTGGTTGTTTCTTGGGAGGTAGCGCCTGCTGTGATGAGGTCTAGGGAGTCTTGGGAGGACGTGGTGGCGATTCTGAGGAGAGCGACAGGGTTGTTTGGGGAAGGCGGGAGGGTGAAGGGTTCAAAGGAAAAAGGGAAAGTGCGATTTGTGGATGAGAAGTTAGGGACGGTTGATGTGGAGAGTTTTGAGTGGAGAAGGAAGTAAAAGGAGAATTAAGAGGAACATTGAGTTGTGTAGATGTGTGGGCTGCACCTCTGATGCTATGAGTTCTGTAGGCACATAACAATTGGAAGAATGAGCGGCGGTGGTGAATCATATTGTATGTTTTAAGACGCTGGTATAGCTGCATTCTTGATAAGACCTGGGCTAAATGTAAATACCCAAAGCCAAAGTTATTCTAAGATGCCAAAAGACCGAGCAATAGATCGAGCAGTTGATGGGCCTACGGAGTGAAGATAGAGATTGTGATGTGAGTACTAGTTACGTTGATGATTCAATAATATGTTTCCTTGTGTCAGAAACTATGAAATGGTACAAACTATGTTGCGGTCCAACAGAGTTCATGTAAACCCAAGTTTGGGTGGGTACTTTCCCTTCGCTACTTTTTTCTACTCACTCGGTTGTACCTGACAATGGCAACCACAAATTCAGAACAAACATCTTGGTAAGAAGTCAAAGAACAGACAATTCACTAGAATCTGAAGACTCACCACTATTTCAGATATAAGATCGGAATTTTTGGAACCCTTCAGCTCAAGTTTTCTTGGTCGTTTTGGCAGTATATACCTTCTTGCCATATCTCCCACAAGAACAGACATGTCTTATTCCGAGTTACGCTTACTCAAAGAACCAAAAGAGCCCAATGCAAGCGTGCAAGAGCTATTCTTACCAAAATGTCCGCCGATTCCAACACGCTTCAAGCCCAAAGCCGACGCCACTCTCTCCAACATTCTTCGGTGCCGTCTCCTGAATCTCATTGACAACGAAATGATCATGAGACCTTCCGGTAAAATTACAACCAACTACCCAGCTCCCATGGTATTTTACGCCAACATACTTTTAAAACACGCATTTCTCAAGAAAAGCAACAGAACGTTCGAGTTCCGGGAGAGCGGCCACCCGGTTCCAGGATTCCCAGATATTAAAGTGCTGGACGGTCAGCTTACAACTGTGTCACGAAAGCCTCATCCTCCCGATCATGGTCTGATTTATTACACTGTAGTGGTTCGTGCGTGCTTCAAAGACGAATCAGGGAATAGAATACAATTTCAGGGGAGCGTTGGAAAGGATGTTTCGATGGAAAGCATCTTGGTCAATTTCACCACGACAATCTATGAGGTGTTAGACAACACGTATAATAGAGACGCTGTCATTTCACTGTTAAAGCAAGCTACTCAGGCCGTGTTTGACGAGCACGGCGAGAAGTGGCCGAATGCCAATCGTCCGGTCAAAATCCCGGTTTATGGAGAGGTCACTGTGGTGTGTGCTTCAAGTTCTTGAGTAGACCTTTACGACACAGACACAAACAGCACTTATCCGTTAGTGAGAGACATGTTTAGGCATGGAATAATACAACAAGACCTGGTCAAGACTCATCCGTGGCAAACCATTTTCCCTCTGAGCCCTCGGGATGGGGTTTACTGAACGCACAATGATTCATTACGGGACTTGACTTGACTAAGAATGTTGGTGGAATTCTCCGTTTGTTTGAGAGTCATTGATATTGTGAGGAGCGTGAGAAAGGTTGGTGGAATTGAAAAGTGACGAGTCCATTTCTCGCTTAACCGCGGGCATACGAGGAAACCCGTTTGACAAAGGAGTCGAGGAACCTATCGCTGCTTTCTGAAACCTCCTTAAGCAACATTAGTCTCTGTTCGTTGAAACTAGCTCGAGACTGGCAAATAGAAATAAACTTACTGTTCAAAAAATCTATTATCAATGACAACTATCATGCAACGGTTTCTTTCCACGTCGACTTCCCTCTTTGGTTAAAAGTAAACAAGCATGCATGATGTGTTGTAATTGTTGGAAGCTTAAAGTATTGAATAGTTGCCGAGAATCCTTCGTACGATCGCACCATACATACTCAACTGGCTCTTTCAGGAAAAACGACAAGGTCTTCGGGTGGCTGGATCAGCCCTCTAGAGTCGTGCTGCTTAGCGAGATCTCAGATTAAGTTGTGCGACAAAACGGGTAGCGAATGAGACTCTCCGTGGCGTGCTGAATATGTCCAATGATACTCTGACTGCTTTGTAGAAATCGTGTTGGTTGGAGTACTTCAGTGTTGGTTTTGCGGCGCAGGTGCTTTAGCGAACTCAAGCCTGAATAGCTTCACATATTGCTCCTGCAAAAGCAGCGCAATTTCATCAGGGATGTAAATCCTAAACATGACCGTTTTGGGGGCTTGTCACGTATGAGTGTGGTGTCACGACAGTCGGATTGCGCAAGTCCGCCTCGTGAATGTGCAAATGAAAGCAACATATCCTCCGAGATTCCCATGTGTTCAAGTGCCGTCAATGCGGTTAGCCGCCGTGGATTCACTTCGAAGTATTTCACCTTAACCTCTCTCTTTTTCTTTCAATTTCTTGTCAATTTTTTCTGTTTTCGTCGCTATGTTGCGCATTTTGCCGTTGTCTATTAGGTCTCCAGCGGAAGAAATAGAACTGGCTGACTGGTTCCTCATCATCACACAATGCCTCGCACCTCTTCTCGTCCACATACTGGTGGGCATCCCATCCGCTGTTTATTTACATAGCAGTCGCCCAGCGTGGCATGACAAGATTACCTTTTACAACCCTACATCAATAATATGGCGGTATTTCGTGATCACCGATCGTCGTATACGAGCGAAGAACTGGAACGCTTTTGATATGGCTGCGACGAATGCTCGATTTTGGACTGGAGACCGATGGGATGGATCAGAATACATTATGGAAAGAAGCAAGCTTTATCTCACCCGGGTTGCCGATGTACCTCGAATTAAATTCAACTCGCAAGAAACGGTGGAGACTCTCATCGTCGCAGTACAAGGGATGCAGGCGATATTGAATATCTCGAAAGGCTTCGCTGGAGGATGGCAGGTCTCTATCGCCACTATGTTCTTCCCCTTGGCCCTCATTGGGCTTTTGAGGCTTCCCGCGACGTTTTGGCTTTCTGAAGAAGCAACCTACACAGACCATCGCTCTATCGTGGGCGTAGAAGTGGAAGGGGCTAAAAATCAAGACGACGAGACTTACAGCAATTATCGAACCAACCTTGATACCGAGAAATTGCTCATGGAAAGTCCAGGTAGTGACAGCGCCTCGCTCGCGTCGAAGAAGTCGCCATCAACCAAGCCACTTCTTACAATACGGTATTCCGTCGAGCCAAACGAGACTCCAGCATACACTGCTCATAGACCTAATAGTTGGAGGGGATGGCTCGTCCGTCTGTTTTTCTTGATTTCTATTTTGTCCTTGGCGATGCTCTCCATCACTCTCACCCTTCCATTCCTCAACTTCTGGGACGTCTTCATGTCGGTTACGAGCTATATACAAGCATGGTTCTACTCTTTCATGCTTACGATGACTTTTATCATTGTCGCGAAATACTCCAACGATGAACGAACCTCGACGACAACAGTCTTACCTTGTATCCACGCTCTCTGGTACAAAGTATACACAGGATTACTCTTTGCAATGATGTGTATATTCTTTCTTTTCGCCGCGCTCGAGACCAAGAAGTCGACCTGCGGAGCTTTCACTACTTTTCCAGCAATCTTCGGCGTGTGCCCAAGAGGTGGTCGATTCCTCACCTCAGCCATAGAAGTTAAGCGGCCAGGTGGTTCAAATGGTACGACCTCCGTTCAGTTTTTCGATGGGATATACCGAACAGTCAACAACGGATCATCAATAACGACACGAATGATTCCATTTGACGGATGGTGTAAAGGGTCCTGGGACGATGGAAAAGCCGAGTTCTCACTTCCAGATCTACGCTTGGTCAATGACACCGACTGGTTCCAAAGTCTGAAGAATGCCTCTGGTTTGCAGATAAATATTGCACCTCTTGGAAACACAGGAAAGGAGTTTGACGTGGTTGCCAATAATCTTCAGAATGAGAAGGCCGATCACATGTATGATTATACATGAACAACTAGCTATTCAGAAGGGATGAAATTAATAATAATGCTACTTGAAACGCATCTTACAACAAGTGGACCTGGTCTCAAGCCTCCTTGGAATTGATGTATCTGTACTGTGATTATCGTTGTTGTTCCTCGCATCAACTGGATTAAAACACTCTCTCGAAGCTTCGTTAAGCAAAACCTCGAAGTACTGCACATTATATCCTTTCAAAGACCCAATAGACAACGGGGTGCACATCGGCTCTGGTATATCCCCGGGAGTTTTTCCCGCCGTAATTTCTTGCAGCAAAACAAAAGAGCTTAGACAGGTTTTAGGAAATTCAGACCCAGGAAATACTTTGAAATCTGTTAGCGTACGATAGCTACGATTCTGGATAGAAGTCAAGGAAATCATGTATGGGTTTTGAGTTCAGGTCAGCATGAGAAGACATGTTGATGAGACATGTCGAGATTTAGGATAGGTAAAACTTGTCAACGCTCTATGAAATCGGCGAAAGTATGACTACAAGCGGGATGGTGTTATCGTATTGTCTTAATTTATGTGGCAAATAAAGAATCTACTTTCCCCTTAGTTGTCGTAAGATTAAATCCTATTCTCTTTCTAGCTGTAGATCTTAATATCGAGCAGCTTGAGAGGGTTCTAATCTAATAGAATTCATGAAGGCTATAGGATTGCAAGAAAGAATATTTCAATACATTCCTTTGAGAGATTTTACTTTTTTAGATATAGTGGTCCAAATAAATTATCATTTTCCCCCCACCATAGTTCCTCATAATATCTGGTATGTTGCTTCGTCGCTGCGTCTTTTACGACCACGCCGATATCTTCATGTCCACCTTCCACATCAACGACTTATATCAAGAAATTCTCAGTCTAGAATCATCTCAACCAACCACTTACCAACCGAGCCTTCAAGATCTATCACGGCCTAACCCCTATTCCACCACATCCCCATCTCTTAATCCAATCCTTCTCACTCTTATCCCAAATCCCCCAGTCAACCCAAACCCTCTCCATCAGCTTACTCTTAAAGCCCACTCTCTCCCACGCATAGTCCCCCTCCTCCGAAAACCCATTAACCGCCGCATCCCTCAAGAACCTCACTACGTTCTCCCAATACATGCATCTGCGAAGCGCATTGCTCCCAGGAGTCGCCCAAAAAGTCACGTTGATACATTGGTTCAGCTTTTCGCCTCCTGGAACCTCTATAATGGCGTTATTGGCGTCGTAGACTCCTACTTTCAAAGCAATGGCGCAGACGGCTCGGTTTTGTGGCCGAGTGCTGCCAAGCAGTGTTATTATGGTGACGCGGATGAAGGCGATGTTGAGATCTTTAGGGAGCTTCCAGAGATGAAGGTCTTCGTCTTCGGTGTAGTGGTATATCTGGGGTGAGAAGATAATTAGCTTGGTACCTAAGAAATGCGAAAGAAGCTCAATAGCAGTGGCACTGAATTAATGATACAGGAGACCAAGACATACATGACTCTCATCTGCTTGCGGTCTGAAATACTTGAAACCTGTACTCCTTGGACCTCCATTTAAGAAATCGTCATCGAAAAATAGATCCAGTAATGAACAGGTCAACATCCGCGAGATCGTAGCTCCCTTCTCAGGTTTGAAGAGATGCGCCGTAAATTGTGTGTCCTGCTTTTTCTGTGGAACAGTCTTCGAAGCGCTCTTGGGCTTCTGTAGATCTGTCTTTTTAGATGATGTCTTTTTCGTTCGAATCGGCGGCATGACTGATTGTGTACAGAAATCCTCCGGATGGAACTCCCAAATTGCTAAGGACTTAATCCGGTGGCTTTCTGAATGAAGGAGAAGTAGGTGACTGCTGGCACTTGAGTGGTAAGTATTGTCGCCATTGGGGATGTGAAAGTTTTTTCTTTTTACTTGTAGTAGTCACCGAAGCCATATGATGCTACGAAGGTGAATTGTCGGTTCGGAAAGTGATTATAAATTGTCTAAGAAATAGATGTGAATATGTAGTTTTTTGGTCTTCTTCTTAGATAGAAAGAACATGACGCAGAGTTATTGTACCAATTATTGGTGAAGGGTGTCAATTTACACATGAGTTCGTAATATGTTTTGAAGGTAAATTAGGTTCACCAGATAAACTTCAAGGTTTATCCATTTCAGTACCATATCTATGTTCGATCAACCGAAGCAGTAGCTAGAATTTAGATTATCTTGTTCAACGTAGAAGAAACAATAATTTAGTCTACAATATCTTGCTCTTGGATGTATGGCCGGACGAGAAAATCTCGACTTGATTTTGGGATGATAAGTACGATCTTCCTTCAACATTGCAAGCTCTTTCTTCTCACTTGATACCGAAGACTGACTGTATAATTATATTGAGATCAGTTTAATCCTTAGCATTCTGTTTGTCACCCCGTCTCGATTGTCAGTTTTGACCAGCCGCCGTGTATTCTGCACACATAAAAAAGCGAAGATGTTTTGATCGAATCCATCCCAATTCTGTCTTCAAACTCCATACCATTCTGCGCCAACATCACTCTACACTGTTAGGCAAACCCACATCCGCAGCATTTAAAAGAATAGCAGCATGCATAAAAGCCGCGGACTGCTGAATAGCAGCCGTGACACCATCCCTCCCAAGCACAAAAAGCGCTTCGTTGAATGATACGGAGTCAAGTGGCCCTCTCATTTGAGCCAGCTTTACCGCCAGCTTGAAAATAGCTGACTGCCGCTCAGTGATATCTGAAGGACAATCGCCTGCAAGCATAGCTTCCACTTGGGACAGAGTAAATCCGGCTTTCTGAGCGAGAATGGTGTGTGCGTAGATTCCATAGACTGCACGGGTTATCGATAGGACGCCTAAGACGGCTGATTCCGCCTCAACTGGCGGAAGTAGGCCTGCTGTTGCGAGTTGAAGATTACACCACGGTTGTGCCATGGTGGGTGTGTAGCTAATTATCGTATCAGTTGAGTCCTTCCACTTGGTAGTCAGGTACCGCCAGACTCTTTGACTTTTGTATAAATCATAACTCACAGTAAGATATTAAACGGACCTGCCATCGATTCGTCTGGATTTTGCGTGACAATCGTACCATTGTAGACTTTCTTCGTAATATTAGCAAGGTACTCATGTTGCACCGATTGCTCCGCGTCGAGATTATCCTTTGTAGGCGTCAAACCTGGATACCGGGAAGTTCCAGAAGATTTCGACATTTTGTGGATTGAATCAAATCAAGGTAAGTAGGTTGACGACTTCTATCAACCTTAAGTATAGAAAACAAACATTCAAGATGTTGGTTGTTTACGAGCACAACACTTGATTCGAGGAATGAATCCAAAATCCACATTTCCGGGCCGAAGAAGCTTTCCAAGTCACAGGGAGGTGTTGGCAAACGCCGCTGCATGTCAGCTTTCGTTGGCCTCGCTCAGTTAGGCAGATCGGTGGGTTGACGTACCATGCTCGCCCAATTCAGAAGGTAAATGGAATTCGGCAGTTGCAGTAGTGTAAGGAACCTAGGGGCATCTAAGTGGAAGACTCACTCGAATGTACGAAAAGCCTATCTGTAGTACATATTGAACATTGGGTTTGCAGTACTACAGAATGGACCTCGGGTTTGCAAGTCGTCATGGCCTTCTATTCCTCTCTATGGCACACGTAAAGCGTTACCATAGTGAGAAAGGAGTCGCATCATAGCCCAGTAATGAGTATGAAACCCAATTACCAGTCTTCGAAGGTATCGTTGGCGACAAAACCAAACTAAGTACAGTACTCTGAGATCAGAGCACGGTATAAAGTTTGAATCCTAAATTAGAAAGCGCGATTAGCAGTAAAAACCATGCAAATGTGAGGGACACTGAACAATCACAACCGGAGCTTGGGAAAATCTATTTCAATTATGCCTGAGATGCAAGCGTAGAGTGATCGATGATATATCCGTCGAGCGGGAGCCAGAAAACGTCCATATCGATCACTATAGCTGTGTCAGTGCTGAATCTAAAAAACAAGCAAATAAGTAAAGAAAGCAAGAAACAATGTACAGATCGCCAGCCTTTTTAAGAAGCAGATGGCCGAGACGCCCTGGGTATCTTTTCCGTTTGTGCCATACGCCATTCATACTCTAACATCCCACCCGCAACACTCGAGCACAATGCAAAAATGCAAATGTACTGTAAAGATTGAACAGCTGCCAATAAAATGACAGTCAAGTCATACATAACAATCACTCTCGCTACTCTAATCCTGTACAGGGCCTATCGTTTGCTCGTGGACCGTGGCGAGATGTGAGCGTTGAATGTCGAACGACCTATAGTTGCCCGCTAAGATACAGCCAAGAATACTTTCTTTGGCACGCTCAGGCTGACTTTGCAACTGTCCCATTCGTTTTTGTAGTTTAGAATGCGCGTCTGAGAACAATGCCAAAATCACCCTGGTGTTTGAAGCGCCGCCAGATATATCGTTATCAGGCTTATTTGGATCGATGATAGAAAACTTGTCCATGTTATTCCGTTTGTAGACGATGTTGTGAGCCTGATCCTGATCCACTATTAGCTTGTATGAAGTGAATAAAACTTAGCATGGGATGTCCTACCTTGGGCACATATGCTGGAGGGTTCAAAGAAATGGCAGTGGTCTGAACATTGAATTGATTGCCATACAAGTCAAAAAATTCCATAAGGATTTCTCCATAATGATGCTCCGCAATCATGCTTCTGCTTTGGACCTGTGGCATATGCTGGAGAAGACTTACTACCAAGCAAATTACTGAGAAGCCACCGATTCCCCCATTTTGCGGCTCATTCAACCCTCTCATGGCTAAGAGGTGTTTGATAATGGTGACCAAGGTGGGCATCGCTGGGAACTCTTGTTTCCACGCTTGAAATGTCTTGTTGGCGATTAAACCAGTGTCATTTTCAAACGATATGTCAATTTTCAAGCCCGTGAGCCGATCGACATACTTTACCAGGGGAACTTTCGCTTTTGGAACGGTGGTAACAGAACCATCGTGGGCGATTTTGCTTGTCTTGAGCCATTTTGCAAACTCGAATAAGTGTCTTGAACCCACTAGAATACGACCAGACCTCATAAATTCCTTTGAAACACAAACCAAGTCCATATCAGAAGTGGGAAGATAAAGGCCGGCAGGAAAGGACCCAAATGTCATGATGTCGTAATTTGGAAACCTCTGCTTAGCTCTCGAGCGAAGATCCTCAACGAGTTTCGTGCGGACAGCTTGCTCAAAAGCACGCGGTTTCACGTAATGATAGAAATCAACTATTTCCTTATGCATCCTGCAGAAAGTTAGACAGCAACTAACATCCGCCAGGGACGACTTACCATAGACCCATATTGGCACTATTGGAATGGTCAAGCTCAATCCACGGAGTGCTATTCGTGCCTGGCAGGGGCTGCCACGTCGAGACTACGCCGCCATGAGATGGCGCTTTTCTACCTCCAAACGAATTATTGAGCTCACGCGGAGCTTCTAGTTTGATTTCATCTTGGTGAGTTCGCTTACGATTACCTAGAGCCGGGTCTGAACTGAGGTCAATCGCGGCGGCATTTCTCATTGGCTTATCTGGTAACTGTTTGCGCATAGAGATTTTGACAGGATCTGTTTTCGCGCTAGGTAGAGACTCCGGCACCACTGGTCGGGGTGGATGATCCTCTCGTGTGCGTTGTGCTGAAGCTTTTGGGCCTGTAGGAGTGTTTATTGGGACACTGGACGATGGCACTGGCTCGCTGCGGTCAAAGAAAGTGTGCTTTGGCTCGTCAACATCATCATCAAAATCAAATGAAATGAAATCATCGCTATCAGCACCGGGTTTTGTCGACCCATCAGCGCCGTCAGTGACGCGTGCTTTTCTGATCAACTTGACCACATCTTTCTTTTTACGCTGAGACTCATCAGGAGGGGGTAATGCGGTATAGGGATCTGGATTGGACCACTGAGGAACACTGTTGCCATCAGCGGCCTCTGCGTCACTGCGCGCTCGCTTTTTCCTGGGTCCGTCGGTGTCGTCGTTTTCATCTTCATCGGAGACACTCATTTCATCCATTGCTCGATACCTTACGCCGTTACCCTTATCCTCATCAATGCCTGACATCAATTCTGGAGTAGGAGCGCGGTTGGTCTGCAGGAAGTCGCGATCGGCAGCTCTTCTAGATCCACCACGACCGCGATATCCAGCGCGACCAGGACGACCTCCACGGGAACGTGAGTTTTCATTGTGGCGAACGTAGTCTCTTGGATACCTGGGTGGTTGATCATCGCGAGATCGATACGGGTCTAGAGGAGGCGAGCGAGGCCTGTATACATCAGCTCGACTAAAGTCAACACCTGGAGGCGCATCATGGCGGAAGCTGAAGTTGTCTTCGCGAGGGCGATACGCGTCCCCCGAAGGATAGCCATTCCTGGGAGGCGATCTTCGACCTGGAGGTGATCTTCTGCGAGGCGGAGAGCGTCTGCCATAGTCAGATCTCGAGTCATATCCATCGTTTCCGCGAAATTGATAAGGTGGTGGTGGGCCCCGAGGAGGATAGGATGGGCGATTGTCCTCTTGACGATGATAATCATCGCGAGGTCGATAAGATTCCGCTCCATAAGAGGAGGGTGGTGGGTACTGTGGCCGTGGAGGCAATCCAGGCGGGAGAGGAGGTAATCGCGACATTGGATGTTTTGACTACCTAAGAGCTTGTGCGGTGGTGCTCGTGCTGAAACCCAAGGTACAAGTTGTTTTGATACCACGAACCGAAAAGTCGCAAAAGTCATGATATTTTCGAGCCCTGTGAGTCCGCGACGCTAAGCCAAGGCTGTCAATGGTGGGCCGGCCCAAGCTGGGGGCGTTAGTCTCAACCCGGTTAGCGTCGAAAGCCCCTCCTCCACTGAAATGCAAAATTCAAAACCGTCCTCTTTCTGACTCTTCTTTCCAACTTCCTCCATGACCACAACATAGCAAATATGGCATTCGGAAAACTTTACACCTACCCGGTAAGTCTTCAAAGCTCCGCAGACTGCTCAATATTATTCTGCCCAACTCGAACTGACATTATATCTAGGGTAATCCCCGCTCAACTGCCATCAAGGCTGTTGCGAAAGCAAACAATGTCGATCTCGAGATTGTCGAGACCGAGCCAGCCAAGGGCGTTCCAGATGAGTACTTGAAGCTCAATGGTCTCGGAAAAGTCCCAACCTTTGTCGGTGCCGATGGATACACTCTTCACGAGTGTATTGCCATTGCTATCTACAGTACGTTCAAACCTCGCCTTTGCCGTTGTAAACATCGAACACATCAACCTACAAATGCTATGATGAAGCAAATTGTCAACAGTTATCCCTGTCTTAATCATCCGTGTTGATTTTTTTTAATAATTAGACTCTGAGCACCTTCAAACTTTTTTCATGCTTTCACTACTATCAGCCATTTTCCGAGCATGGTCACTGACGTGTCAAATAGTAACCTCCCAGAATGAGAAAACCACTCTCCTCGGCAAGACCAAGCAAGAGTACGTCCCTCATACAAGATTGATGGTATATTTTCTAATTGGTTTGTAGTTATGCCACTATCCTCAAGTGGATGCCTTTTTCAACCAAGAGGTTCTCACTGCTCTTGGAGGTTGGTTCCGCCCACTCATTGGCCGTGACCCATACAACAAGAAGAATGTCGACGATGCCTCCAAAGCATCTTTGAAGGCTGTAGGTGTCGTTGAGGACCATCTCCTTAATAACACCTACCTTGCCGGAGAGCGCATTACCCTTGCCGATCTCTTTGCCGCTGGTATCATCTCCCGTGGATTCCAATATGTCTTTGATAAGGCTTTCAGATCCTCCCACCCCAATGTCACCCGTTGGTACGAGACTGTCTACAACCAGCCAATCTACTCCGCTGTTGTTGACAAGCTCAACTTCATTGACGAAGCCGTCAAGTACACCCCTCCAAAGAAGGAAGCAAAGCCAGCAAAGGAACAGCCAAAGGCTGCCCCTAAACCAAAGGCCAAGGAAGTTGAGGAGGAAGAGGAGGAGGCCCCAGCAGCCCCAAAGGCAAAGCACCCTCTTGAGGCTCTGCCAAAGGCCACTCTCCCACTCGACGAGTGGAAGCGTCAATACTCCAACAATGATACCCCTGATGCTCTCAAGTGGTTCTGGGAGAACTACAATCCTGAGGAGTACTCCTTATGGAAGGTCGATTACAAGTACAATGAGGAGCTCACACAAGTGTTCATGACATCCAACCTCATCGGTGGTTTCTTCGCCCGCCTTGAAGGTTCCCGCAAGTACATCTTCGGCTGCGCTTCGGTCTACGGTGTCAAGGATGATTCGATCATCAAGGGCGCCTTTGTCATCCGTGGCCAAGAGGCTCTTCCTGCATTTGATGTTGCCCCAGATTATGAGAGCTACGAGTTCACCAAGCTCGACGCTTCTAAGCCCGAGGACAAGGAGTTTGTCAACGAGCAATGGACCTGGGAGAAACCTCTTGTTGTCGGTGGCAAGGAGTACCCATGGGCTGATGGCAAGGTCTTTAAGTAGACTTGACATTATGCAACCTTTCTTTTTGATATGAATTGTGAATTTAGCGTTGAGGATACGGTATGAGGACCATGATTATGAAACTTGGGAAGGTCGACGGAGGAATAGCTGCCTACGGGCTTCTGTCAAGTAGAGCTCACTACAATAAAACAAATTTGAGCCATTGCCTGCCACGATAAGACTTGCATTTCTCGTTTTGTATTCTGAATCTGTTTGACATAAAAGGCTTTTCATCACTTTGCCGCTTTCAATGCCCAGGGTATCATGCTCGTGCGATCAGCCATCTGAACCTTCCTAATCCAATCCTGCCCATGTATGATCTTTGTCCACGTTGTTCATCTATAAACATACCAGGAGGTATATATCCTTAAACGTGACCTGCCCAAACGCCTCATATAAATGCAACCCCTATGCCTGAAGACCCAATCCGGTAGCAGGCCTCTCATCTCCATTATGATTGTAATCTTGTCCAGAGCTCCCAAGCTGACTATCAAGCGGCGCTACGCCCTGCGGGTTGCCAGGCGCACTAACAGCCCTGAAAGGAAACATCTTCAGGGAGGCACTGACGTTAGATTGCATTGCGAGATAATTCAAATGATGATGAACCTGAGGCAAGATCTCAGCGTGTTCATGCTCCTCGCCCAAAAACTCTGGTACTTCTATCAGATTGTATGGTTCACTTCTTGCCTTCTCCATGGAATCATCTATGAGAACGGTATTTGTTTGATCCCACCTTGCACCCATATTGAAATGGGGGTGTGTTTGTGCGATTGTTGGATCTTGCCAGACGCGAGTAAGTCGCTTGTAGCATTGTACCCGAGTGACATAGTCCCTAGGCGTGAGGTTGAATTTGTCGCGCGCCCAGACCGCTACTATTTTCTTGCATAAGGCTGGTGGGATAATGACGTTCACGAGAAAGTTGACGTTGTCTGGGCGGGCGGATGACCATATCACCACGCTGAAAGTCTCAATGCAGTATTGGAGGAATCGTAAGGCATTAGGTCTGGCGATGTAACTCTTCGGGTTTAATCGTGATGGTCGGAAGAGAATTGTGCCATTTAGATCGATGACCACAAGAAGGTGCTGGGGGACTTGAAGCTGGTGAGGGATGGTGCTCGCGTTGGTAAGATATTCTGGACTTGGATCTGGAACACCTCCCGATTCCCAGGAAGGTACCATTTTGGGCTTTCCATGATTCGTGACCATCTTGCTCGAACTGCCTTTTGTCGACTTGCCTTTGAATTGATTTGTGCCACGGTTGAAGGGCGATGAATCTGGCTCGTGGTTCTTCTTCTTCTTCCTCGCGGATGTTGTCTTCGCTTTCTGAGGTTGTGAATCTTGCGGAGGCTGCGAAGGTGATGTTAAATTAGATTTCGCAGGTGTTTGAGATGAGGGTACAGGAGTCCTATGCGGTTCTGGCGTATTGGTCGGATTGGAACTGGAACTTGACGTTGTAGGTATGGGATTCTTTGTATCTTTCGAAATCGAGATTCCCCCAATCGTCTGAATGAGAGCCTCAAACTCTTCCTCAGTCTTGTCCTCCATTTTGCCAGACGTTGATGCCTGGGCAACAGACGCTGCGTGCGCTCTCGCCTTTGCAAATAATTCACTAGGGTTTTCTGTTGACTGATGGGTTTTCTGGAAGACTCGCTTCTGCCTCTGCGCCGAAGGTGTTGAACTTATCGCTCTAAGCGGCAGCCTGAAAGCAATAATCGGACGGACATGCTGTCGTGTTGGCAAGAGATTTAAGCCTCTTGTGTATAGTGACATTCAATATAATGTTCGTTGGTTGACAAAAGAGGTACCTAGGTAGTAGGTAGTTGCGAAACTAATCAGCAACTTGTATGACATGCGCCACTCACCGCCTGTACCAGAGGCGGCAGAAATTTGAATAGATCTGAGGGGTCCATGTAAATTAAATTTCACCACCAAAATAATAGCATATTGACAGAGGATTGATTAAAATGTCTAGCACGAAACGAAAGGCAATTGACACTAGTCTAGAGAGACGGGTCAGAGCTAGGCGAGAAGAATCCGTAGATATTGAAGATATAACGTCGAGTTCAGAAGCTTCAGGCGAGGATCGCAACGAGGAAACTTCCGCAAGTGATGAGGATGGAGGAGTCGAGGTCAGACAGTTTTTGCTATCCCTCTATTCTATTTACTAACCTGACTATAGTCCGACGCATCTTCCGAGCCCGAGCCTTTAGAAGCAGCATCAATCTCCTTCGGCGCCCTAGCAAAAGCATCCGCAACCCTTACCAACCCCAAATCCAAAAAGAAAAAGACCACAGACCCACAAGAGCCGACCGATACCTGGACAAACGCCGAATCCCTCGAACGAAAAGCCGGCCGACAAGATCATCGAGACTTCAATCGTTCATCAAAACATGCGCCTACAGAAATATCCTCCAAAAAGGCTGTCTCGAGAAGGCGGGAGGTGGTTCCAGTACCGAAACGAGAATTTAGAGATCCGAGATTTGACTCGGTGACAGGATATGTAGATGAAGCGAAAGTGCGGAAAGCATATGGATTTTTAGACGAATATCGAGAGGCTGAAATGAAAGAACTAAAGGAGAAGATCAGGCAGTCAAAAGATGAGGATGAGAAAGAGCGGTTGAAGCGTACATTAGAGAGTATGGAAAGTCGCAAGAAAGCGCAAGCGCGGAAGGATAAGGCAGCGGAGGTTCTGGATCGGCATAGAAAGGAAGAGAAAGAACTTGTGAAGCAGGGCAAGAAGCCGTTTTATCTGAAGAAGGGAGAGCAGAAGAAGAGGGTCTTGGTTGAGCAGTATGCGGGCTTGAAGGGTAAACAATTGGATCATGTTATGGAAAGAAGGAGGAAGAAGGTGGAAGGGAAGGAGAAGAAGAAGATGCCGTGGTCAAGAAGGGAGACTGGAACGTAGTGTTTGTGATAGTTTTGATAAACGAGTATTAATGAGTTATGAGTTGTGTATGTTCTACAACCAAATTTACAAAGCTTCTAACTTCTAAATTATTGTACTAGACCCGCCTTTTTCATGCTATTTTGGAACAACTCTCGACATCGTACACGACTCCCCAGTCTAGCACATAGCAGAAATGCTCCACTGAGTTTCCTATGCAGACTGTATGTCTCTTCAGGTGGTGGTGATAGCCTTTCCCTAATCATGACCGGAATCAACGCCTTGACTCTTTCGGTGATAGTTTGATCTTTGAAATCATAGACCTCAGGCGAAGAATCTATGAATGGTTCCGCCAACGTTAGAATTGACGCAATATGTGCGTCCAGCATTGCCTTGGATTCCTGGCCGGTAAGATATCCAAGCTCGATTGATAAGTCCCGTATAACTTTCTTGTCAGCAATGGAAGCTGCCGCTAACAGCTTCGTGTATCGAGTAATAAATTCCTCTGGGTATTCTCTAGAAGCTCCAAAATCGAGAAGTTCAAGTTTGTTGGTTTCTGCATTGTACAAGAAGTTCGTCCAGTTAGGATCCGTTTGCATGTATTTGAATTCTGTAATTTCTCGCAGGCAAAGACGTAAGATTTGAGTGCCAATCCAGTCTCTCTGTTCCTGCGTAAAGCTTTTGACTCGAGTGACTCCAATGCCATCAAGGAACTCCATAGTTAAAACTTGTTGCCCAGAAGCTTCTGGGAAAACTTTTGGGACAACGAATGTGTCTGTTTCGTCGGCAAGCAATTCTTGAAAACGACGACCACATGCAGCTTCACGAATGTAATCACACTCCCACGCCAATTCTGTACGCGCATTTGCAATGGTCTTATCGAGAAATAGACCCTTAGGAAGTAACCGTGACGCAGTAAGTAGGACTGCTAGGTTGTTGAGATCAGAGTCAATAGATCCAGCGACTCCGGGATACTGCACTTTGACGGCAACTCGAGTGCCATTGGACTTGAGTACAGCACTGTGAACTTGTCCGATCGACGCAGCAGCTATTGGCTTTTCATCAAAACTTGAGAACAGATCTCTCCAATCAGAACCCAGATTGGCAGTCATGACTTTATTTCGTTGTGAAGCAGGCATATAATCTGCTCGGTCTTGCACTCTTTGCAGGACTTCCTGGATAGGAGCTGGAAGCATCTTGGAGTCTTGAAAGCTGATCATTTGGCCAAGTTTTAAAGCTGCTCCTCTCATGCGTGATAACTTGGCAACAAGTCTTTCCATATTGCCAGCACTAAGCATGTATGAGCCTTCGCCGCCCCCTCCTCCAACCCGGCGAAGACTTTCAGTAATAGCTCCTCCAAACATGCCGGCAGCGAGCCCACCATAATTCCAGAGTCGTCCAATTCTCGAGGACGGTACTTTTGACTCTCTTAATTCATAGGGCGCGGCTTGAGTTGGTGTTTCCATCTTATTGTTGACAGCAACATCCTGAGAAATATCGTTGGCAAGATCCTTGAGATTACCGACCGAGGTCTCCGACCTTGCAGCCTCCTGTTTCCCCTGGACATCCTTGACCAGATTCTGAGGATGGCCGAAAGAAGCGAATTGAGGTTTTTTCGCGCTATTACTGGACTCTAGACCGATGCCGCCTTTTTGAACTCTACCGCCCAGCTTTCGGGCTATACGAGGATTATGGAACAAGTCCAAGTTAACACCTTCTGGAATTTCTTCATCTACCGCAACTGGCTCGGATTTAGCTCCACCATAAAAGGTATCTGGATTTAAAGTCGCCTTTCCAGGGTTCTCTGGTTCCTGTACATCAGAGGAGTGCTTAGGTATTTTAGCACGTGGTAACGAGGAGAGAGTGGTGGAGGTGTGGGTGGAGAGCTTGCTGAAGCTATCCTCATCATGACCTTCGCTCGACTTCACAGAATTATCGAGAGCATCGGCTGTTCTTGAGGGTATGTGAAACTCAGCGTCTCTTTGCGCAACCCTAGCTGATTTTGAGGAAAGTGTAGTCTGGGACGGTACGGGAATGGTCGAGCTGCCAGAAGATTTGGGGTGCAGCCCGTCATGCTCCAATGGCTCCTTCGAGGGTTCGTCTCTGGGCCTGATGGAAGGCGTATCTGTATCTATGCTTCTGCCAGCTTCACTGAAATCATCTGGCGGTATGGTTCCATCTGGGAGAGGGTATCGATCTGGCTTTTCCTGGTGGACATCTAGGTCTTGTTCGGGGGGCGAGTCCGTGGGTGTATTCGCTGGAGATTGCTCATAATGATGATCTTGTTCTATGCCCTCTTTTACTTCGTGACTTGGACTTCCTTCGACGGATTCTTTACTTGGAATCGGCTGTTCCTCCCTCTGGCCTGACGCCGTAACATTGTCCTCCTTTATATCATATGTCCAAGCTGGCGCACTTTCGTTGAGTCTCGAGGCAAGAATAGACGCAGCTTTGGCAGTTTCAGTGACTCGTTCGGTTTGGCTTCGCACAGCTCTAGATATGGTTGATGTCCTGTTATAGACATCTAATTGTCGAGCTCTAAGAGCAACATGCTTCTGTGCAACGCCTCGGGATGCATTGAAGAGCGACGCCAAGTCTAACAGCCTTCTACCAGCCATGGCAATGGGATTATAAGTGACCACCTGGCATTAGGACATTGCCCCGAGAAGTGAGTGAGAATGGGGATGGCTTCATTCGCAATGTCGAAAAGTAGCTCGCCAAGCTTTGCTGTTCGAAGCATATATGACGCGCAGCGAACAAGGATCATCTGCACTCAGTTTTGCCCCGCCAAGTCAGCGTCAACGCATGCTGATATATGGCAAGTCGGGTTGATATACTTGACTTTCTGGTTATTGTGCTCTTGTACCTGTTCACGTTGCTGGTGTATTAAATGAGCATATTTTAGAGTCTATGAATTATGTATTCTAAGATGTATCTATCATGGGGTATCAAATTGTTCTCAATCCAACCAAACCGTGGGTTTCATACCGTCATCTTCTGAAACCTTCAAACCTACTGTTCCTCGGAGTACCATCTATAATGTTACTTGGTAGACGGTGTCCAGCGTGAATGGAGGCGAGATCTAGGTTTCGCAGTATGCGGCGTTTTGGTTATAGCAAAAGTGTCTGGTGTTCCTCGTGAACCACCGCTCCCTACTCGGCTCCAAAGTCTCTGCGCAGCAGGTGTGAGCTGGCCAGAGCCTACCCTGGGACTGCTGGGGAATTTGGGAACAGGAGTCGTGTCGACTTTACCCGTCATTCCATTTAGGACTGATGCTCGTTTCGTTTTTGCATTCCTGTCAACCATTTGATGATGAAGATCTTCTCTTCGGCTCTGACTTTTGATAACAAATGGATTTTTCACTGACTCTCCCTTCCCCAGATCGATCATTGGTGGAGCTGGATGTTCGTCAGCTTCAGGCTCATCATCCACAAACGCATACCCGTTGACTCGAGGAGTTTCACTCCCATTGAAACCGGACTCCATATCGACAGCACGACGATGTCCAGAGATGGCGTCTCTGACGGCTGATAAAGAAGGAGACGGGGGAACTGCGTCGGTATTTGTTGAAATTTGGATATCTGGCATCCTGGTGTTGGAGTATGCAACCCTTTTCGGGCTTGCCCTTGAATCGTCTTGCGCCTTCTGGGCGGTTGTTTGAATGGAGTCTTCTACACTGTTTGGCGCAAACATCATCGCGTTCTTTGGCCTCGAATGCCAACCATCTGGCCTTGCAGGTTTCTCTGACACGTCCCTAATCGCCAATTGCTTGCGGTCTCCACCATCATCATAAATGGAGCCCCGCGATGCCAGTAGTTTTATTTCGATTTCCTTCTGCTTCAACATCATCTTCGACGGTAGCTTATTATCCTTTGACCACATCCATGCATATTTCTCTGCTCGTTTTTGGTTGTCCTTATCCATAAGCTTATAGAAACTCTCGTTATCTTCGCTGGTATACAACGATTGGAACTTATCTAAGCTCATATTTGTATCAATGTCCACCGCTGGGGCCTGCCGTGATGCCATGGTACTACTAGACATCACGGTCATAGGTGTATCCCCACCATAACCGTTTGGTGTATTCGAAGCTCGAGCCGGCGTCTGTATTGATGTCCCTCGTCTGCCTTTCCTCCGACCCGGAGTCATAACTTGCTGAAGTCGACGACTAGAACTTTGTATCCATGCCGAGTCGCGGGACTCTAAAGCGTCCAGGTATTCTTGTTGTGTCTCGGTTTCCAGTAGACCGGGAAAAAAGTCCCGAGCTATAATTTCTGATATGGCGTCTGTGTATGAATCTTCGTCGATAACGTTTCTAGGCCGTTTGATGCGCTTTGTGGGTGGAGGAGGTGGCATCAATTCAGTGTCGGTCGCACGGCGTGCCAGGGCTTTGGACTCCATAGTTGATAGTTTTCCTGAGCAGTATCCTTCAGTCGTGTCTCCCGTTACCAACCCACTGCAGGTTGCGATTTGAGAAGGGATTCAAGTGTACCCAGTTGTGGGGGCGCGCCAGACTGCAGATACGAGGCACTTATGGCACTTTCAAAATGTTTTGAAGTATGTCACTTCAGCTATATCGAAGTCGATGTTTGGTTGTTCGATAATGGCCATATAAGGTGTGGAGATTGGCATCCAGAACAATGTGAATCGCGAGGGGCTCCTTGAGGCCAAGATTTAGGGTGCAATCGGCTTTAACGGTGAGCTTCGGCCCGAGCCAAGCTATCTTTACATCGCGAGCTACAACTCTACTATACGCGACTGTCGTTTGAAAGAAAACATTCGTCACAACACCAAAAAGCAACACAACCACGCCAAACTTTCCGGCAAAGATCTACAGACTTCAAACAAAAATACATACGATTAAATAAATCTCTATAATTGACTGCGATACCCGAAATCATCCCCTCCTCGGACGTTTCCTGCTTCTCATAGCGCCCACAGGGCCCAGGAGAGCATGCCATCACCATGAACGGGACACCACGATTGCGGTCAGCGTTCCCCTCGACGCCGGGAAGTGCACAGCAGGGGGGTACTACTCGCAGAGTCGGAAGTCCATCCAATGGGTCAAGCGGAGGCGTACATCGAAGTTCGCCATTACCTAGCATCCCCCAGGTCCAAAGCTCAATATCATCTACACCCACAAGTGTGCCGTTGATTCCAATTACCCTCGTCGATGCGCCTACTCAACGCATGTATACGGCGGCCGTTTATGGTCTGCTGATTGTTTGGAGGTTTTATGACTGGTGGACTTTGGTGGAGGCAGAAACAACATCTTTACCTCTCTTTGGGAAATGGTTTCTTATAGATTGTGCATTTCTATATGGAGTTCCAATGTTACGGATCCCATGGCTGGAATGGTCTGACTCGACAGCAGCTGTGGCGTGTCTGGTGCATCAGGTGTTGAACTGGATGTTGATGTTTAGGATACCTGTACGTCCTTTACAAATTGGGCCCAAACACTCACTAATTATTACATGTAGCTACCTATCGAAGGATGGTTGATGTTTTTTATGAAATCCATTTTTGACAAGGAGATGTCTATTTCAGAGAATAGTGTCCGGCCTGCAAGCATTCTGCACAACGCTTCTCTCATTATGGGAAGACAAATAATAAACATTTTGCCAGAAGGGTCAGTTCTTCAGCCGACCCTCACCACCCTTAAACTATACTTACCCTTTATAGATCCGTTACGATGAATCCAGATCAATTTTCATTTTGCATAGGCGACGGTCATCCGTCTATTGCTATTCCACTCCGGTTCAACCAGACACGACCGCAACACATCGAGCTCCTGCGCGTTGATTTCGACACAAATGTGAATGAGACCATTACACTTACCAAGAAGGAGATGAAGAAACCTCTGGTCGTGGAAGAGGGGGTGACCATCATCAACTATATCACAAAGAAGCCCGGGCTTTACCGCCTGCAAAAGGTCGTTGATAGGTCAAAATCAGAGGTTCTACGGCGAATGTCAGATACTTTGGTCTTAGCGTGCCCTAAAGGAAGAGTGAAATCTTCTGCGTCAAACAAGTGCATAGGGGATCTTTCAGATTTGACTATGGAAATTGAGGGCACACCTCCTCTTAAGGTGGTGTATAGCCGCACCGCAAATGCTGACAAAAGTGTCCATCATTTCCAGAGTATTCAACCAGAAAATTTCGAGTCACCGCTCCTTGGAAATACTCGATCTGGCACTTTGGTAGTCGCAGGGAATCAAGACGTCTCATGGGGACGGTCTCAGAAAATCTCTGTACCACTTAACGAGTCCATGATACCTAGTGGTCGTTGGTTATACTCGATCGATGAAATCCATGATGCGATGGGAAACGTAGCGAATTTTTCATCTGGAGCAGATGACGGAGAACATCACTATCCAAAAGGTGTTCACCTAGAGCAAGACTTCACAGTTCACGAACGACCTGTAGCTCGCTTAGTGAACTGCGACTCGCGAACCCCCTTGAAGGTTCCGACTGGAAGAGCGACTCAGCTTCCAGTTCAATATATGACACGCGGACGGACTCCTGATGAGACCTCTCACACAATTACTTGGAAATTCACTCCTTTGGACTCATTGACGAAAAGTGGTGATCATGGCGATGATTACATTGAAGAATCGTACCTTGCTAAAACTGCTCACAACATCCCAACGATTCGCCAACCTGGCCTGTACACCCTGACCAGTGTAAAGAGTCAATTCTGTGAGGGCGAAGTAAAGGAGCCCGCGTCGTGCTTGTTACTCAACCCGCCCGAGCCTCAATTATCGATCTCATCCGAGAACATCAATGACAAATGTGCAGGAAAGCCGATCGGGTTACTTGTTGACCTCGATCTTATTGGAACACCACCATTTGTCGTCAGATATGATGTTATCACCGGCAGTGGAACAAAGTCTGAAATTGTTAATGTTAAAGGTGTGAGACAGCAACTTGAGCTCAAGCCCAGAGATGCAGGCCACTTCAAATATCGCTTCACATCGATAGATGACGATGTATACAAGGCTCATACCCTTGGTGGCAGCGAGTATGTTCTCGAGCAAGACGTCAAACCTCCAGCATCTGCGTCCCTTAGAAAAAGTCCGGAGAACATTGATGCATGTATCGAAGAGCCAGTCGAACTGCATGTTGACTTGTTCGGAGAACGACCATTTTCCTTGGAGTATGAACTCGTTCACAATGGCAAGAGAGAGCGATTTAAGAAAGCCAACATTGAAACAGACTTTTTTACAATCAAGACAAATCCACTACTCGCGGGTGGTGAGTACTCGTTAGCACTGACTAGTGTTCAAGACAAAACGGGTTGTAAAATCTTCTTGAATAGTGATGTCAAGTTCAACGTACGTCGCCAACGGCCCAAGGCTTCCTTCGGGCTACTGGATGGAAAGTTCAAGACTATCGAGGTCGAAGGTCAATCTGTTCAATTGCCCCTACGGCTTACTGGCAGACCTCCGTATACTGTATCCTACCGAAATCTCGATGACTCGCCTGATAGGATCTTAACCAAGACAGCAAAATTGGCAAACGACTACATTCTCGCCGATCGGCGAGGCAAATACGAGATTGTCGATGTTTCCGATGACAAATGTCCTGGAACTGTAAACCAGCAAGCATCGACATTTGAAATTGACTGGATTGCGAGGCCTCAGATTAAGGTTGCTGATACATCTGTCTTGACATCTGCTGGTGATAGATGGGTCAAGCGTGAAGTCTGTGAAGGAGATATCGATGGTATTGAGATCCATCTCACAGGCAAGTCCACATCATTTCTTTTTGTAACACTTCACTAATGTAAAATAGGCACTCCTCCATATGCCGTTAAATACCAGCAACGCCATAAACCAGAGTCTGGTTCTGGATCCATCATCAATAAAGAGTTCGAAGCTGCTCTGGGACTGGCAACTATTTCTATGGAGACTTCAAAAGCTGGAAAATACGAATATAGGTTCTCAGAGATCTCCGACGCTTTGTACGATCACGACTCCAAGAAGCACACCCCATTGATTCTCGAGCAAAAGGTGAATCGCAAACCTTCAGCGCACTTTATCAAGCCAGGACAATCATACAAATACTGTAAAGAAGACCTTGCTGGGGACGAGGTAATCCCAATCCGGCTAGAGGGGGTACCACCTTTCAGTCTGGAGGTCGAGATCAAGCACCAAAGCAGTGCGCGCCCCGAAACAGTCAAATTCGCCAACATTGAAACACATCAATATGATTTTAAGATCCCGCACTCCAAGCTTTCACTCGGCATCCACCAAGTCAGCGTCCGCAAAGTTCGCGACTCACGGGGTTGCCAACAGAAAACCGAATACGGAGCACCTCACGTCCAAGTTCAAGTCTACGACGTCCCAACCATCCATCCTCAAGAATCCCGCACCGACTACTGCGTCGGCGAACGTATATCCTACAGTCTCTCCGGCCAACCGCCCTTTGAGATATTCTACACCTTCAACGGCGTCTCCCGCAAAGCCAAATCCCAATCCACAACCTTCCGGCGCATCGCCGAGAAACCAGGCAACTTCACCATCACAGGCGTCTCAGACAAAGCTTCCGAATGCAAAGCCCGCACCAACATCTCCAAACTCATACACCAAATGCCCTCAGTCCGCATCTCCAAGGGCCGCGAGATGGAAATCGATATCCATGAGGGCGGACACGCGGATCTCGTGTTCGAGTTCACGGGCACCCCGCCCTTTGAGTTTACGTATACTCGCAGCACGAATGTGAGGAAGGGACAGAGGAGTCAGGTCCTCGAGACGAGGAGGGATGTCAGTGATGAGTTTAGCAAGACGGTTGTTAGTAGTCTGGAGGGCACGTATGAGGTTGTGGCTATCAAGGATCGGTATTGTAGTTTTTCGACGCAGGGGGGTGAGGGAGGTGGGAAGGGGCACAAGTTGTTGCAGTTTTAGAAACGGACATTGGCGGTTTTCTTTCTAAGTTTGTTTTTGGATTTGAGATGTTTGTTTGGTGAGACGGATGGATTGGGACAGGTTGTATGGGGGAGATCATAGCGTGGCGTTCACGGTTGAGATATGTAGGGTTGTAGGTATAGATATTGTACTTCGATACTTTAAAAATTAAAAGGTTCAGCAAAATAATTGGAGATACACCTTGATATTAGACCTGGGTATAAATAATGCTCTCCGGTCTTTGTTACTCTCGGTGTTACTCACATCCTCTCTTTGACTTCTGGAAATTGTTCATTTAAGGGAACTACCCCGTTATGATCCAATCAGCACTTTAACGCTAGATCTCACGTTACCGAGAGATATTTGGAGAACATTTAGTCGGAGATGATACTTGTACTTAAGTTTAACTTACAACCCACCCCTCCATCTCACCAGAAATTTGCATCTCCGTCCATCAATCAGGACGCACGTCACATATATCACCATCATCTCAAATCCGGCATTCACAATCACATCATCATAAAATCATACTCTCACATCAGAAACAAAGTACTTAATTGTAACAAAATTCAATTACATCCCATCCACCCCACCCCACCACACCTTCCCCTTACCCCTGCACTAGTCTACCTCGGCTAAAGCAAAAAGACACGCCAAAACACGCAGCGCGTGCAAGTACGCGTTCACGGCACGAAAATTCGCGTCAGCCAACGTGTTTGTTCAAGCAAACGCAACTCCCAATTCGCCAGTCCTATGAAATGACATGATGTGTCCCAAAACACCGGTTTTCCGCAGAATCAATGACCCCAAGGGAATTTGCTCATCGCCCACACGTATTGGGAATCCCCGCATCGCACCAAATAGTCCAGCGCCGAATTTCAATCAAAATTTCAAATACCAAAACGCCTTCGGGTGATATTTCCCCATAGATACAACATGTGTATGACAATGTGAGCGTAAGCCGTTTAAAACAAACCGTAAACACCTTTCTAGAACGTAATTGCAGAAAAGTGTCATCGTAATAAATCTCCACCAAGTTGCATCCCCAATCCATGCTTCGCTTGGTTTGGACTTGATTGTGAAAAGTTCTCAAACGTAAGACGTTTTCGTGCCACGGTCTGTGGAGTCTTGTTTAGTCGAGGAGTTCTCGTCCAGGTTTTCTGTGCGGGACTCGGCGTGATGTTGACAAAGTCACTGAAGTCGAAGTTTTGAGATGGAGTATTTGGACCTCCAAACATGGATAGAAGATTTGTACCTCCGCTCGGTGTAGTCATCATTGAAGATGGAAGTGGGGAGCTCTTGGGTGGCGGGGTCGATGGGGGTTGCATCCTTGATCGAGTTTGAACTGCTGGAGAAGGGGACGTTGCAAGGTGTAATAAGAGAGCAGCTCCTTCTTCACCAGACTTTCCATTGTTGTCCTTGTTGTTTCGTCGACCAAGGTTAGATCTCCGAGCTGGAGGTGGAGTTGTTGGAGGGGATGACCGGATATTAAATGAATGCGTTGGCAGTAAGCCGTCCTCATCATCTGAAGTTGCTGCATAGTTTATAGATTGCAAATCGTCTGGCATGTGTGAAGATCCGCGATAGAATGAAACATCTGGGCCGGCCGATGTGGTGAAGTGTGTTTGCTTTCGTGGCTTGATAGGGGAAGATTGTGTTAATTGTCGCTGTTCCCGGAAGAATGCATCTCTTGAGTTGAAGGACCTGCTGACAGCAGGTGACGATCGAAGTCTTTTCCTAGATGCACCAGAACTTGGAAGTTCGAAACTGTTGTGATAATTCCTCTTCCTCGGTCCATTACTTCCTCCACTACTTCGTGGGGTGATATCATCGGAGAAGAGAGCAGAGCCTTTGAGAGGTGAGCTCATAAGCTGCCGTGAATTTGTGTATCGAAATTCAGATCCGCTGTTCGAGGAAGAGTCTGAAAAAACATCACCACTTGAAGTAGGCCTTCGAAGTTTTAATTCCTCTTCAATCCTTGGTTCGATTGTGTCCAGGGTCAGATCTTCCCAACCTCGAGCCGCCTTGAACTGTGCGAGCGCCAATCGAGCTTTGAGCTTCCGGCCAACCTAAGAAGAAAATCCAATTAGATATTTGTAGTACTAGAACATGTAACAAGGGCAAATACCTTTCCCAGTTCCGCCCTTCGCAGCACCTTGTCCATAACCACTACTTCAGGCTCTTGTTCTTTCTTCCACGGCGACGACGACATGATCGTTTCGAGTTGAGTGACAGGCATGAGAGGCAACAGTGACAGTGTGGATTTTTGAGACCGAGACCTTGTGGGAGGACTGCGTTGATAGGCTTTATCGGGGGTGATCAAAGGTCGGCGTCAAAGATCGCAGGTGGAAATTGGACAAGCACCGGCCCGGGTAGCAGGCTTTGGTGGGGTGACAGAACTGCACTTGTGCAAGATAGTGGGATTTTATTTGAGATTTCGAATTCATGAGGTGATTTTGAAGGACTGGAAGGTGAATCTTTGTGTGGTTTGTAGTTGAATTTGCAGAGTCGTGAGGGGAGGAGGGAGGTTTGAATTCCAGCCGCTCGCCAGAAGAAGGCATTGCTTGAGGAACTCGCTGTTTCCCGGCCAATCAACCATGGCCCCCTTTGGTAGCGAGTATTATCTACCAGGTTTTCAATACCACAACCAACATCTGGAGAGTTTGAGTATTTTTCTTTAAAGTTGGCTTTGAAAGTGACATTTTGCCAGACAAATTATATATTTATTTCTGTTGTCATATTCTACACATCTCAAATGCGAAGTGTGCAAAATGGCACTCGAATCATTATCTACGATGACTTAGTGTTGCTGGTAGGATAGGTGATTGGAATTAGTACTTCGCACAGACTCTGATAAGTCCAGTCAGTCTCATCAATTTCGACCGTCAGCAAAGGAGGTTGAGATATCCTGCTGAGAATATCTAACAAAGTGCAATTGCCCAAATGCTTAGTGTTACCCAAAAGAATTCCGTCCATTTTCCGCAACGACTTGGAACCGGTTTCAAGCTAGAATGTTGAAGGAAGCTGGTACCTATAAATAAGCAATGGGCCACTGCAGAAACTGCGGAGGAAGTCCTAAGCTTTTGACTATTTCAATCATCGGGTTCATGTAGAAGTGGTGCACTTTCGGGCGCATATTGGTGCAAACAGAGTCAAGTTCCACGGCGCTTACCTACTACGGAAGTTTGTCAGTTACGGAAATCTAGCAACGCTCCGTTGCGGCGCAAGGCTTCAAGTAGTATATCTATCAAATTTTCTGCCATTATAACTAGACTTTCTCATAGCTTCATGGGCAGGGTTACGATGTTCGATGTCTAGATATTCGAAGATAGTGGAGCCTTTGACTTAAAGGCTATGGATTAGGAGAGTAACCTTGCATCAATTATTCAGTAAGATGAAGAAGTGACTTTAAAGAGCTTGCGAACCAACTTTATGGCCTTTTGGACAATCTAGCTCTTATGAATTGACAACTGCGAGGCAATATTGGTGTACTCCGGCGTGTTCTTGCTCCTCAAGTGAGACGAGCGTGTTGTCAGAATCGGCATCTAAATCCTCCTCTGACAACACCACCCCGAATTGCTCGGTTCGGGAGCGTACATATATTCAAACAATGAGAAGGCTCATTCCGACGGATGCAATGCATTCGTGGACTTTGCGGCTGTACTCACTGCAATGCTGTGTCCCAGGCTGACAGCAATGGATACGAAGGCACCACCACCTGCAACGACAGCACAGCACGACCTAACGGCATAGAGATAACATCTGAAACTTAAATAATGTACGCCGAGATAGCGCAGAGCAAATGTTTGGTGGCGCCGAGCAGAAACGTTCTGTGGCACCGACTCAGGTACTAAAGTCTCATTGGCGCTCGACGAAGCCGATTGAAACGAGACGAGGTGTAAGTTTGCGACAAAGCCGGATTTTATCTTCCTATGTGCAAGTTTAGCAGTAGATGGAGAGAAAAGCTTCCAGCCTGAATAGTAACCACTCGTATCTCCCAAGCCTCGTAGACAATGCATAGCGACATGCGCTACCAGAGCTATTCCCCTCATACAGAAGCTTCTCTATCTCCAACTACTCTACACGAGATCACGAGGCGACCAAAAGAGGTGGTGTCGTCGAGACTGGTGGCGGGCGAAGTTATTTTTTGCAGACTGCATCGTGCATCCCACCCGCATGATGCTTGCTTGAAGTGCAGCACCGTTCAGCTGGCGTGGTACTACTCGAGTAACTACTAGGTGCGCGGGAGAAACATCTTGATTTCTGCTTGTTTGAGACTCTGGATGATTTAGCAGTACTCTGTTGGTCTGTTAGTCTTGAACAGATGAAACAATGAAAAGAGTAAAGAGTATTCAAGCGCAAGCAAGTATCGCAACAATCTCTTTGTACCTGGATGCCGCCAACTCTATCCTCCCGAGGCCTGCCTCCAATCTCAATCCGCAGCCCACGAGCCAACTTTTGCGCATGTTCCCCCACCGAAAACCAAATGCCATGCTGAATCCTGGGCCTCGCGGGCCTGTAACCTTGCACGGTCGTCATCACGGTGCTTGGTTGAACCAGGGTTGATCCTCCATGGTCCCACCTGCCGGCGTAGATTTCACCACCAAGACTCCAAGACCTACTGCAAGGTGGTGAAGAGAATCGACGGACTCGAACTCTACCGCCCAGTCTCTTCTCTCTTTCTCCTCCCCGTCCTTCCGATGCAGGACAATCCCTTCATCAATCAATCAATCACAGCGGATTCTGGTCAAAATCAATCACTCACTCACTCACTCGCTGAATCACTCACGCTCGTTTATCCGTCTCCTCGTGCAATTCATTCCACTGGTCTCCGTCGCCCTTTACCTCTTACGTCGTTCGTGTTTCCCCGCCAGATCCTTCCCAATTGCCTCACGTCGATCTTGCAACCTTTCTTCTGTCCGACCGACATGATCTTGTAGTGCAATGGCACCCTCCTTTCTCAAAGAAATCCGTCGTCGTTCCAAGTCGAGCTTTAGAACGGATAGAAGCACAGATTCCAGCTTGGGAGGAAGCGGCTCCAATGGTTCCGCCGGCACAATCAATAAATCCTCATCGACGTTGAGCTCTACTTATGGAGGAAGCTCGCCGCCCACGCCAGCTCTTACGAGCTCCATGTCCGCTGGTAATCTGCAGAAGCTCAACAACAACGTTCCTCCTGTCCCACCAATCCGGCCGTCGGTAAACACGTCCGCAAGTAACAGATACAGTGTTCAAAGTGTGCCCGGCATGTCAGGACTAGGCTCCCCGTCACCCAAATCCACCCTTCCTGCTTCTCTATTTGCGCCTCGGATATTGTCGATATCTGACAATTCATGGGTAAGCGTTAAATGTACCTTCCTTCCTACATTGCTAACCAATCGCAGGTGTATCAAAAAGTTCTCTCGATATATGGCACAATTGCAGACCCCGCGACCCAAGCGCTGGAAGGGAGTTTGACAGTGAGCCGGCTTGACGACAGCTTCCCTCCTACATATTGGCCTGTTTCCGATTCTCATTTCAAAGCACTAATATATCTCACTGCTGGCCCTAACAAACTACGATTCGATTTCACCTCTCCAAAGCTTGCCAACAGCAACACCTCTAACCCTATACACTCATCTTACCTCACTCTTCACATGTTACCCCCGCAATGTTCTCCTCCACTTCAATTAGTTATCCTTCTAGGAAAAGATTCGCCAGGAACCTTCGACGCTGTTCCAGCGCGTATAGAGACGGAGGGCAATGGGTTGGAAACTGCTATTAAAAAGTTTAGGATGGCCGCATACTTATGGCAAGCTTTCACCGCGGAACAGATGTACCGCAACAAATTAGGACGAAGGGTTTTCCGGATGGAAGAAGAGTGGACAACAGGCACGTCGAATCTACGAGACCAGGAAAACAACACAATGAGGAGTGAAGCCAAGATACACGTCGTCAGATGCGACAAAACAGTTGCGGAATTGCGGGACCTCGACATCGCTCAACAAAATCCTAATGCTAAAAACCAAGGCAAGTTGTTTGATATAGCCTCAGAAGCCGTGCGAAATCACTTTAGGTCATTGCCAGGACAGAAACAGTATGTATCCGTACTTCTTCTGGATGCTCATTGGGACAAGGGAGCAAACATGATTACTGGTCACGCTGCGCTTGGTGGTGGGGGAGGAGATTTGCAACTAGCAATATTCGGGTCACAAGCTTTACAAAGTTATCCATCTTGCATTGAAGAGGTAGTTCCAGCATTCTCGGACCGCACGCCTACCGATACCAACTATGTTGCGAATGATTGTAACGAATCCGGGAGCAATTGGGAGGCGGCCAACATTGGAATTGGTGCCCATATGCATGAGACTGGTCACTTGTTTGGGTGTCCTCACACTGAGAGTGGCATCATGCTTCGCGACTATGTTACGCTCAACCGTTCCTTCACCACTCGAGAACCTTATTCTACCCGCACGAAGTCGAAAGGCAGTTTAGTGTTGCCCAAAGATGAATGCGCATGGCATCGCTTGGATTGCTTAAGATTCAAAGCACATCCTTGTTTTGCATTGCCAACAGACCCACCAAGAATAGCAGACGATTCCGTCCAGGCGTGGCCGGTTGATAACGGAAACGTTATTGTTACTGCGGCGTCAGGTGTATCATTTATGGAAATTTACACTCCTGGAGATGACGTATGCCACTATTGGCAGGAGTTTGGTGACGGAAATGGAAATGGACCAATTCAGAAGCAAATTCTTTTGACTGAGCAGGACTTGCGTTCTCGAGTACCAGAGGAAAAGAGAAAGTCAAAGTTGAAACTTTCTATCAAGTCCATCACAGGCGGCAGTCATGAAATTGAGGACTATAACCAGCTAGCCTCTAAAGCATCAAAACTCAAGCTCTCGAACGGTCAGATGGCGTTCAGAAGCAGCAAGCTTGGCCTTTCTCAAATGAATGGATCGACCCCACAAGACGTTGTTTTGGACAGTGTAGTCAAACAAAACAAACTACTCACGCAAGTGAAATTGTACAGTGGTTTTGCTCTTGATGGCATAGAGTTTATCTACGAGGATTCTACGACTCAGCTGTTTGGAAAAAGAGGTGGGCAACCAGGTGGAAGTGATTTCTTTTTAGGTATGTTCTACAAATTGTTACCCTGTGTCCTCTTCTTGTACTAACAAGTTCTAGATACCCGCAGAGGAGAGTATATTACAGGTTTCTATGTTCGAAGCGGATTTTGGATTGATGGAATTGCAATCATGACGAGTCTTGGCAGAAAATCTGCCGTGTATGGAAATCCGAATGGTGGTTCTGGGTGAGTTCTCGAGTTTGTTCATTTTGTTGGATCTGTGCTAACCATATGCAGTCATACATTAATACCTCCGAGAGGTTATAGCATAGCAGGCGTTACAGGTTCATGCGCGGATTGGCTAGACGGATTTGGAATCCTTCTTACCCGGTGATAACGGCCATTGCTTGAGTTGGGGATTGGAATCGTATGGGCATTTCAGAAGGTATTGGCATACTTGTATAAATTCAAACATTGGGATATGGTATTGGGTCATTCTGGGGGAACTGCATAATACACCCCCAAATAGATAGAAGGTGGCTTTTAATGATTGTCCTTAATAGTAAGTAGCATATCAACAGGATGGATTAGCATATGGCCTGGCTTAACATGTAATATGAAGGTTGGGTCTTGTTAGGAAGAATATTATCCAACTTCATAAAACTGACTCATTTCACTTCATGACAGGTCAACTGAATGGTCAATTGAAGCCACAAAATATCATACCCTCCAAAGCCTGTTTACTTCAGCAAAGCTTGAATCAGCGCTTGCATTCCACTCACCCCTGCATTTTCGTGGCGGGGATCCTAAGCGAAAGAGCACCTTCAACGTCATGAGCGCAGGCTGGCGAAAATCCAAGGTCTCGAGCTTCTCGCGACATCAAACTACCTACCACGCTACCTCTCTTATTCTTTACCAACCGCCAACAGAAGCTCTACCACAATACACCATCGAGTCTAGTCCCTAAGCTTTACTATTTTAAGAGCCTCACGAACATGTCGAAACGAACGAGTTCTAATGTCGTCTCCAAGGCGAAGAGCGAGCCTAGTATGTTGTTTACCGCCCATTCTGTTGGAGGTAGCAGAGACTAACATGCTGGATGCGTAGATGTCGAAGAACAGAAACAGATGCTCGCGGATGACACGAGACATTTCAGTATGATCCGCATGCTGCATCTCGCGGATTTGATTACCGAGTTGAATGGTTGGTGCTATCCTCCATCTCCTTTCCTGTGCAGTGGTTAATGTAAGATGATTAGGCTTCTGCGGTGTCATGTCCATCTTCTCATCCATGAGATACTGTCTCGGTCCCCCATCCGCAACGGCGAATCTGTGGGCCGCGCTGGCGTTTATGCCGTTTGGATTATTTTTCGATTTTATGGATGGCAAGGTTGCGAGGTGGAGGAAGAAGAGTAGTCTTATGGGACAGGAGTTGGATTCGTTGGCGGATTTGGTATGTACCATCCAATCTCATCACCTCTGTAATCATCGCGGAGGATGATGTAGAAAACGATAGTTGAGATCTATGCTAATGTATCATTAGGTCTCCTTCGGCGTCTCCCCCGCCGCCGCCGCCTTCGCAATCGGCATCCGCACTCCCCTCGACCACCTCTTCCTCACATTCTTCGTGCTCTGCGGCCTCACGCGTCTGGCGCGTTTCAACATCACCGTCGCCAACGTCCCCAAAGACGCCACGGGCAAATCCAAGTACTTTGAGGGCACGCCGATCCCTACCTCGCTCAGTATTGCAGGGCTAATGGGGTATTGGGTTTCCAAAGGATGGATTGGTGATAATATCCCAATGGGTGTGGTGGGCCAGGGAACGATTTTCGAGTTCCATCCTGTGGTGGGACTGTTTGTGCTTTGGGGCGCGATGATGTGTAGTAAGAGTATTCATATTCCTAAGCCTTAGGTTGGGAGAGGAGGGATGGGGGTTGAAGGGGAGTGGGTGTTTGAGTTGCGATTTGCGTTGAGGTTGTGCGAGGAGACGGTTGATACACTATGAGCGTGGTTTTGAGATTGGGTTGAGGTTTAGCTGGAGTTTAGTATGAAGCACACTTCTCTGCATACCTTGTGTCTTTGAGTCTCGGACGTCCATCATCCTCTGAACGAATTTCAAATCTCTGAGTGCATATGTTCAGTCCCTAACCTGTCTTTTTTACTATCCTAGACTCTGGGCTGTAAAGACCCAATTCCTCCAAGACACAATGACAGAGTCCTATTTTGCCGTATAGTTTATCTACCCATTGCTTCTTTGTAAATGAAGTACAAGGCGACATGTAAGATAGTCTCAATTAATCGACTTGATACACTCTTGATTCATCGTAAGTGAGATAATACCTCGTCAACCATAAATGCCTCCTAATACTCATCCCCCGAAAATAGCTAACTTATGACCAATCACTACATCTCTCGCTTGATCGACATTGAGATACCTTACACAATCTAACTTCTCTTGATTTTGTTTAATTTAACATACTGTTCTGGTTGCCCGGCTGGATAGTGCGTTTTCTTCGTAGATAATTGTTTCTTGGTTTGGATTTACTTGTTTGCAAGGGTTTGGTTGATGGGGGTTTGAGGGATTGTTTTTGCTGGGGTGGGTTGTGTGTCTGGAGTATGGATGGGTGTGTACGAGGAGGTGGTTTGGTTTGGTGTGGTGTGGTGTGTGATGAGGAGGGGATTGGGGATGCGGTTATGGCAGAATACGTGTTCAATAGAGTAGATTCTGGTGTTTCCTCAAACTGGAGTTTGCCGTCCAAAGATGCGTGTAAACTCTAGTTTGAGATCCTACGGCCAACAACTACAGCTGGATGTTCGGTGTTTGTAGTTGATTAGCCTAGGAAGCTAGAGTTCAGTAAGTCAAAAAAGCAGTGCTGTAATCCTTTTATATATCCTTTTATTGAGTATAAACCCTCAGAAGCCATCCTGACATAATAAGAAACATGCCGTTCAAATAACCATAACGCCCACAATTTACATAACCACCCACATGTCACACGATCATCTCTAACCTCGTCCCCTCGAGAACCCCCCACCTCTTCCACCTCCTCGTCCCCTAGGCGTAAACCCACTACCACCCCTCGAAAACCCGCCTCCACCTCTGGAACCCCCTCGTCCTCCAGCACTGAATCCCCCACGTCCCCTAGGCGCACCGCGACCTCCGCCTCGTCCACCACGCATGGGCGCTCCTCGTCCACCTCTGGCTCCACCTGCGCGCTTGGGTTTTGGTGCTCCGGGTGGTGGTTTTGGTTTTGGGAGGAACTTTTCGAGAGGGAGGAGCTTGTCGCCGCCGATGTAGAATTTGTCGCCGGAGGCGAAGGAGGTGGCTTGGATGCCTTCTGAGGGTCTGGATATTGTGTTAGGGTGGTAATATGGGAGAGGAGTTGGGGAGGGGTTACTTGATTGTGAAATAAACTGCGAATGAATTAGCTTTTGAGGCATAGAAGGGTGTAGTTGTGAGACTTACCTTGGTTTATAGGACCCAGAATCTCGTCGACTTTGCCAATTGCAGTCTATTTCGCATTAGCAACCAAATTCCCCTTTCCGCAAATTCGAAGCCAACGAACCTTATTCTCAAGATATATCGGAGCATTGAAATACGGAATCTTAGTATTCACAGACTCGCACACAATCTCTCCCTCACACGCATGCAAGAACGTTCCCATTTCTACCCACCATCAGCCTCAGTTCAATCGCCTCGCACAAAATTCGCTACACATACCATGAACAGCATCCGGCGGTCCATTATCTCGTTGCTGGAACCCTCCACGTCCTAGAAATCGCCGAATTAGCCAATTGCGACAATACATGCAGCGCACAAAATGTACCTCCACGACCGCCAAATCCTCCACCGCCTCTACCTCCGCCGCCGAAATTGGCGCCTGTGCCGCGTCCTCTGGGGGCGCCTCGGAATGACATTGTGGTGTTGTGGTTGTTTGCTGGAATTATTTTTTTTCGTTAATTTTTGGGCAGAGCTTGAAATTTTGAGGGAGCTTGGGATTGGGGGTGTGGTGCTGGCCTATCGGAGGGGAGATCGGAGGGGCTACGGGGGTGTGATGAGGAGAGGCCGAGGGGATGGGATGGTACTTTTTCGGGTTCTAGGAGTTGAACATGTGCTAGATTTGATATTAGATAAACTCCTTGAACTGAAATTCAATTCATGAATTTTTACAGATCGGTTTAGAACCTTTTGATACTGTTGTTCTCATTTGCTTCTTCCACACTTTCCCTGTCGTTTAACTTCTGCCCATCACTGACTCACCGCCCGAGTCACAAAACACAACACCCCGCCAAATACTTACTCTCCAAACACCCACATTAACACTCTCGCAAAACAATACGAAAACCGCAATCATGGATAAAGCACAAAAAGCCGTCGATTCTGTAGTCGACGGCGTCAAGAAAGTCGCCATTGGCGAAAAGAAGCAGAAACCCAAGAAGGAAAAAGGAGGGGATGGTGGGGCAGATGCTGGACCTTTGGAGATGAAGCCACAACCGCAATTCCTCGCAGACCGATTGGAATTGTTCAACAAGCTAAAGGCGAAATATGATGCGGAGATTGCGGCGAAACCGAGAGAGTCGATTCAAATTACGCTGGGGGATGGGAGTGTCAAGGTTGGGACGTCGTGGGAAACTACACCGGCGGATATTGCAAAGGGGATTTCGAATAGTTTGTTCAAGCGAAGTGTGGTTGCGCAGTTGAATGGCGATTCAGCGCAATTGTGGGATCTGGAACGCCCGCTTGAAGCGAGTTGTAAGCTTGAGTTGCTTACGTTTGATGATCCTGAGGGGAAGAAGGTGTTTTGGCATTCGAGTGCTCATATTTTGGGAGAGGCTTCGGAGAGGAGATTTGGGTGTAGTTTGTGTATTGGTCCACCTATCTCGGATGGATTCTACTACGAGATGGGCTTGCCAAACGGAGGTGCTGTTGCTCAGTCGGATTGGAAGCCATTGGAGACTTTGGTGAGTCAGATTGTTAAGGAGAAGCAACCTTTCGAACGACTTGTTCTTTCCAAGGAGGACCTTTTGGAGATGTTCAGTTACAACAAGTATAAGCAACATATCATCAAGGACAAGATCAAGGATGGAGAATTCACGACTGTATACCGGAATGGACCTCTGATCGATTTATGTCGAGGTCCTCATGTGCCAAATACTGGTCGTATCGAGACATTTGCTATCATGAAGAACTCTGCTTCTTATTTTCTTGGTAATAAGGACAATGATTCCCTGCAGCGCATTTATGGTGTCTCGTTTCCGGATAAGAAGCAGATGGCTGAGCACAAGAAGTTCTTGGAAGAGGCTGCGAAGCGAGATCATCGCAAGATTGGTCGAGATCAAGAATTGTTCTTCTTCCACGATCTCTCACCTGGTTCGGCCATGTGGCTTCCTCACGGAACTCGTATCTACAACACACTTCAAACATTCCTTCGAGAGGAGTACTGGAAGCGAGGTTACAATGAGGTTATTTCCCCAAATATGTACAATTCAGAATTGTGGAAGACATCTGGTCATTGGGATCATTACAAAGATGATATGTTCACATTTGGTGTTGAGAAGGACACATTTGCGCTCAAGCCAATGAACTGTCCTGGTCATTGTCTCATGTTTGATCACCGCGAGCGGAGTCACAGAGAATTGCCATGGAGGGTTGCCGATTTTGGTGTTCTTCATCGAAATGAAGCTTCTGGTGCTTTGTCAGGTTTGACAAGAGTGCGTCGATTCCAGCAGGATGATGCCCATATTTTCTGCAGAGAAGATCAGATCAAGGATGAGATTACAGAGCTTTTCGACTTCCTCAACACTGTCTACGGTCTGTTTGGATTTACCTTCAAGATGAAGCTCTCCACAAGACCAGAAAAGTTTTTGGGAAAGATTGAGACTTGGAATATGGCTGAAGACAAACTTCGAGCAGCCTTGGATGAGTATTGTGCTAAAGGTGGTGCGCCTTGGGAACTGAATGAGGGTGATGGAGCTTTCTATGGTCCAAAGATTGATATTACCATTTCTGATTGTCTGAGAAGAGATTGGCAGTGTGCCACCATCCAGCTTGATTTTCAACTTCCTCAGAACTTTGGGTTGGAGTACATGACGTCCGAAATGGTAGTCAAACCAAAAGAGGATGCCGATGCTGCTGCGGCAAAAGCCAAGGCAGAGGAAGCTGAAAAGGAAAAGGCTAAGAAGGCGGCTACATCGGAAGTGCCAGGCGCAAAGAAAGAGCGCGTATACAAACCACTTACTCCAGGATGTGCTCGCCCTGTTATGATTCACCGAGCTATTGCTGGTAGTATCGAACGTTTCACAGCCATTCTTTGTGAACACTTTGGTGGAAAGTGGCCCTTCTGGTTGAGTCCACGCCAAATTTTGATTGTCCCGGTTGGTGTCGGCTTTTATGAGTATGCGCAAGAGGTGCAGACCATCTTCAAGAAGCAGAATATGTTTGTGGATATCGACCTCAGCGGCAATACTCTGCAGAAGAAGATTCGTACAGGACAATTGTCTCAATATAACTTTATTTTCGGTAAGTTGTGTTGTAATTCCTACGCATTTAGAGAAAGCTAATGTTTTGGCAGTGGTTGGTGATGCAGAGATGAAGGGGAGAGAAGTCAACGTCCGAAATCGGGATGATACCTCAAGTCAAGATAGAGGAAAGCCTGTGGCGTTGCAAGAGGCTATTGAGAAGCTTGTTGCTCTCCGGGACGAGAGAAGATCGGATAACCCGTTCCCTGGTGATGCGAAAGCCGAGGCGCCAAAAGCTTGAGAAACGAGATTTAGGAAGAGTGATAGTTCGGCATGAATTCTGTGATGATTATGAATACCTGGTATTTCTGAACCACGTGTGAAGGATATGTGTGTTGCTCATGATATCAATGAATGACATTCATGAAAGTAGTCACAAATAAAAGCATTAAACCTTCAGCCAGCTGTGTAGAACATGTGTTGCTGACTGAAGGAATTTGAGGATCTGTCATAACTCTAATGTAGAGGGGTTCCGTCTTCAGTCATTTGGTATTGATCTCGTGATCTGATGTGAGATGTGAACATATTCCTGTGGTTTCAAACTCTTATTACTCTCTGAAGTCAGTAATAATATATCCATCTTATTACTAGTCCCCGATCTCTCCCCACAATTTCATTAGGAAGATTTGCGACGGGAGATCTGCGCGGCTTCTCCATGAAGGATCCTGACGTCGTGTCGCCCGTGCATGTGCCGCTGAAGCCGATGGAGAACTAATGATGTTCGGATGCGCGATTGTTATTGGGCGATGTATCGTGATCAGAGTGTTGGTCTGTTGGCTCTTTTCGGCCAAGAATCGTAGGAAGATTGGCAAAGCTGGAATCATCGATGTTGAATTGTTGAATTTCAAGGTCTGGCATGTACCGATATACATGCAGTACGGGCGTTGCTGCTTGACTACGATACGATTCAAACTACTGTACTGTGGATGGTTGGTAGTGGCGGTTTAGCGTCGCAGGAACAGGAATTGGGGATGAAGCCGAAGCCGAAATGCCTCACGATATGTACTTGAGATGTGTAACAGCTTTTGAATGTGGCAGAGAATTGAGAAGCCTAGCTACATCCAATGTGAGTGATAAAAGCGTCGTCACCAGCAACGGCAAATGCACCATGATTCATCCCGCAACCTCGATTCCCGTATGTAGAAATATTGAGGATATAAAATGAGCATCGACACACCTAACCCCGGTCTGGCTGAAGAGTGCGCCAAAAGCGACGAGTCTTTGTGGCTTTCTGCGGGGCTGAAGCCGCTTGTGACGACTGCAATTGGACGTCCTACGTCATTAATCACAAGGAAAGAGGAGGTCACCCCCCAAAAGCAGCTTGAGCAATCAAATCAGTCCTCTCTCCTCCCCATCCAGCTCATCCGCCGATTCCTTGGCGGCCCAGCCCAATGGAGTAGTGGGAGTTAATCGCAATTACACACGCAACTAGTAACATACCACCGCTGCCGCACTTTTCTCCTCATCGTCAGTTCGTTGTCTTACTTCTCTTTTATTTACACATCCCCGAGAGAGTTGTGTTGTAAACAAGGCTTTGTCTGTTGCTTTGTGCCGTACGCGAAGTTACTCTAGGTATCCTCTGTGAGACCTCGAATCACCATAATCGACTACGTCAACCACGTCAAGCTCGCGCATTCACCGCCGACTGCGAAGCAGATTGCGCATCTGAGATCACTACAACACGATCCAAGTTTCAGTACTATTTATTCACACTTCTGGCAGAAGCTGAACGGTACGTTATTCTGCACCTCTCATGCGGTTTCCGACAATCAATGCTCCCCCCAGCTCCTTGAAACAATCCGCTCACGGTTGCAGCCGAGACCACACACTGACTGTGACGTATCGACATCAGACCCCTAATCCTTCATCATGGCGTCTCTTGACCCAAACCATAATATACCTACGCCATCCCAGTCCCATATCGAGCGAGGCTACGGAGCAGGCAACGCGCAACGATCACATCTCGAGCCAAATAACAACGTCGCAGCAGCGGATTTCGGCAGTGCGCCCCCTCACGAAACCTCACCGCTCGCACAGTCTACAATCGCGCAAATGAACGCCGGTCGCTTTAACGAGGAGTGGGATGCGAGCCAGAGAGGGAGCTCGATTATAGATGGGCCATTACAGCGATCTGGTTCTGGCATGTCGCAAGGCGAGACCCTTATTCCCTCAAGAGGAGGGACTTTGAAGAAGAAGGCGTCGATGAAGAGGACGGGTTCTTTGAAGAGATCGAGCAGTCGGAGAAGCTCGAGAGCGGGTAGTGTACGAAGCCTGGCGCTTCATTCTACCTCGGGTGAAATGGATGAAGCTCATAGCGCATTCTATTCTCCTGTACCAACATCTGGAAACCCTACAGAGATTCTCGCAAACAGATTTCAGTGTAAGTTTGTAATGCTCGATCCCAATTCCATAACTAACATCGTGGACAGCATGGCGCAAAGTCTTGAAAGACCTCATCACTTACTTCCGAGAGATCCAAGCTTCCTACGAGCACCGATCGAAAGCTATGCTGAAGATCTCTAATGTGATCAACAATACCGCAGCACCTCCTTCATTTCTCCAATCCGGTGGAATTGACGATGCGCTCCAGATCTTACGTGGATATCACAAGACTTCAATTGGCGAAGCCAACAAGTCCAAGGATATTGAGAACGATGTTATTCTAGCATTGGTTGGGCTTCGAAGTGATCTGAGCCAAAAGATCAAGGAGATTAAAAGTTTGTCAGGGGATTTCAAGAACTCTGTTGATAAGGAGATGGAATCTACACGGAAGGCTGTTAACAATCTTCAAGAAGGCTTGGGTCAGGCAGATGCTGATCCAGCACAAGTGACTGGCAAGCAGGATCCATACCTCCTAAAGCTTGCCGCGGATCGTCAGGTCGAGAAACAGATAGATGAGGAGAATTATCTTCATCAAGCTTATCTCAATCTCGAGGCGTCAGGTCGCGAGTTGGAATCGATTGTGGTTGGAGAAATTCAAAAATCATATAACGCTTATGCTGGAATCTTGAAGCGCGAAGCTGATGGCGCATATAATACCGTCGAGGAGCTTCGCACTGGTCCGATTGCTATGCCAAAGGATCACGAGTGGTGAGTTTCACTGCTAATGCGTTTACACATCGTTATACACTTCAGTCGCAGTTGTTTCAAGAATCAGGCTAACAATTATTCAGGAATCAATTCGTCTCCAATGATGAACATTTTGTAGACCCAAAAATACCTATCCGAGAACCTCAAAATATATATTATCCTGGTAGAGACAATTCGTTGGCACAAGCTATCCGCGAGGGCTTGCTTGAGCGCAAGAGTAAATATCTTAAGAGGTATGCTGGTTTCCTGCCTGACGCAAACAACACTAACATGAAATCAGTTACACTCCGGGCTGGTATGTCCTTTCTCCTACTCATCTTCATGAGTTCAAGTCTGCGGACAAGACACAAGCTCCTATCATGTCTCTCTACCTTCCAGAGCAAAAGTTGGGTTCAAATTCCTCTCAAGGCGCATCATCAAACAAATTCATGCTCAAAGGTCGTCAAACTGGAACCATGCACCGTGGACATTCTTGGGTATTTAGGGCCGAATCTTACGAAACCATGTTGAGTTGGGTTGAAGATATTCGCACTCTCACCGAAAAATCCCCACAAGAACGAAACGCATTTGTACGACAACACGCTCGAAGCATCAGCGGTGTATCTCAAAAAGCAGCATCGGTCAGTAGTGATGGAAATATGGATGAAGAAGATGAAGAACCGTTCTCTACGGCTGCCTCAGCTGTAGTCGCGCCGGATCCAAAACATGATGGGCCTAGGCGTCCCCAAGGTGGGCGATTCCCTAGTGACCTCCAAGTCAACGCACAACGCGGCTTACAAGCTCCTCTCTCGCCATCTAGTGGAAGTTCCGGTTATGGAGAACAAGATCGAAGCGTAATCGCAGCCGCCGGCAACCTTCCGGGTCAAGGGTATGGCGATAGTCAAGGAGATGAAATATCTCACGGAGAACAGGTTCATCAAGCGGCGATGAAAGACGGCGTTAATCCTTATACTTATCAACCTATTAGCACCGAACATCTAAACAACTACGCCGATCATTCTCCATCTGCCGCTCCTATTGTTGCTGCTGGTATCGGTGGTGCTGCAGTCAGCGCTGTTGGTTTAGAAGCATACCATGACCGCGATCATGCATCCGACGAGGCGGTTCTCGAAGAGCATTCTCGCCAACAAGCAGCGGCACAAGCCGCTCAGGAAGCTTCCATGATCGCTTCTCCCGACGTAGCAATTCTCTCCCATCAATCCCAAACCCACAACCACGACGACCAAACTGCTAACGACTCCGTCACCGCCGCACCTAACACCCAGACCTCCTCAGACCCAGCCTACGACATGTCCGGCGGCCGCAGCCAGAGCGATCTCATCACCGCCAACTCTCTAGCCGCAGACGCCAACGGCGAAAACCCCATCAAAACACTACTTAATCCACTCACGAATGATTCGCCAATGAGACCGTCCCTCGCAGCCGGTCAGAATCATCAGAGTGTAGCTAGTATCAGTCAACTCCACGTCCCTGGCGAGTTTCCTAGAGCGAGCGACGCGAGTGGGAAACCGGGTGTGGTTGGGAATTCTCAGTTGCCTGTTTGAATGGTCAAGAGAGTAGAATTTCTTTTTTGACTTGAAGGGTGGTTTGGGGGCTTGTAACATTATGAGGGTTATGGGAGGGATACTTTTTTCTTTGAGTTCTTGGGATGGTATGGGTGGAGAGGAGTGGAAGGGAGTGGAGGGGAAGAGGAAATGTTTATAGGGTAAATTGCTATGCTATGGCTTGGGAGTTTTCCTGGGGTGAGGCGTGTTGATTGATGTGAGAGGGAGTGTAGTGTATTTTAGGTAGATGTATCTATCTTTAACATATCTGATGACCTTTTGGGTAATTCTGTTTCTGATGCGTGATCTGGTTTGTTGGTTTGGTTAGAGTGAGATTGTGAAGGTTTTGGTGTTTGATATTGGTGTATTGACGTGGATTGTAAGAGGATATTTGGTGGATGATGGTATGGTTTGTAGATAGATTTGATGGGATTTGATGGACAGTTACTCACTCACTCACTTACTAAGAAACCCGTATATCGTGTGTTAAATTCCAAGATATCTAAATAGTACGTAGTATTTTATTATTAGCTCAGGGAAGGGAATAAGCTGTCTACCACTTATCCTTACATTACAAGTACTTCCTTAAACTCTACCCTCTCATTCTACTTCCTTTTATATAGACATCCTATACTTTCCCTCCTACTACCTTAATTACACCCAACTAATAACAACCTTAACACTGATAAACCCACTCCATCCCATCCCACCCCATCCATTCCATCCCATCCCATTCTCTCGCAAAACCATCCTTAGATACTCTTGTTCTCAACCCTACACCCTAGAGCAAAGAGTAACGTTAATTAATCCTCTGTCTATTATAGGTAAGTATGTTTTTCTCGTCTAGCTTAATTATAATTAAATATAGGGCTTATGAATTTCATCGGTAGGGGAAAGAGGGGAGAATGATTTATTTAGGTATAGTTCTTTGTGTAAAAGGACTTCTTTTTATAATACATTTTATAGTTTTCTAATATAATCTTATAGTAGCTAGATATATCACTGAATTACACCTCATCCATGTCACTAAATACAAAAGTCACGAACTTCAAACAAGTCTTCTAAAGTTCGCATTACTTCCCCTCGCTGTTACTTTCCCTCATTGTTACTTTCGCTGGCTCAATCATCCGCTGCCTCTTATGTATCCAACTACAATCAACATCATAGACGCATTGCTTAGAAAAGATAGCTTATTTAACAACTCAGGTCACTGAAACACAACAGTCATACATCCTCAATAAACATACGTATTATGCATTACTCCCCTTCTACTCCCGCTGTTGCTTTCTCTATCGTACGTCTTTACTTCGCTGCCTTTTTCTTCCGCTGCTGCTCATTTATCTAACTGCGATCAACATTATAATCCGATAGGTAGACCAACTTCTTTATCGAGTTTATTTAACACCTCAGCCTTGTCACCAAATTACTTTCCCTCGCTGTTGCTTTCTCGCTACAGTACCTCTTGCTTTCACTACCTCTGAATTCGCCACCTCTCATTTACCCAAGTACAATCAACATCCTAGATAGACAAATTACTTTATCAAGTTTATCTAACACCTCGCCCACATCACGAAATACAACAGTCATGAATCTTAAATAAGTCTTCGTATTATGAATTACTTCCCCCCGCTCTTACTCTCACAGTCTCACTGCCTCTCATTTCGCCCCCCTCTTATCTACAAACAACACAACGCTCCCCCAGCACTTCCCCAATACATGCCTAATCCCAATCCCAATCCCAACGCCATACAAATGCACAAGACACGCACAATCATGATATCCCATAAGCCTACCAAACGCCATACCAAAATGCCCAAACCACCAAACACCTGATTTAATCTAAAGTCGATCATAAAATAACGATGGGTCATGAATCAACCCTCACCCCCATCTCCGCCCTGAACAACCTTCAACTTCGTCCTTCGTCTCGGCGGCGTCTTGGGCGGTAGTTTCCTCGCGCTTTCCACTCTCATCGGCGGTATAGGCGGAGGTGGGAATTTCTTCCCTCTCTTTGGCTCTTTCACCTCATTCGCGCCATCCCTTTGCGTTTCCTCGAATTCCGTTTTCCGACTCGGAGTTTGCACGCCAGGTTTCTCCATTACAGCAGCTACATCAATTACACTGACCGAACTCTCAGTTTGCGCCGGACTAAGTGATATACCGAGGAGTTTACGCGCGACTTCGCCATCTGAAGGGGACTCGTTGTCGCGGAGCCAAGGGACATTGGTGACGCGCTCTACGAGACGGAGGGTTGTTTCGTCGGCGGGTTCCCAGTGGGCGTTTGTGTTGTGGCCGAGGAGGGATAGGACTTTGTGGATTTCGTCGCGTTTGTAGTGGGGTGGTTGGCTGAGCTGGGTGTGTGCGAGGAGAGGGTACATTACTCTCAGGTAGGTGTGGCGGAGGGAGATGAGTTCGTTGGGGAGGTCGAGGAGGTTGCGGATTATTACGTCGAGGAGGACGCGGAGGTCATTGGTGTAGAAGTATTCGTAGGTGACGCGGGTGGTGAAGAGGAGGTAGAGCAGCTTGAGGATGAGGAGTTGGAGGCTCGTTTCGGTTTCCCGGTTTAGAAGGAGAATTATGTTTTCTCCAAAGGTCATGTAGGAGGAGCCGTGGAGTCCTAGGAGTTTTATAACGCGATTTGTGAGGGGTGGAGAAGTGGTGGGTGTTGAGGTTGCAGAGACCATGTATTGTTCGTTCAGTACCAACTACTCAGACACATTAGTTATGCAAACGATATAGCAAGAGGTCTCACCCACCAAAACACGAATAACAGGATAATGATAAGGATCATCCACATCATCCGAAAGCTGCTCAATAATCTGAAAAAGGCCCGTAACAAACTCATCACCCACCTGTCCCAAATCCTCATGACTGAGCCTCTGCATCCTCGACATCTCATACAACAACTCCAGCAGCAAACGATGTAATCCAGCATCCTTGCCACCTTCTCCTTTAATCAACTCCAACAATCTCGGAAAACACCCCTCCTCATTCATCATCTCAAAAGTCCGCTCATTACCCCTCCCGTCCAGCAGCAGGAACCCCGCGAGGAAATGTAACGTCTTGCCCTCATCTTCTTGCAGCAGGCAGTATATCAATTGGATCCGTATGTACTCTGCGTGTGCCTCGAACAAGGGCGAATGTAGGAGTCTATGTATACAACGCGCGACGTCGTCGTCGGATTGGAGGTATTCGTCTCGGAAGTTCGTCGTGAAGTGGAGGTAGCTTCGGAGGGCATTATCGATTAATTGGTGAGAGGGACAGGGTTTGGTTACTATGTCTTCGAGTTCTGCAGGTTGTAGTGTGTTAGTTGATGCAGTATGAAGAAGGGGGAATCATGATAATATCAACATACCATCCCAGAATTGTTGTTCGTTCTCGAGGGTGTACTCAAACTCCTCCATTGTCAACCGCGGGGTAAGCTATCGCACAAGCATTCCGGAGGGAAAGTTGTCTCAGTGATATAGTGTGAGATCTTGGGCAGTGCAGTGAAGACTGTGAAGTGGTCGTTACTTTGGTGTGAAATGTAAATATGTTAGGGTAGAAGGTGGGGAATCAGTCGGAGGAGGCTACCGGTTGTCGCCAAACGCATGAGCTTATGAGGGGTGATTCAAGGTCACGTTCACAGTGGATGTTGCAAAACGATTACTGTACGCGCCCACAAATTTAAAGATTCACGACGAAACAGGTAAAGAAGCTCGTGATGATCGTTTTCATTTCAATCAACTCTTATGGTATACACTTAGTCTGGTCGCCGCCAAAATTAACTCCTTAAACCAAAGTCTCGCATAATGACCTTATCCAAACGGAAATCCACCACCACCCCCACCAAATTGGAATTTGAATTGCTGTCCACCACCCTGACTGTGTCCGGCAAATGGATGACCACCAAATGGACTACCTTGGAATGGATTTTGACGTTGTTGTTCGTGGTCATTTGGATCATCTCCTTGATCAAATCTGGCCTTCAGCTCAGGATTACTTAGTACTTCATATGCCTCGTTGACTTGAGACATTTTCTTTTCGGCATCCTCTTTGGATATGCCCAACTTGTGCGCCTTATCTGGGTGATGTGCCTTGACCATTCGTCGATACGCTCCTTTGATTTGCAATTCATCTGCATCTCTTGGTACGCCGAGAACCTTGTAGTAATCCTTAGTTTTGCTTCGTTTAAGCTCCACCTGAGCATTGTGTAATAACTGGTTGAGCTGTTGTGCACTGGGGTGGTGTTCTTTAGCAGTATTGAGGGTCTCAATGGCGGCCTCAAAGTTGTCAGCCTCCATGTGTCGCTGTGCCTGAGACATGAGTCCGTGAAGAGAGTGCTCGTAGTAAGTAAGAGCTTGGTCACACCAAGGTATGGCCTTTTTGTTTTTCATCTACTGCTGTTAGCCAAGTTTCATTCTTCTGCACCAGTTAGAACTTACCTCGAAATAAGCTTCACAGACCATCTCCACAACGCGTCCTTCCAATGTATTTGGAGCGTTCTCTGGGATGATTCCGCTTTCTTTCAATTCCTTCACATCATCCTTGATATCCTGAACCAACCCCGCATCCTCCCCAACGGGCAGCAGGACCTTAAGTGAGCTTGCATACTGCTTCTTCTCAAAACTCTTATTGACCTTGGCAAACGCCTTCTCCAGATTCTTCATCTTCCGATAAAGTTTCTTGCAAGACTTCGAATCCGGATCACCATGTAAACATTTCCGTAACTGATCCATACCACGCTCGGAATCCGCCAATCCATAATACGTTATCGCAGCAATCTGCAGATGAGGTTCCGTCTCTCCAGGAAGCATTTGTAGAACATGCTTAAGATCGCTCATCCCCTCCTGCACTCCCCCAAGCTTGAAACGACAATTCGCTCTAGTTTTCCGTAACGACAACATTCTGCTCGCAGTCATGATACCCACGCTAGACTGACTGACACATTCTTCCCAATTGCCGGCCTTCTCAGCCGCGAACGCAAGAGACGTCGCTCCCTTTGCCTCTTGAAGCTGAGCCAATTCCTCCGCAGACTTGCCATGCGCGCTATAATCTTGCGCCGCGGCATCCCATTCACCATTCTTCGCCCTCACACGCGCACGCTGAAGAAGGGCGCCTTCAAACCCCGGTTTAATGCTAAGAACCTTATCGAAATCCTTTGTGGCTTGCGCGGTTCGACCGAGAGAGAGATACGTCGCGCCGCGTTTGAAATAAGTCAGATAATTCTGGGGGTCGCGGGAGATGGCGACATCGTAATAAGTAAGGGCGTCATTAGTCTCTCCCTTGGCTAGATGGGTATTTGCGGAGGCTAGGAGTGAGGATATAGGTGTGTCGGCTGGGATTTCGGAGGATGAGATAGCTTGAACGAGGGCATTGGAGGATAGGAGGGTGGCGGCGAATGCCAGTGCCGATAGGTTGACAATCATCGTGAAGAGATCATACAGAAGAAATCGGCTGCGTCGCCAGAGGGTGGGTGAGTTTTAGCTACTTCAATGGGAACTGAAAGGACAGAATGAAGCTAGAGAGGGAGAGTTGTCTTCATGAATGTTCGCTTCAAACAAGTGGCCTTTAACCCTTGTAAGTGGGGATCATGCAGCCTCACTCCGATATTCCGTAGCCTTGCATGATGCAAAGACCACCTGCATGGTGGGGGTCTAGCCTTCCAGAAGCTATCATCTCCTGTCAGTTTCTGAATCCTTCCTGAAATAAATCTGACCGATTAAAATCTACACAACAACCACCAACTCACACGAATTCGCTCCCACCATGGCACACCTCTCAATCTCCCCCTCCGCAATCTTCTCCCCTACCGTAGCACGCCAACAACAAGCGACCGCCAAAGACTGGAACTACATCGACTCGTGGCTCTTCCAGAAATACAACAACAAAACGCCTCCCGCATTCGAACGCAACGCCGAAACCCTCAAGACCCTCCTCGCTCTCGCATCCCTCAACGAGTCAGCCGACGAAGAGCGCGAACTACTCACACGGATGGAAGCCAAGACCCTCTCCGACCTCCACACCGCCGAAGCCAGCAACCCGAATAAAGAGCTCCTGGCCTCCCTCGAAGAAGCCCTCACGACCGACGGCAAAACAAGTCTCGAGGCCCTCGCAAACCTCAGCGTGGTCCTCGATGAACCACTCCCCGACACTAGGACGCTAGCCCAGAAAATCGTAGAACTACATATCGCATCCGCGGACCTGGCGCAGACCACCGAGCGTGTAACGATCATGCAGACGCAACTCGCGAACGAACTCAGCAGACTGAACAACCTAGTCGCCGACCTACGCAGTGCGGTTTTCCTGCCTCCCAGCGAGCTCCCGCAGACGACGCAGGATTTCCAGCGGAGAGTGAGGAATCTGGCGGCGCAGATACCGGCGATGAGGGAGAGGGTTGCGGCGAGGGGGGAGGTGGTTACGTTTGAGGAGGTGCAGAGGGAGGAGGAACGGTATAGAGCGTTGAAGGTTACGGTCAGCGAGTTGGAGAGACAGGTTAAAGGCTTTCATGGATTGCCGCAGGATACGGATTTGGCGCGGTTGGAGCTGGAAGGGGTGAGGGTTGAATTGAGAGATTTGGCGGGGCAGAGGGATAGTATGTTTGAGGGGCTTGTGGAGAGGGAGACGCCGAGGAAACCGAGACGTTAGGTCTTCATACATATGCGTACGGATATTTAGTGATTCCCAGAATGCGGACTTTGTCCGTGTTTGGAGAGCCTATGTATTAACATCTGGAGAACGCTCGAATATGTCAATTGCAAAGACAACTGTGTTAGGGGGTACCCACTGGAAAATGCTTCCCATACGGCTGAAACTCTGCGCTCCATTAATACATATATATAAGTAAAGCTCTTCGTAGTAGTATAGCCGCCTCATCTCTTTGGCCTTGCTCCACCAACCGCACCACCAAGTCTCCCAAACTTCCCCAGAGTTGGTTTTTTCCCAGCCTGTACAGCTGGTGGATTGTCTTTGAGCGGCAGCGGCGGACCTTGCAATCGACTCAACTCTTTATAAGCCTTCCCATCAACCCCCTCACCCAACCGTCCATCCAGCATCGCCAATCCATCATCCAGCTCCCCACCGGGCCTCTGCGCCCTCCTCGCCCTTTCCTGCACGCTCTTGAATTTCTCCAGGAGTTCGTTCCAGCGGATGCCGCCCTCGTCTCTGCCCTTCAGCCGACTAGATCTGTCAAAGTTTGATTGGCCCGCGTTTGCAGGTGCGCTAAATGAGGAGGAATGAGCTTCACTGCTCTTCTGACGGGTATGGAGTTGGAGAGAGGAAAGAGCTTCGACGACACTATTACTACGAGATTGAGATACGTACGCTCGAGGTGCGATATGCAGGTAGCCTATCGCACTCACACTATTAAGTCTGTTCTTTAATGCTGCAAAGGCGGCTGATTGCGGTAGAAGCATTAGCAGTCCGTAGAGGCATTTGTAGAGATGTGGGTGTTTCTCTGGTTCGAGAAGTTGTAGTCGTAGATCTGGAAATGTCAGCTAGGCTCAGGTTCCAAGTAGTTTTCCATACAAGTGAAAACAGGGGATTCAAGTAATTGGACCAATTTGTCGATCTGAATCAGCATATTCACTGTCATTTCAAGTTCCGCACTGTTTAACATTAGCAGTCTCCCAGCTAGTCAGTTTCAAATCATACAATATCTGTAGAAGGTTGTAAGCTTGCTCATAAGCCTGAGCAAGCAAGCATAGTGAGAAAGTGGCCACCGCATTGTAGCACCATGATCGAAACAAGGCAACGAAGAAGGTCTGGCCGTCCTGTTTTGGTCAGTTCAAAAACACTGTCATGTGCAGGAGGAAGTGGCTTACTTTGGTCTCGAGATTCCGTAACCGTTTGCGGAGATCCGCCAACTGGGGAGCTGTGATGAGATTGTTGTTGAGGTTCTGGACCATAATGCTAGCAAATTCTACATCTTCCTCTTTTTCAATGCAGTCTGCTAGTGTACGGTAGATTCGTTCTGGACTTAGACTAACGCACAGCTGTCTGATGATTAGATTTCCGCGCGTCTCGAGAAGTTTCCGATCTGTTGAGAATAGTTGAAGCAAGTTTTCCATGAAGGATGTGAAGTAATCATCGCCACTGTTTCTGGAGATCTGAGACAACAGTTGGAGATCACGAGTAACGACCGCTTCAGCGGGATCAGACAGAGTTTTGAGCAAGGCAGGGAATGTACCATCATTGATGGCTAGCACCTTTTTCGGCGCCTTTTTATGAAGCATAAGTAACCACGTTAAAGCCGCAACTCGAGTTGCTTCATGATCATTCAAGAAGAGTAGGGTCAGTGAGTTGACAGCCGCAGCGTAGTCGAGATCAACCTGAGGTCTGACCGGAGGTGGAGTTGGGGTAGGAGCTTTGTTATAAGGTGGTGGAGGGGTCTGTACTTCAGATTCTCGTCGGTCTGGTTCTTTCGCACCTGAAATAGAGCCACGTGTGTTTGTCGAAGAGTCTCTCCGCTCCTGGTTTTCTTTAAGCGCCGTCGTTGGGATTTTTGAAGGTACCGTTGGTGTTGGTTCTGGTGTTCCTGCTTCATCCGAGAGAGAAACCACATAGTCCATTAAGGACGTATTTACTCGAGCAGCTGCTTGCCGAATGGGCTCTACACCGCTTGCCATGGCGGGTAGTAGATGGGCAAGTATTTTCGGAGCAAATGGTAGAACCTCTTCTGGGGCTATATCGAGGAACTCAACAATCCAGCGTAAAGATTCTTGTAAACTATCCTCTTCTATCGTTAAGTTAGTATGAGCAAACTTCTCGTCAACCAAATTCTTACCCAGTGGAGCATCAAGGTTCGCCGTCAGGATTTCGAGAATATCCTTATGGTTGACTGCAACATCTTGGCCAGGAACCCAGTCATCATCGCTACTGACAGACTTTTCATCCGCAGCAGTCACAGAATCTTCGTCTCCTTCAGCCTCTGGAGGAACTGATGCTTCGCTTTCCATAGACCCAGAGCGTTTCCTTTTCCCTTCACTCCTTGCGTTGCGGCTTTCTGCAATTCCTTTTTTGATACGCGAAATACGCTTTATCTCATTCAAGAATCGCTCCAAAGCACCTTGCGTAGCAACATGAACGTCACGATTTGGGTCGCTAAGAAATTTGAATAGTCCACCAAGAAACTCAGGCAAGTATGTTACAAGTTCTAGATCCGGTATAGAATCTAGAAGGGTGATCCAGCCAACAAGAAACGTTCTGGTGAATGGGTTTATCACATAAATCCGCTCCTTCAGAAGTGGAATAAAATCAGCCAGCGAAAAGGCTGTGGGAAGGTCAACAGATTCGTCAGGTGATTCCTTGTCACCCTCAACGACAGATTCATCAGAGGTATGAAGAACCGAGACATAAGTAGCCGCGGATTCCGAAACGATGTCTTTGACGAGTCGGTCCAATAATTCTGCACCATTTTTCACGGACAGTTCTGAATCCGCACCCAGCTAAAAATTAGTTACTATTAACGTCTCTCCGGTTTATTCGGACGTGATAGGATATCATACCTTGCATAGAGCATCAAATATATCGTTAAAATAAGGCAAGACTTCACCTTTTGCGACCTTTGCAATGTTGTACATGCTTTCGCACGCATAATAGCGTACCCGAGCATCTTGGTCTGTAAAGCACGCTAGTACTGGTGGTACAATCTCATCCAGATATCGTGCTAATTCCTATATTGAATGTCAGAGAAGGCGAGACAGCTAATCCATCTGTTTTGACTTACTGGACCCAAGGCAATTGCCGCCGCCGCAAGACCTATCAAGCCGCCATTTCTGGCATGAGGCTGGTGCACCGCGTAAGCAAAATCATTGCAAAGCTGTTGAATGATCTTCTTAATCCGATCAAACTCTTTTGCTGCAGCAAGATCTCGAATCACTCGCTCAAGACTGTCGGCACGTTAGTATATTTCGATCTGATCTTGAGAATAAAAGACTTGGGGGTCTTACTCGAGCGCTCCGACTTTTCTCTTGTCGTACAGCTTGTCATTCAAAGCTCGCTGGATGCTTGGATCCATTATTTGAAGCTAGTCCCAAGCTATCATATCATGGCTGTCCCAAAAGCAAAAGCGAAAAGACTGGAATGCTTGTTGTGGTCGATGTTACCAAGCGCTATTAGTGCTCATAGTTGTGGGCAGGAGCTATGGAAACATGAAGGTAGGACGGGGTTGATGAAATCCTTGGATATTGGAATCCCAGACTGAGGGGTATTCTAGAGCTGATTTGTTGCGATACACGCACAGTGAATCTTCCTCTCCCGATATCTGAATAAGTATAGAAAGTTTTCCGAGGTACGGTGTCGTCAGTTCGCAGCGAGGTCATTCCCAACCCCCTGCAAAATAGCCAAGTCCAAGTATGTCCCTCATCACGTGCCCATTAATTCCACCTTCTTCATGTAGGACATCTTTATACATATTTATACAACGAGTAGCCATGAATCATTAAACCGATGAAGATTGCAATCAAGTCACGATTTGCTAAAGCAATTGATAAGTTTCGTAATATTCTGTAAGATATAACTTTATTTTAGTATAATATTAAACGCCCAAAAAAAACTACATGATATTCATTGACGCCTGTTTTCGTCATTAAAGTTTGCTTTAGATCATACATGCTATGCTCGATGTCAAAATGCGAGACGTTTCAACCGCTAAAGCGCTCAAAAAAGCAAGAACAGAAATGTCCATGATGCCGTCAGCCGCCAGAATATGCGACGATTATTCAATCTCCTTTGACGCATCCGTATTATGCCAACCTGTATCCCCATTTAAATAAGAGTGCATATCATCCAATGTAGATTGGCATCCGACTCCCCTTCATATCCGTCGGCACAACCCTAACATCTTGCCTATCAAAGTCATGCAACAACAACCAACACAACATACGGAATACTAGACTAATCCATACCGTATTCCGCGTTTCCTTGGCTGTTCTGCTCAGCGGTTTTCCACCTGGGTCCAAATTGCCTACCACTGCAGGTCGTACGTAATAAAAATAAAAGGTGAGTAACTCGTCTTCCTTGTTTGCTAATACTATGTTGTTGAGTTTTGAGTTCTGGTCTTCGAGTACCTCCATCACCTTGGCAAGATGCGCAACTATAACGGAAAGGATTTCCGTTTGGTTGATGTCTGTGTTAAGGAGATACGCCGTGCGATCATCAAGAGCGTCATGAATCAGTTCGCAGACGTCGAGAGGAATTTTGTCATCATCTGCCCCCGTTTTGAGTCCGGAAATGTCAGCCCAGGTTCTAGAGATCCTGACGATTTCATGATCTCCGTGGAGTCCTTCTGATTTGATCAACTCGGTGAGCTTTTCCTGGAAAACTTCCATAAGTCTGGTCACCTTCCAGGCGGGTTTTTGAAAGGTCATTTTGGCCCAGAAATCAGTTGTAGGGTTGGGGAGCATGCGGAAGTTGGAGCCACGGATACGGAAGCTCTTTCCAAGCATACCTATCAATTCGAAGGAAACTAGATCTTTGTCAGAGGAGATATGAAGACGGATCAGGGGATGTTTTTACCAGAGAAGATATGTTTGTGATCACGTCCCCATCTTGCTAAAGTATCTTGCGTGCATCCGAGGGATTCTAGTGTAGTCGCTACCACTTCTGGTGTTCCAAATTCTAATTGTAGGATCTGAGCATCCGCATTCTTCAACAAATAATCGTTATCACTGAAGATGTTTGGGACAGTCCCAAAGGCTAACTCTTTTACTGCTGAGCAAGGAATGACACGTCTTTCGGTAAAGTTCGATTTTCCTGTTACTGCAAAAACGACCATAACGCCGAGTCCGTGAACAGACGTCGAAGTCAAGATGTACCCATTTCCTTCCGCTCGCAGATTCCACATAATCTGATCAAAGACCTTCCAGTATACTCCAAGCATCGCCATCATCTCGACCATGTGACAGATAGCGGTCGTAGCGTATGGCTTGGTAATGGAGGAGGGTATAAAATCCCATGATCGAGTCTTGCTCTGGAGGCCGACGGCAATCTCATAAAATGGAACCGGTATCCGAATGTTGTTTTTGGGGGGAGTTCTTCTCCTCTCTGAATCATCCCATTTTCTTGAATCTTCTTCCGCAGTCTGGAGTGCCGACAACAAAGTAACCCAAGAAGCACGCTCGTCATCTGCAGTATGAACCCTCGCAGCAGCATTCATGATATGAGCATCCTGTTCATCTCTTTTCAAGACTCTTGTAGTACGATATGATTCATCCGTTCCGTCAATATAATATATCGGTCGACCAGCAATTGGACCCTTCTTGTTCGTTGGGGGAGCTACGAGGATAACCGGTGTCTCGAATACCACTTCAACTCTGAATTCTCTGGCGACAAGCTTTCGATGTGTCCCAGACGACCAAGCTCCCATCACCGACCTCGCACATCTTCGATACCCTTCAGCGCTTGAAAAATACTGTTGGAGGACTTGCAGAACCGTCGTCACGAGCGCCACAAGTGATACAACCAGTGCGGTGAGCCCGAATACATTTTGATTGACCGAGTCGAACCCGCCCATATCCTGTTGCGTTGAGTTCGAGGACGAATTGGAAGACATACAAATGGGGTAGACGTCGTTCAGCAGCTCGTCAGCTAGTCAGGAAGGTAAATATGAAATCGAGTGATTCATTGTGGATGTTGGAGCAGACTTGAATTCTCGCAATTCGAATAATGTCGGTCTTCAATCTTTGGCCCGCCGAGCCTCGAGAGGTTTTGTGCCGCTCTGCTTCAAATGTTGCAGTTCAGCCCCCAAAATGTCGCTGAAGGTCCACTAAGCCCGTCCGCGTGTAGCGCGCAGGCCTCACAGCCACTGGTTTCTAGAGAAGGTCTTCTCACCGAGACGCGAAGCTGCATATTCGGTGAAGGACGACCTCATGAATTGGGCATCAAAGAGAGGGCGAGGCGGCAATACAGATGTGTTTTATGAGAATGAGTTTGCTCGGAAAGGTTGAAGAATGTGGTCAACCATCAGGACTTTGGGATTCGGTTAAAAAGGAACTACTGATTAAGCTTCATCTAAGGTTCGCGGACCGGTGCGAGAACTAAAGCTAAGCATGTTTTATTTTGCGGGTTAGCCGCTACATACCAAGTCGGTTATGTTAAAAGAGAATATAAATTAATGGTTTGATATTCTTCAATTTCGTTTCCTACGAAAGAGCTGCCTTGCATAATGGTGTAGCTAAGGTAACTGAGCACTGCCTACTCGACCAGCAATATTCGAACTGTCACATTGTTTTGCAGTGGCAGTTAATCAAGTGGCTCATTTATGCAGCAGCATGCCATTTATTATTGAAAAATGCAAACATTCTTGATCCACTTTGGCAGTACCTCAAGTCCTCGACTTGGAGGACTCGAACGAGTAACTGGCAGATACCGAGTAACGGCACAAGACCGGGCAATCGGGAAAGATATCGGAGCATGACATCATCGAGTGTGCAAAATGCACCTCATCCACAAGTGAGAGAAACCAAACTCAGAGGAAGAGGAAGGGAAAGACTGAAAGAAGATACATATGAGGAACCTCTCTATACATACAAAATTAAACCTCGTGATCTTCGAATCTTCCCAACAACTTTATCGGTCTCCTCTTCCTGTTCCTGTTGTAGTACGGATTTGTCGGCCCATGACCCAAAGTCTCAGCCTCGAGGCGCAGTTGGGTGCACATGTTCAAGACAAGCCTTTAGAATCACGATAGCTTCCGCAACATAGTTTAGAGGCAACGCCCAAACCCGTTCGACGGTGCCCGGAGGTGGCAAGTGGTGTGGCTTGAATTTGGATGAGGTGATTAGCTTAGGCAGTGACAGCCTGACAGGTTCCATGTTGGGTTGACCGAGCCTGATTAGTACTCGTACTTCAGTATCAGATTCGAGGTTTTCCTGGTTCTAGGAAGGAGTATGCCATTGGACAATAGACGAAGGTTTAGAGTTATTCGATTCTGGCTGTGAAGTCACTGAAGTGAATGTTTAATCGATGCATGATGTTCAAATACATTCAGCTAACTTTTTCCGGGTATATTACAGTAGAGATATAGCAAGTATCTCAAATGCTCGAAACCTTCCATAAATTCTCAACTAACAACTGAATACCATTCCTAGATACCTGGCCTAACGTATCGTATCATGGTACCGCTCTTCCGAGATATCGACGATGATGTACCCCCGTTATGTTAAACCAGGTACTCTATAAAAGTGATAGTAATACGCGCAAATGAACATTGGTTGGTCGACGAGCGGTATTTGTGGAAACTTTGCAGGCATTAGATTCCGAAATGCCAGCGAATAGGTTAAAACTGCGTAAAAGGCGAATAAAAACAGGGTAGAATCTTGTGGGAGTGGGTGCATGAGATGGAATCCCCAGCCTCTCGCCTGAACGAAATACTGTCTAACCCACCATCCTTCCCCTCGTCAAACTTCGTCATCAGAGCCACATCAACTTCTGACTCTACAATCTCCTCGACTCCTTCAAAATCTATCCTTTCATCGACCTTAGAGCAACGAGCACTATACCACTCACAACCTGATCGAATTGAACAACCACATTTCAAGTTCGACACTTGCGCCTTGGAACCCCGCCAACACTTCCTAACAATCAAGCTGGACTTGGCGACGACCCTTTACCCCCAAACTTACGATACCAATTCTGGTAATTAGTATACAGTATTCTGTACATGTCTACGATGGATTACGACGATCGGCGACAAAGGTCGCGACGATATGACGACCGAGACGATCGTAGAGATGGTCGAGAACCGCGATATGTCGAAACACAAGAAACATACGTGCGAAGTCCAGTTCCTCTAGCACCAGAACCACCATATGTCTCCGCTCGGCATACAGAGATCGTACGCCGTCCAGTTCGCGAAGATAGCGATATGTCAATCGAGGAAGTGAGAAGAGACTTCCCACCTCCTGGTGTTGCTGGCGTCGGACCATATCGATCTGCTCGTGATGACCGTTATGGTGGTCGTGCTCGCTCTGCTGAGCGCGGTTATGGTTATGAGAGAGATCCACGACGATCTTACAACGATGTAGATGACCGTCGAAGTCGCAAGAGCATGATTTACGCCGAACAAGAAATCAAACCGCGCAGACGTTCGCTTTCTCGAAACCAGAAGATTCTCGCTGGTGTTGGAGGCGCCATCATCGCAGCTGGCGCGAAAGAAATATATGATAGAAAACAGGCAGACGGGAGACCCGTTTCTCGTAACGCGCTCTCGACCGCTGCGATCGGTGCAGCAGGCGCATTTGCAGGTTATGAGGGTGCTGAATTGTACGCAAAGAAGACATCTAGAGGAAAGGAAGTCAAGACATATGTTGCACACAAAGACAAGAATGGACACGTTGACGAGTATTACAATTCCGAGGACGAGGACCCCGTTCCGCCAAAGAGATCCAAGAGCCGTCGCAAGTCGATTATGGAAGGTGCACTTGGATTAGCAGGAATCGGCGCAGCTGCAAATGCCACCAAAAGCCATCGCCGACGAGGTAGTGCTGACAGTTACTCCTCTGGAAGATCAGGAAAATCTCGACGATCCACTCGTAGCAAATCACACGGCAGACGTGGTGACCACTCGCCAGAAGGCGCAGCTAAGTTTCAACAAGCAGCAAAAGCCGCACTACTTGCAGGTGCCACAGAAGCTTTCAGGGTTCGGAACGAGCCAGGTGGATGGGGTGGAGCAAAAGGCAAACGTATTCTTACAGCTGCTGTTGGAGCTGGTGGTATTGATGCTGCTGCCGATCGGGATCCAGACAAGAAGAGTAAACGCCACATTCTCGAAGCTGTGGTCGGTGGTCTTGCCGGTAATCGCTTGATCAACGGTTCTAGAAAGGAGGTTGATGATGACGGCCGATCATCGCGTGGTGGTAGATCAAGATCAAGATCTCGTGGTCCATCTGGTGGCGGTGGAGGTGCTGGTCTCGCAGCTCTTGCTACGGCAGGATTGGGTGCAATTGCTGGCAAGAAACTTCTTGATCGATCAAAATCTCGTTCTCGCTCAAGAGGAGCTCGATCCCGCTCCCGTGGCGGTGGTGGACGTCGACGAGACTATAGCTCCGACTCCTACGACAGTCGCAGCCCAGATCGCCGCTCCGGAAAGGACCGTCATAAGCGAAGCAAGAGTGTTACAGATTTTGCCAGAAAAGGAATGGCAGCTCTTGGAATTGGTGCTGCCACTGGAGCTGCTGCAGGTGGACGAGACAGAAGCAGAGACAGAAGCAGAGACAGAGGAAGTGTAATTGAAGAGACCGAGGTCATCAAAAAGTCACGAAGACGCGGATCAGACGATGGCTACGAACCTAGACGCTCTCGACATGGAGACTCTCACAGAGGTGATGATGATTATGTTCGAGATCGAGGTGATCCTTACGGTGATCCAAGATATGCCGACTCACGCTCGAGCGTTGGGCGGTCCAACAAGGGTGGTAGAGGTGGTAGAGATAGACGAATTGCGGAAGGGAAACAAGATGCTTCTGATTCAGAAAGTAGCTTGGGATCCTCTTCGGGAGACGAGAAGAAGATTAAAAAGATGAGAGGTAAGCAACTTATCACAGCCGGTTTGGCTACTGTCGCAACAATTCATGCTGCACACAATGTATATCAGAGTATGGAAAAGCGTGATGCTAGGCATCGAGCTGTGGCAGAGGGAGAGATGACACCGGAGGAGGCGAGGAAGTTGAAAGCCAAGGCGACACTGCAAGATGCAGCGTCTGTTGGTATCGCAGCACTTGGTATCAAAGGTGCACTCTCGGAGATCAAGGAAGCCAACGAGATGCGACGAGAGTGCCGAGAGCTGCGAGAACAAAAGGAGCTGAGACATCAAAAGCGAGTTGAACGCTTGAAGAATGGTGGTCAACCAAGAAGACGAAGAGACAACGGAGCAAGCCAAGATCAGGGGCGTCTAGGACAGCGTGATCGTTATGATAATGGTCCACGCTATTACGATGACAACCCATACGCGGCAGCTCTCCCAGCACCACCTGTTGGATATGATGCCAGACGATGATCTATCACTTCATCACAATCATATCATACAAACACAAAACTTCTCACGCTATACGATATAACGAAAACTCTACGATAAATCAAAATCTCAAATTTATAATGGCGTTGGTCGGAGTTGAATATATGGTGGAAATGAAAGGCGAAGCGCATGTCACAGGCTGGACCACACTCTGATACATTACATTACATTTACGATCTCCCCCAACATGTTTCCCTTTTTTCCACGACAGACAGACAGATGTCATTCTTACACATTCTCTTTACTATTTCCTTTCTTCTTTAGACTGGACATATTCTTTGTTTGTTTAAGCAATGCTTGCTGCTTATCTACCTATCTACTTACACACTTTACACTACATTATTTAAAGAAGAATGATTTTTAACCTCTCTGTGTCTACTATAGCTCACTCGCGCTCCCGATATTGAATGAAGTGAATGCCCCCCCCGTCACGCCAACGCGATCGATCGAAGAGCGGCAATCAGACAAGCGAGGGGGAGGGGGGTTAGTGGACGAAGCGAGGACGGGTAGGTGCAGCAAAGGGGGAGGTTGGGTGGTATATGTGGGGGGTCGGTTAGTGGTACGCGCGGATCGGATTTGGTTATGGCATATGGAAGAGTGGAATCTATGGATGGGGGATCGAATCGGAAATTTCTGATGGTGGCGATTTATGGATGGGATATTTTACGATTTTCTTTTTTTTGTGGTTTTCATTGGGTCTGTCATTTATCATGGATTTTTTGCTTTTTGGGATATGCGATTGGGATGGGATATGAAAGGAAGGGAAGATTGGATGGATGGATGGATGGATGGGATACACCTTTTTTGGATTGATATGTTTTATGAGATTTATGAAATTGATTTTGGTTTTGAATGTGAGGGATTTTGGATTGCGTGCAAAGTATATGGGATTTGAAAATTGAAGGCGAGTTTTTGTGATTCAGGTATGGGAAATGTTGGACGTGGATGTGTTCAACCGGAATGGCGGTAACATATCTTACGTGTCAATGCGTTGTGGATCGCGAAAGAGCGGTGACTTGACTTGACTTGACTTGACTTGACTTGTTGTGGTGAGTGAGTTGCATTGGGAAACTTGATTTCGGTTATGACCGAATGTCGTCTCACTGGTTTGATGGAGTGTAACTCTTTACGATTTGACGACGTGAACTTTAGCTGTGAAGGAGAAGGGAAGAGGTGAATAGATAAGTGAAAGAAGATGTGAAGTGAAGCGAAGTGAAGTGAGATATTTAATCCCAAGTGGGACAGCTGAGGTGGGACGAACTTGGACCCTGAGGGGAGGCGAGGGGGAGCTAAAATGCTTGTTTTTTGGGGTGGTGCTTGGTGAGGACTACCAGGAATAACTCGGTGGTGTACAGTAGTTAGTGGGCACTTTATTTCCTGCTTCTTTGTAGGAGAGAAATGTAATGCTTTTGTAGTTGATGTGAGGAGTGAAGAGGAGAGAAGAGGAAGAAGTGAAGAAGATGATTTATCTCTACGGAAAAAAACGATAAAGGGAATGGTAGTTGAGGGGGAAAGGAAGTTGTATCGTGCCAGCGCATTTTAATCCCGATACCTTATGTGGCGGGATAAGGGGAGTTAGAAGGTGGGATATGCAGCGTGTCGTCATTTTGCGCCAGGTGTGAAGTGCCGATGTGAGAGGGTCTGGACGTGGCTTTTTTGGGGGGGGGGGGTGGAGGGTAATTGGGATACTCGTATGGTTTAGACATGAATAGTTGGTTGGGATAATTGGGTGGCTTTGGAGGGTTTGGAGGGTTTGATGAATTGGAGTTTGTAGAGAAAGAAGTATTATTTGGTGTGATTGACATCGATTTTCAAACACAGGAGAGTGTGGTTTTATAATAATGTAAAGTAACCTTCACATCTATTAACCTCATGCTTGTCATCCCACAACCTGTAAATATAGCCCAGTCATTTAGTCGGGAATGTTTTCAATAATGTAAATTAGCCTGCTTTCTCGTTTGAAACATAACGCCTATTTACAATGAGATGTATGTACATTCTAGTATAAAAAGCAAGCCAGCAGACCCAGTGAAGTGCCATTTACTTCCAGGCCTACGTCCCAGATCACCCTGCAGGAAATCGCCTCTCATCAAATATTAGCTGTGTGCAATGGAAGAGGCATTTTATCTTGGTTATGGATTTGGATTTGGATATAGAAATTGTATTTCTCGCTTGACTTGTTGTTGTGACATTTGTGCTAGTTTGGAATTTGAGTAGATGTTTTGCTACCGATTTTGTTAGTGCTGCTGAAAGCTAGATTCTGACTTGAAAGTTTACATGTGGAATCGATATTGAGATTCTTCATTGCTATAGATAAAACGTCAAACCACGGAGCCGATATCTTCAACGAGTACCTGCACTACCACTGTAAGCAGACTACTCTGTCTTTAGTCACGGAATTAAGAGTAATTCCATTATGTTCAGTTCTTCAAATTCCGCAGACATGTGTTGATGTTCTTAAAGTATTATTTACAGATATTTTACTCGTGAATTGATATTAATTAGTGTTTCAATCAACTTCTGACCTTCTACAAAACTAAAAGTGTCGAACTTGTTGGAAAGGCTGGGTGGGTTGAGGAAACACATTTAATTGATACAGATAGGGATTTTCGTTCAAAAATTCACTTCACGATTCGTGCCGGCTGGCGTTTGGCTTTCGATGAAGATACGAAATATATATTTATGAACTCGATATGCTGGGGTGGTATGAATCATTAGTTTTTTTTTACTTTCGTTCTCATAGAAACTGTGATAGACTTCACCTATTTCCTACCCTCAAGTTATATATTTCCTAAATCCGCTGTTACACTAATACATGTGAGGCTTTTGATATAGAAGCCTTAGAAATACATAATAGATTACTGAGCTTCCGGAATAAGTAATTGTGGTGTCGTGGGTTATATTGAAAGAAAGACCTGTAAGAGGTGATTTGAGAGGAACGGGACGAATTAACCTTGACTAACAATTCAGATGACCAACCCAGAGAAGTCAATGGTTGGAATGTCAGAGTAAGAATTAACGAATGAGCTTTGAAGACAAGAACTAAGTTTGTAGAGTCGTAGACTGGACACAAAAAATAACAACGCATGCGAAATGAAAACTGGATCAGATCAAACATGCCTGTCTAATCGTCGTAATATTTATAGTGAAATAGAAAGTTACGCAGGTTTTCGTCTTGCTGGAGAATCCAGGAATAGGACAACCCTTTTCGATCCATCGTTGGATTTTTGTAGGTCTCAAGACTAGAGATTCAGAGAGGAGATGAGTACTTGTCTTGGCTGGGGCATTGATAAAAAACATGATAAAAAGCATGAGAACAAGCATAAACAGCCTAATTTGAGCTTTCTCATCCATGAAGAATCAAGTTCAAGCTCTTTAGCCTACATCAAAGGTATTTCGGTATATTGATCGAGGTGGCAGAAATTGATGTGTTTTAGAAACAGAGTACTAGGAATAACAAGCTAGCATTCCCTGACAACTCTTGCCAAATGGGATACTAGATTATTCTGAGTAATTCCTAAGAGGTTCCTCTTCAATCTTCCCTGTCTACCTCTTAGCCAAGCCAAACCTGTGGGTCGCCGTTTCCGACTTAAACAGCGGCGTTTGTAGTTGATCGGAGTGGAGTTTTCCCCATCAAGTTTCTCTGATGGACTTGAATAATTGCGGGCATCTGTTCGACCCCAAAGTCCTAATTCACACCTCGACTCGAGTGGCGGCTGGATATAATCAGAGCCATCCTCTCGAAATGACGAAAATCCAACCCATGCAGACGTAATCGTACAATCCTCTAAACTCAAGGGGTATCATTCCTCCCATCTCGTACAGCATGTGCTTTCTATTCCCACCTCAACTCCCCCTTCTTCCCCTCCTCTTTCTTCTCCTCAAACCCTAAATTCTTGAACTCGTCTTTCGCCATTAAATTCCTGCTTCAATCAGCCCGTTCCTTTCCACAATCCAACCCAGAAACCCTACCTATCCATCCGACACCCCAAATAATTCTTCGCAATATCCCTACACTCGGCTTCGTTCGTGCCTTTAACGCGCTTAATGCACGCAAGGTATTTAGTCATTATGTCTTTACATTCTCCTAGTACGTATCAGCCAATGGCTTCGGGGATGAGGGAGTCGGGGAGGGTACCATCGTGATCGAGAGGGAAGGAGCCGCGCTCTGGTCTAGAAGAATGGTTAGCTTGGTTTGACAAACTCGAAGACAGACTTACGGCGAAGGTTTGGAGTTTATCTGTCGGCCGCCGGGACCACCGAATGTACTCATGTTGATGGATGATGTTTGGAAGAAGATTTGGTGCCAAGAGTACCCCGGATTTTGGTGTGACGTATGGTCTGTGCTCAAGCTTCTCCGTCTATGATATTGGAATTGTCATACTTTAATCCGACAATCAACTGACAACTGACAACTTATCACAGAAGAAAACAGACTAAAGAATTCAAGTTTTTAATCATTTGGTTCAGATCTAACAAGATGCCTATGTATTTCTCCCCTCCACCAATGCCTTGAATAAGTGCTAATGGTATTCTAGGACTCTAGAAGGATCCTGCCAATGCGGCCTCGTAGAATTCAAACTCCAATCCAATACGCCGGCACCCTATCAACTCTGTACATGTTCTATTTGTCGAAAATGCGGTGGTTACGGCGGAAGTGTAAATCTGGGCGGTATAGCCTCAACTCTCGAAATCAAGAAAGGAAAGGAACACATCAAGTAGCTTACCCCCCCTGCCATATCATATATCTCATCCACCACACTAACACTCCCCAGAAAATACAACGCCATCAAATCCCGCGGTACACCAGAAGAAGAAAAATGCAGCAGCGAGCGTAATTTCTGCGGCACCTGTTCGACGATGCTCTGGTTGTGGGATAAACAGTGGCCGGAACTGATACATCCGTTCGCGAGTGCGATCGATACTGAGTTGCCGGTTGTGGATGAGATGGTGTGTGTAATGGGCAATAGTAAGCCTGCTTGGGTGAGATTGCCTGAGGGGAAGAAGAGTGTGCATGAGGTTTATGGGGAGGATAGTATTGAGGGGTGGCATAAGAAGAAGGGGTTGTGGGTTGAGTAGGGGGAGTGAGATGATGGATGTTGAGCTCTTGATTTTCAGTCGTTGTGTGAAATCTTTAATTTGACACAAGTCCACACTCTTATTCAAATTCTCATACTGTTCTCTTGAATATCAAATACTTAAAATTATCAACAAACTATCTGGAATAAACCGACCCTAGCTTCACGGCTATTGGTGATAGTAAGACATAGCCCTCCATTAACAGCAAAGGGTTATGCTGTGCACAATATACATGAACTCCATTTGCTCACTTGAATAAAGAGATGCTGTACTTTGGAACCAATCTGGAAGTCGATGAATAATTTTGAATGCTTTTCATCTGATAGTCTGTAGGTGACTTTATCTTAGCTCATGAAAATAGAAGCCTATAGTAATAAATCGCTTTTACACGACATAAAACACGTAAATGTTAGTGTTCTCGCACTAACTAACATTCAAAGTGGTTCAAATACAAGTGTTCCAGCTGTATGAGTATCTGAGTATTGCTAAGCAAGAGACGACGACATCCGTAAATCCAGAGGTAGGTACTGTCGCAAATCTCTCGAATATGACATTTCAATCCAGCGTAAATTTCCCACAATTGCCATGTAATACGCACGGTCCTTTAGCGGGCCCAATGTAACGCTTTTCTAGACAAGGGTGGTCAATCCTGGAGACTTTTTCATCGTATTGCTCAGCCTACAAGAGATAAAGACCCATTAGAACACCTCAACCCCATCTCTCAAGCAACCCATTTTTTATACGTCCTTATATTCCGGTACACCGCCGTTCGTTCTCTCGTTCAAATCCAAACTCAAACCCAAGAACCCAGGTTCCCAGCGCAAAAAGCAATACCACACGCCTAATCAATTTCCCGATCGCCCGAAAAACAAAACATCTACATCGCCATCCCAGTTTTTTAACACGTCAATCCCAAGACCCAAATCACCCCATCCCATTAAGCGGCACCGTACCACTCCTGCCAATGAGCATCGCAAGGCTGTTGATTTGAGCACGCCGTCCCGCCGTTATTCAGATTCCTACAACGGGGGTCTTGGTTTGCGCCGCTAGCGGAGGTGTTGTTGTTCGCGCTTGCGGCGTGTCTTTTGACGGCTCGGGCGGCGGCTTTGGCTTCGCGGGACTGTTTCGGTGTGAGTAAGTGATGGGAAAGGGGAAAGGTAAACTAGCTCACGCCTGGTTTAGCACGGTTGATTCGTTCGAGGGAGCGTGGTGTTTGATGGCCTCCCATTTTGGGTGGTGGGCATTAAGTGAGTGAGTGGTTTGGAGGAATATAGTGATGTTTAAAAATTGACTGACTTGACGAATTCAAATGAAGAAAGATTTCGCTGGTAAGAACCCCACCATCAAATATCTCACTTTGATATGATTCTTCTCCATCTTTTCTTCAACGGGAGTATCATCAGTCTTATACATCACAGCTGAATAGCGAGCAAATATCCCATTGCTTTTTCCGGGCAGACAAGAAAACAGACCTCCAGCAGGGTTACCTAGCGTCCCTGCCCATTTCCAATGACAAAAGATTTCAACGTAGCTACCCGGGATATGATATATGATATATGATTGCTTTTATTCTCGCGATCAGCTCTCCCAAACTTAATGTTCCTAGCGCGGAAGCATGGGATTTCGTGTGTTACGGAAGCTGGCATGTTGGTACAACCCACTTAGGACTTTATTTCCCACATATCCCCAGGTCTCACCATTGAACGATGGAGGTTGGGGCGCCACTCCGTCGTGTCGGGGCCGGGCTACTGCAGTGTGCCCGTCTGCATTGGGCGGGAGTTGCAACTGCTTCCAAGAATTCTGGAAGACGACATTGGAGAGGCGCAGAAGAAAAGAAAGCATAATGCTCTGTAGGCCTGTGTGCTGATGACTGATGATAGTTTTGACTTCGCATTGAGGATGGTAAGAAAAATGAGTGTCCTCAATAATTGACTCGAGGTAGTTTGAGTTTGAGATTGGTCATTAATGGATTGTCTAAGTACAAGGATAAAAAGCTAAGATCAGGCCAAAGGTAGATATCATGAGATTCTCCAAGGTCCCGGTACCGAAGATCAGAAAAAGCAATTACTAATCGCCTGCGGGTTTTCATGGACGCTTCCGTGCCTGGGATTAATAGCACTTGATAGACAAGGGGCTCATCACACTTGTAATGAGGTATTTTTGACTGGCTCTTTTGGCTGCGGAAACGATCCATAATCTCCTGATACCCAGAGAAGGAGCTCGCGGCTTCCTGCATAATCACGCCCTCGAGGCTCGAGCATCGTTCGTCACTTTGAGGTCGAAATAGGCTTGGATGATGCGGTCCTACAGACCGCTACTTGATATATATCTAAAACTTTCTATTTTGGAGCTCTATTCCGAACGACAAACAAACTTCGACTGACCTCCAAATTCCAACGGATACACCGAACGCCAAGCGAGACTCGTAATGCAAGAAACAAGCAGAATTGATCATACTAATGCCCATGGAGGATATCCCCCTTCTCCGCAATAGTTCTTTGGCACTTGGCAAGGATAGCTGCTTGTCTTCCAACCTCGTCGAGCCTATTGATAACCGATTTGCTCCCATCCACGAAGCCGTAAAGTGCATAAGGGATTCCCACATCGACACAAAACTCTTGTACCAGCTTCTGTGTCCGTCGAAGATTGTGCCTTGGCATTCTTGGAAACAGGTGATGAATTGCTTGGAACTGCAGACCACCGTGGAAGAAATCAAGCCACTGGGGGCAATCAATATCCATCGTTGTTCTTAACATCTTTTGAGGGAAGGACTCGTGAGGCCCTAGCTCCGCGGTACTCATTGAGAAATGCGATAACGTGATTTGCGCATGTAGCGGCATGGTAATGACATGGCTGATCATGACAAAGGCCCACCGAGCAGAAGCTGTAGGGATGGTTTGATACAAGATAACGTACCCATACCAGTACCAGAAGAAGACTTGGCCGGCAATTTCCAACCATCGGTGCCACCAGGCAGGTCCCCTTTTTGGGCCTATCCCTAGGAACAGATATTCCCAGGATAGTCTATATAGGTTGAATCTCCCGAAAGCCAGGATAGGATAGTAAAGATATGCCTGATATGGTAATAAGAATTTGGCAAACGCATCATATGACATGACTTTTTGATAAAATGTTGAGGTTAAGGAGTCGAAGAATCGATGCGAGACGGCAAAGATGGGCATATGTTCGATGTCTGGGTCGTGCTCAGGAGAGTTCGTGACGATGTGATGGACGTTATGATTATGTTTCCACCAGCAAACGGAAAGACCTCCTATGAAATCGGCAATAAGAATTCCTATGGTCGTATCCACGGTGAAGTTGTGAGTGATTCCCATGTGCCCAGCATCGTGTACCGTGAAAACCAACTGGTGCCAGAGACAACCGAGAAACAGTCCACTCGTGGCGTACCATCCTGTTTTCAAACACAATACGACCATGGCGGCGAGAAATGAATATCTGAGACTTTCAATGGCGTAGGCGGAATAGTTGCAATCGTACAATTTCTCTGCTCTGAGGCGTTGATCGAGAAGCTTATATTTTCGAACAATCTCGTCTTGTGTGGCTAGATCTAGGGAAGGGTATTTGGCGTGGTCTAAGTCGATCCGTTCCCTCGTCAACGCATCCAAGTATGACATGCCATCTTCAGGATCTGTGGTAGATGAAACGGAAGAAGAGGACGACATCTCCTGGTTTTGTCGAGTTCCACGCCGCTGGCGAGCTAATGGAGGCTCATCATCGAAAACAGGCGACGGTTCTCTCGAGCTCTCAGGGTTGGAGGCAGATGCATCCTCCATGTCTTCCATCAGCTCTTCCTCCGACTCCCCTTCGATATAAAGTCTAAACTTCCCCCCTTGAATTGGCGGCACGAAGTTTCTCCATCGCCCTTCCACACGACCGATTCGATATCTCTCCATTTGCTGTCGGGTTTCCACTGAGTGAAAACTATCAGGATATTAGCCAGGGCACAGACATTTGAAAGGAAATACCAACGCCTTCACTTCAATCGTGGCATCTCTTCCAACCATATGGCGTATAGCCTTATCTCCGCCCGGGTGATATTTCAACCATGCATCTACCTTCAACACCTTCTGGTCCAAGATGATAATCGTTTTCCCCTCTGCAATCAATCCCTCTACCTCTCTACGAGACAGCAGGGTCTCCGCCCTTTTGATCGGTTTTGTGGTCGCCATGAGGGATATGTAAGATGCACTTTGATAGTGGTGAGGTCTTTTAATCCATTGATCGAGGCTAAGACGAATTGGTGTGCACGGCGAGTAGAAGAAGTTCACGGCGAGTAGAAGAAGTTGATAATCTTCAGTTGTTTCGTCGTACGAGAAATACTATGTGAACAAACTACACGCCGATCCCCCCACCGCATTGAAAGTTGACTTGGCCCCCTCGAGATTCGCGTTTGGAGCTTTGCTAGTGGTTCGGCTAGGTCGTACCTGACCGATTGCACCAATGATTTTAAGGCTTCGTGACCCACCTGAAGTCCCCTGTCACATGATCATCCCCTTTCCAACGTCGTCTATCACTCCTTCTCTTTGACACATATTAACGTGAGGTACATTTTGTTCAACCGTTGTATCATCGAAGCTGTTTGTGTGTGTTACATATTGTGAGGCTCTGGATGTGAAACTCTTCGGTAAGCTTTACTATTCCAGATGTTTCTGGAAAATCTTCTTGACCAACAAACTGATCGTTGCTCAGCTCTGGTCGAGTACAAACATGTGCGTGAATACTCCGGTCAGAAGGGCAAGGTGGAGCCAGTGATATTCTCCGACGGGTTGATTGCCGGAGAATGTTACCAGCTCTACAGCCCTACATTTGTCTTGACACAAAGCAATATTCATCACGTGTTTACGGTTGTTTGTTTCCACTACTCACTTCACCGATACGCCTTGTGGTGGAGCCCAAGGCCGAGGAAGTTATAGGTACGGGTATCTCCGGGTTGTGAAGTTATATTAGGTTATCAAAACTCCTTCGAGAGTCAGATCTCCATTTTGTTTGTGGCTATCGTGAGCTGATCTCCGCAAGCACTTGGGCATTGTCAGGTAATTTTGTGTCGAAATCACCGCATAATTTCGTCGTAAGAGAGAGTCACAGTAGCTCAAGCGGCTATAGAGATATGCTGCCATACTTCTTGGAGTTTCTGCGTACCTAGGAGTCACTTGTGGCACTCTGAAGGTACCTTCCCCTCCCCCTTTTACAACTGAGGACATCCAGACCGCTGAAAGACCAGGCCAAGACATATCATCCTCCAATTACGAAGCCAATGGTATCAGTCGAGCGATCTCGCACTCTCTGGTCTTGTTATACAACTGAGCTGTCCTCTCGGAGTTTAGGCTTCCGCTTCGTGCTGATATCGTGTTTGCTTCACTTTGAGCTGCCCACATACCTTTATATCCAACCAAGTGGCACAGTCATACGTTTGTAAGTAGAGCAGGATCATATGCTACCACCGCGCTGCAACTATTGTATGCTCGTGGCCGAGATCAGAGGTATGGGTGGCTACTTTCCATATCTCGCCACTATTTTGACAGCGGCTGTGCCCTATGGTACGCTTCACATTTGTGACTTGCTCACTAACTCAAGCTTCCGGTAATACAATAGTAACCTTTTGCTCTTAATGGCAAGTTTTAGCTAGAATTCCCCGTTCAGCCTGACGGCGATCACCTGCGGTATGCCGGACCAGCGGCTCCTCTCAACGAGAATTACTATAAATGGAGAGGCTACCCTCGCCCTATGGCTCCTGAAGTTCTTCGAAAGTAACAGCACTCTACAAATAACAATTCCTAGTCCTACCTTCATTTGAACACATACAACCCTATCACACTACAATACAGATCAAAGATGAATCAACTCGTACCAAGCTTTTTCCGCAACCGCAACCAACTCAGTGTCTCCCGCTTGGGGTTCTCTCGTCCTCGTCACAATCACAACGCTCTCGCTCACAGGAACGCCTACAACTATCCTACCTACGAAGACTACTGTGACTGTGATATCGTCAGCGGTCATCACGTTTGCAACTCCTGTGCACTAAGGCTCTACCAACCAGACTACCATGCCTGCGCCTGTGCCTGTCCTGGCTGCGATTACTCTGACGAAGACGACTACTCTGCTTATGGGTATCAGGGAGGATATGTTTATGACCCACGATCTGATCCGAGAATGATGTAGCTTACCCTTCTATCTTTCTTCAACTTTATTGACATGTTTGCTGACCTAAATCAACAGGCTCGGCTACCCCAATCGACGGAGCAGAAGCTTGACAGGCGGTCTGAACCAATTTGGTCTCGGTGGTCTGGGCCGCCTAAGAAATAGTTTCGGAAGCTTTCCGAACTTTGGTAGCTTCGGCTTTCCTGGTCGAGGAGGTACATACCGTGGACGAGGCGATCGTCCTTATGTTTAAATGTACGCTCCTACCGATCCCGTCGACCAGGTCAAACCACAAGGACAATATCCTCCTTGGACTTTGGCTCGGAGGTCCAGAGTATTATGAACAAACAAGCAGTATGTAGCTTTATTCAATATTAACTTCACTCACACATCTCCATTCAACCGCATCGGGTTAATCCTTCTCACAACCAACCGGGCCGTCTTCTCATCATGCCTCCCCTATCCAGCAGCTAAGCGAGTTCTTCACTAACAACACCCAAGCACATCGATGGATGACCTATCTATGTCTTCCATCTCCAGCACATACATGACAAGGCGCACATCTACACACAAGTTGGAAGTTGGAACAGCAAGGCGTTCAAAATTGACACTAAATGACAAGGGCGATAAATTGAATATTGGATAATCTTTTTCTGTTCGGGATTAGTTTTCATTTTTCACAGGACGTTCAACACCTCCACAATTTAGTCAGGTTAACAGGTTTCATGTACTTCTCACGGTTTTAATATTGACGAAATGAACGGCCTGGATGATTTAGTTTCACGAACAGGAATATCTTCTTTATGTATGATAAAATCTCAAGTCATCTCATTTCATTTGCCTCAGAGTAGAAAGATCTTCCAAGGAGAAAAATATGTGCGAATTCAGGCCATTCTAACCTCAAACCCATATCATTCAATGTAATGCACTTTTATCTTACAACACAACGGGAATCAACCAACACGCTATTATCCACTTTCTAGAGCTCGTCCAACCAATTCAGTTTCCCACCCCGCACTACCACATCTAATAATGGATAGCCTTTCCATACGTAGCCATAGCAGCCTCCTTGAACGCCTCCGAAAGCGTAGGATGTGCGTGACTTGTGCGACCGACATCCTCACTTGACGCACCATACTCGATAGCCAGGGTACCCTCAGCAATCAGTTCACCAGCATTTGGACCAATGATGTGGATGCCCAGGATACGATCCGTCTCCTCATCTGCAATCATCTTGACCATCCCCTCGCTATCCATGTTCGTCTTCGCTCGCGAGTTGGCGGAAAAGGGAAACGTGCCGACCTTGTACTTCACACCGGATTCCTTGACCTCCTGCTCGTTCTGTCCAACCCACGCTACCTCGGGGTGTGTGTACATGACGGACGGGATGGCACCGTAGTTGACGTGGCCGTGACCCTTTTGGATGTACTCGACTGCTGCGACTGCTTCTTCCTCGGCCTTGTGCGCAAGCATGGGTCCGAATGTGCAGTCTCCGATAACGCGGATGTGAGGAAGTTTGGTGCGGTATTCTGAGTCGATGACTAGACGTCCCTTATCGTCGGTCTCGAGGCCAATGTTTTCTAATCCGAGACCAGCGGTATATGGTCGTCGGCCAATGGCGACGAGAACTACGTCGGCATCGAGCTGAGGATAAAATTAGTAAAAGTTTGGGCAAAAAGCATAGTTCGTCTTACCGTCTCCTCTTTGCCACCCTTCGCAGCTTCAACTTGGAGGCTGATCTTGTCGCTGGTGACATCTCCACCCATGACCTTGGTATTGAGCTTGAAATCGATACCTTGCTTCTTCAAGATCTTTTGCGCGGCTTTCGCAATCTCGTTGTCCATGCCTGGTCCACCGATTTGTCCCAGGAACTCTACTACGGTGACCTTTGCTCCTAATCTCGACCATACTGATCCCATCTCAAGACCAATGATACCTCCTCCGATGACGATCATTTTTTCCGGGACCTTCTCGAGCGCGATAGCTCCGGTGGATGTGACAATTCTCTTCTCGTCGATCTCGAGCCCCTTGAAAGGGGTAGCCTCACTACCAGTGGCAATAATAAAGTTCTTTCCCATAACTGTCTCCTCTCCGCCTTCAGAAAGGTTGACCTTGACTGTGTGCTCGTCGGCGAATGCTGCTGTGCCCTTGATATATCTGACATTGTTCTTCTTGAACAAGAATTCAATACCCTTTGTCAAACCAGAAACTGCAGTGTCCTTTGCCTTCATCATCTGTCCCAAATTGAGCTTGACATCGCCAACTTCGATACCGCGGTTTTTCGTGTCGTGTCGGATTTGGTGGTATAAATGTGAGTTGTTAAGCAGAGCTTTCGAAGGTATGCAGCCAACGTTAAGACATGTGCCACCTAGTGTTCCGCGCTTCTCGATACATGTAACCTAGAAACGTTCAGTTAGGTGTTGTCTGCGAAGCTTTTTCTGTCTCGGATCCTCCATACCTTCATGCCCTCCTGCCCAGCCTTGATTGCAGCAACGTAACCCGCGACACCACCTCCGATGATAACCAGATCATCCTGCTCTACAGTATATCAGCTACCGACCTCCTCTTTAGAAGGATGTACGCGACTGACCTGCTTCTGAAGCGTAATTTCGTTTCGAGCTTCTCGCAATTGCTGAAGGGGCAACTACTGTAGGAAGACTAAAAAAATACTTGTTAGCCGGCGGGTTCCATTCAGGCGTCGCAATTGAAGTATCACTTACGAAGATTGTTGCTTGAAAGCTGACCTCACGGCCGCTCTTGGTACTAATAAACTTCGGAACATCTTGCAGGTGTTATGTGTTGATTGAGTATGACTTTCGCAACGGAGGTGTTTTTGATCTCCCAACGAAAGCGAGTCCCCGGGATCCAAGGCTGTCAGGTGACCTTGCTCCCCTGTCGCGGCGGTTTAAGCCGACCCGATCCTGTCCGCGCATTGCCCCTTCGTTTCTGGTGCATCGTGGAAATTTTCTCGTCAGCTTCAAGATCAAATATGTCAAGACAAAATTCCAATTGAAGCAACATAACAGACTCTCTGTTTACTAAACTGGTTTGAAGTGTAATCTTTCGCTTTCTTATTACATCCGAGTTTTTAATTTCGGTGTTCGCCCAGAAAAACGTATGCGAATGGCGGGTTTTCTATTAGAATGGTTGGTCTGAGTTCCATTGAATCTGCCCATATCGTGACTAATTTGTAATTCAGAATGAATGGATATCACATTATTCATAACGCCATGGATGTATTCTTGGTCCGTAGGCGATAGCATTGACTGCTTGCCTTGCTGATCCTTCGATCAAAGTTACCTAGACCCTATTGAGTGTCCATTATGCAACCTTTATATTATATTTCCGAACTTGGATCTCCAGTTCCATTCAAACGACAGAGCAATCTATGTACACAGAATCATAACACCTTTGTCAGTCGGGATTTCTCACAAATCCTGTGAGATGACGGCGTCGAATAAAGATCTAGACCTCGGCAAGCACTTATTAAAGTAATTTGCTGACCACCATAGATTGGATCTCTCCTGCTATTAAACGAGTGCAATACATCTTGGCTACTTGAAGTCACGCGATCGTCTCCTCGGAATTCCTTCAGATATTGCTTTACCGAGTAGAAGCAATAAGATCGCATCGCATGTGGAAGGTATCTGCATCCTCCCAGTTGACAAGAGGAAGAAACCCATTGAGCGTCGACTTGAGTCAAATATTGACATCGGTTTGTTGCCCCGGAAAGACCTGTAGAAGTCACTATGTGCGACAGGTCCAAGGGGAACAAGAACCGGTACCATACAAGCTCAAGTTGGCGCTCTCTGGTAATTCTCAGTTCCATGTCACGATGTGGTAGACCAGCTCCAGTTTTCATCGTGACCGTTCCAGCAGAACGGCAATATCTGAAATTGAGGATGAAGAGAAGTCTGACTTTGTTTCCAAACTGCGAGAGAGAGGAGCTGCATACCTACGCGAGAGATGGGATCTCAAGCAGATCGAGGTGCTATCCCAGCAAACAGCCTTCCTTTCGTTAAGTATACCCTCCGTCTTCCATTTTTCTTAGAAGCTCATAAACTGTTTGGCGAGTCATATATGTTCTGCCTTCCTCTCATTTCACATCCAAGTATCCCTATTCTGTTGTCTTCATACGGACTGTAATCTTGCATCGACTGTCCGACCGAGATCTCTGAATTATTGTTCACATAATCACTTTGGTCTTCTGCTCTTAACTAGCTCGAGGTCCATACTACACGAGAATTGCTTCACATTACGAGTTAAGGTGGCTCAGGGGGGTTGCCTTCTGACCTTGCTTGCGCGGCCAAAGTTGGATTATCAAGCGAAAGTGCAGGGAATCTCACAAGCGATAACATGTCAATCAAGATTTCTGGTCGCAAAGATCCTAATCTGCCCGATCAGAAAGTCAAGGACTCACGCCATCAAGAGTTTCAAGTGAAATTCGAGGACTGTGACCAGAAGTACTCGCCGGAAGTGTGGCTTTGCTGCCGATGGTGTGTGGCGGCGACTTGGACTAACTTCGATGACGTTGAAGGTATTGCAGTTTTACATATATGAGTAGCATCAATGACGATGTTGATTCGGATGTATAGAACTGCATCATGTGAAACTCGTATCGTCGACACCACGACGAAAGTGGTGGTGGGTGAGTTCGTGGACTTTCTTCACTATTATGCCTCACTGCCTGTCTATGTCTCAGTTAAGGGTTGTCTTTTCAGAAGCACATACCTGGAGAATAGGCGTTAACACACATCTGGGGATAGTATGAGTCACCTCGCGACAGAAAGTCCAAGGTGTGTCGGTGTTAGGAATAAATCGGTCAGCTTGATGGGGGAGGCATAGGAACTTGCGATGGGTGTTGGTAGCGGCGAGCAGATGAGTACATGAGGTACCCGTATTATTTCACGAAGATCCGCGAAACCCTCATGATATACGAAATAGGCTTAATGACTGATAAGGTTCAGCAGGTTCGGACTAGACATCCGATTGTAGTGCCCTACAGCTACCATCCTTACCTTAGGCGAAATGCAGGTGTGTACGAACGCGAAACGAGTACTAGTCCCAGTCACGCTTTTGTTATGTCTCAGCGCAAAACCTGAGCAGAAGCTAAGTGCAACCTGCTGGCACCCTTATAGTTGATAGAGGGTCATACGAGATCTAGACGATTGCTAAGGGGTCAGCAGAATCTTGAGAATCTTGCCAAACTACTTGCAAAGGAGGGTCATCAGGAATATGCTTAATACAAAATGGTCATCTGACTCTGTCCAACAATCCAAGTTATGAGCATCTTCACACCCTCGAGAGCGACCTCCTGGAAGCTATCAATCCCCACCACACCTTTTGTAGCTCGAAATCTGAGACCATCCTTAGGTGCACACTGGCTCACCGGGAGAGGCTGGCTATTCTGATCTGCCCGCCGCCAAGGTAATATGCGTACCCCACACAATGTACTAGAGCGTGCATCGCAACGGAGCTCAAAGGGGAACGGATGTTATATACACAATATACCAACAGACGACTGGCAGCAAGCACTATAGGGGGATAGGGCATGGACATAAATGGAAGCGCCCCGCGGATTTTTATTACATTGTCCCCGCAAACTGGAATTGTCATTTTCCTTGGGTCAATCGCAGGCGTGTATTGATATGGTGACGGGACGCTATGGACGCCTCGTCTGGAGTGTAATAAGTCGATGCCATGGCCAAGTGGTATTATAAAGTAACCCGGCCATGTACAAGGTAGCAGAGGTCGTAGAGATAGAAGTAGGATAGTATAGAATGTGAACTCGAGTGTGCGCGTATCAAAAGCGTCGGGCTCCCGATGAACGTAGCCTTTTTAGCGAGAGACATGATTGGCACCTTGATACTGACCGGTCCAACCTAGTCATCCAGCGACCGAGACACACAAAATGCGAATCAACGACTCACACAATTTTGAGAATCGCATCGTCACGAAATCGATATCAATCCATCTCCATCCGGCTTCGTCCACTCACTCCCTCCCTCCCTCACCACCCACCACCCACAGCCTCGCATCCGTCTTCCACAACCGCCCTTCCAACCAACTCGAGGCCGTTGCCATCCAACCCACCAGCCCACCAGCCCACCAAGCCTTCCAACCCTCCATCTCGCCATCCTGGACTGCGTGCAAGTACGAAATCGACAACCCTGCGCCCATCGCGCTCACCTCCCACTCACTGCCTCCATTCCTCGCTCCTCCCTCCTCCGACCAGAACGCCATATCTGCACCCCATATTCACCTACATCCCCATCCCAGATCAGATCTTACATACATCGCGTCTCTACTTTTATCCAACCCAACTCGACGCCGTGATTCCCTTCATCCACCGCTCCGTCGTACCGATCCCCTCCCTCGTTGCATATCTTCCACCGCTGCCCTCATCCAGACCGTCCCGCACTCATCATCATTGTGCAACCGTCGGCCACTGAAAGCCGAGCCAACCCGCCAGAACACCTCTGCGACTCGACATCTGCCATCGTTACTCGGCGCTCGTTGCTCGTTGCTCGTTGCTCTCTCTTCCGCAATAGTCGCCCGCCTATTTGGGGCTGCATCGACAGGAAACAGACCATCGTGGGCTATTTCGACACGGCTGTTTGGAATTCTTCAACTCCACCAGTTGCGCTGCTCTGCGATATCCCGGATAGGCAACTTTGGTCCGCTCCGCACTGCACCCTTCACCAGCACATAATCCCGCTGGTTCCGCCTCGGGCGACTTCTTTGGACTTTGGACTTTTTCCGATTAGTTGACAAAATTCTGCAATCTTCACATTCTATACGCCCCTCACCCTCGACAGCCGCAATATTCGAGACCTGTTGATATCGATCGACACGATCACCAGAAAGCTGAACACTTGCGCTTCGTCCACCAAGAATCTCGGACAACTCCGAAAGTGTGAGTACCCTTCTAATCCCAAGTATCTTCTACATCATCTAGTGGGGGAGCGATCGCAAGGTCGCAAGTTCTCTGCGACCTGAAACGACTGCGCAGTGCGCACTTCCACGAGTGTGCCTCTCACCGCTGCAGAGAACAGAATTGTCGCTTGCTTTTTCTCACCTACTTTTGCGTTTTTCTTCCTTGTCGCATAAGTGGCTAATGTTCGTGCCACGCAGATAACGACAATCGTCTCCCATAAAACCCCGGGCACAAACCTCCTCGCAACTTTTACTTTGCAGTAAAATCCTCGCAAAGCGCTTGGTCCGAGAAACACTATGGCTGGTACGGGAGCGTCTAGCCCATATATCAAAGACGAGCCTGAAGATCATTTCTCTCCGTTCGGTAACCAAAGATTCATGGGGGGTAATCAGCAAGGCTTCAACCAAGGCTTCGGCCAATTTGGTTCGCAGAACGGCAGCATCAATCCAAACGATCTCAACATGGGAGGCAACGGCGGATTAGCAATTTCAAATGGCCAGTATGGCTCGTCATTTCAGAATGGCTTTGTCTCTCAAGCGCCGAGTTCAACAGCGAACTTTGCAAAGGCGGGATTGGGCTCCTTCGGCGACGATGAACTTCTGGACGATATGTCACCTTCCATCGGAGCGCATCCTAATCAATTAGGCCTGCACGGAAATGGGGACTTTGGCATTGACTTCAACAGTGGACTGGACTACGGTCATAATGGAAGTGTGGGAATGGCCGTCAACGGCAATCAGTATTCGAATACGCCCGAGGGAGATCCAATACAGAGCCCCTTTGTGCTAGGCAACTTTAACTACCTCCAACAGAGGCAAAATATGAGCGCTACGGGCCAACATTTCGGTGGCTCATTGCACTCACCAGCCTCCTACAACAGCTCACCGCTTGTTGGCTCAGATCTTCACCACAGCAGACGGCCGAATGTCCGACGGAACTCGAGTACTAGGGAACGCTTAGTAGGGAAAGCCGCGGCCATGTCTCTTGGCTCTGGCGATGGATCGTTTCCAACTCCCATCCGAACTCCAGTCCATCGACACCAGAAGACCTTATCTGGCCAGTGGGATCAAGCAAACAGTCTCAATTCTTACAATGGCTCGGAATTCTCCTCACCTATCCAGGGCGTTCACCCAAACCCACAGATATCCGATATCCTCAAGACGGGTTCCATGCCTGCAAAGCTTAACAACCTACACCAAACAAGCAGTGCTCCAGCTCTCCAGTCACAAGAGATGAAGAGAAGACGGCGGAGAGAATCACACAATCTCGTTGAACGTCGGAGAAGAGACAATATCAACGAGCGAATTCAAGAACTTTCTCATCTGGTTCCGCTTCACCGTCTCGAAGACGAGAAAGTACGCAAGGCTCTCCAGAACAATTCACCACTATCTCCAACACTTGCTGGTCTCTCACAACCTCCAGGATTGAGCCCTCCACAGGCTACGTCAGGACTGGTTCCTCCAGGAGCCCGAAGAGCCACTGCAGGTAATATCACCACTGGCATTCCGATCGAGGAAAAGGACAAGGGCCCAAACAAGGGTGACATCCTCAACGGTGCGGTAAGCTGGACTCGTGATCTCATGTGGATGCTTCACGTGAAGATGGAGCAGATGGAGGAACTCAATCAAATGCTTCGAGATCGTGGTGAACAGCCACCATTCCAGGAGTCAGAGGAAGAGCAACGTATGCGTACTGAGCTGATGGATGCTATGGTCAAGAACGATGGTTCCAAGTTCCAGTACAGTCGAGGTCCAGGGACTGGTCTGAGGGTTCCAAAGCACACCGACGTCAAGGGCGATCCACTGGGTGCTTCCAATGGTCAGAACGATACATCATTGAGCCCCGACAACCACAGCAGCGGTGGTGATATGGTGAACCAGTACTGGAGTGGTCACAACAGTGGCGGAAGTGGCCCTGGCTCAATCAGCTTCAAGGAGGAGGACGAGTATATGGACCTTGCCCAGTAAACGTTGTCTACCAGTCGGCGCTCTCATAAGCTGGAACTCCTACTCTATTACTTTCTGTCCTGCTGGAATTTGTCGAGATATACCGCCTCACCACAGCCACTGTCACCTCTGGCATGCTTTACTTTACACTATTTTTGCACATTTATTGGACCGCAATCAGGAGTTTCTTTTTGCATTTGGAGGTAGTTTGGGAATACAATGGGACCGGGACTGGCGTTGTTTTTGTTTTGATGTAAATGATTGGGCTACAGAATGAGGGAATGGAGGTTATGCCGAGATCATGGGGTCTGGGAATGGGAATTGGCTGATTTTGATATTTGTTCAAGTCATTCAGGGTTGCTTTCTTCTTTTTTATGTTATTTTGATTTTCTTTTCATTGCGTCTGCGCACTTCATTGAGGAGTCCACCAGTGCTTCTTGCATTCACATCCAGTATTGTTGTGTTAATTTTGGGTCACAAATATGACCTTGCTTTCTTCTTTACCTTTGTCTTTTTTGTCCCTTTTGTCTTTGCTGGCATTTAAATGCTGCCCCCCCCATATGATACCTACCGGCGCGGAATCCCATCTTTGCTTTTGTTGGCTGCTCTGTTTTCGTTTCCTAAGGGAATAGTCTCATTCACTATCATAGCTAGTCACCACCCCCCCTACTACCACTACACTACCACTCATCATTTACTATTGTTCTTCGCTTGATGCGGGGGATAAGGGATTTGATAGTGGTGCGCAAATTCTATATCATGAAATTGAAACAGATTACTGCATATACCTTTATCTTGTGACGTGACTTTACATTCTTGGGAAGAGACATGTGTCGGGAAGGTCGCGTTTTCACGCTTCAGGGCGTTGAGAGACATTCGGGGACGGGTGTTTCTGGGTTTGGAATTCTTACTTTCGGAATTCTAAACCGTGGGTGGACGCGGGGATTGATTTGATGGTTTACGAGTGGCATCCCCGATACAGTACATACATTTTGGGTGGGGCCATTTTGATTTTTGATTTCACTATATACGACGACGACAGTGAAACTACCTGTTGAGAGTTGACAAATCTCATCTCGTCAAGGTTCAAAAAACTTCATGAAGGTCAAGGGTGGGGTTTGTTAGCATATATGGATTTCTGAGTTTTGTTTCCTGCGAGCAAGCGAGTACGTGATGGGTCACTGAATATTTGTCCACGTGAGAGTGCGAGATTCCTTGGGATCCCGGCGTGTGGAAATGCCGATGGGAGAGTACTTGGATGAAGGAATTATGTTGATTAGGCTACTAAGTGTATGTGGTCTTGGGAAACGATATTTCGTTTACTGGTGTACGTGAACCACCTGGGTATGAGTTTCTGGGATTCCGGCGAGTTGGGAAAGGCGAGTTTGGCGAGCGAACTTTTGGGCGAAGACTCGAAGTTTAACGAGGTAGAATTACCGGTAGGAAAAATATTTATCTAGGTGGATTAATTGTAGTTCGTGCTAGGATAATTCTCGTGCGTAGATGATGACAGGTTTCTGTGTTGTATTTATGGATTGTGGATTTTTTTTTTGTTTACTTTTGGTTACGTGAAGATGGGAGTCGAGGATATTGAGTGAAGCGATTAGGTGTTTGTTGGAGGTTTTCTAAACGAGGTGAAGAACTGCGGATTAGTGGAACTTCTACCGGTATAGAGGACTCGTGAAATAAGTATAGAGGTTTATGAAAGCTTAGATGCTGACACATTATGTATCGTAAAAACGGCTTAACCTTTATGGGTTGTTTGTTTTGTTTACTTCCCCTACCTACGTACAAAATTCTCAAAAAAACATTCCTTGGGGATTCCGGTGATCGCGACCCGTCCGTCTAAGCATTTCTCTATACGAAGCCAGTGTAAGCGAACAACGGGATGTTACCTTGTCTCTTTGTCAAAGCGTTTAGCCTTACGGCGGATGTGCCGGAGTGGAAAAGGTTGTTGATCCTGTGCGATTCGCTTGGTGGGAGTGGAGTGGGATGGGTGGCTGCGGATGGGGAGGTGGCTAGGGATGGGATTGCGTTGGAGGGGTTTATGAAGGTGTAAGGGAGGAGGGTAGGAGGGTTTACGTGGGTTTTGTGCGTGGAATTGGGGAGGGGATTGAGGTTAGAATGTTGGAAAGGGGAGACGGATGGATACGAGAGGTGAGGTGGGAATAACTTAGTTTGGTAGTGGGGTTCGAGGTGAGTGAGAGGTTTGGGGGTTGTGGCGCTTGGGTTAGATTTTGGGAGAGGGGGTTCTTAGTAAGGTCAATGTATTGTTGGGTTTCTTGTGGAGTTGAAAATGAGAGTAGATTTAGAAATTCAGATGATATTCTATCATAACATGAAACAATATCATACAAACAGATCTCGCAAACCGTGCAGGCCCAAACACTGAATCAGTTTGTCTCTGAATTAGGTGACTTGCATATATTTCGTGGGGGTCTAGATGCAGGGGATATTTTTCTACGGGACTTCAATATTCTCATAGCTCCTCTCATATGCTTCCCAATTCCAAAATCAGTTTCATTTCATATATCCCCATTCATATCTGGATTTCCTATAGTATACACACCTAGACATAGTAGAAAAGTACCCGCACAGACCACCCGCTCCCCACCTCATCATGAAGCTCAACCCATCAAGAGCCCATCTCGATGTCAAGCTCCTCACGTCCCAACTCACCAACATGGCAAACGCGCGCGACATAATGCATCCGGGCCTCTGCGCCATCGCGTTGGTGATCCGCGCGCGTGAAGGTCCGAGATTCGTATTCCACTACCCTCCGCATCCAGACGGGAAGGCGGTGGTGAGAGAAGCGAGGTTCGGGACGGAGTTAGATACTGAACCTATTTCCCCGGTGTTGGAGGGCGAGGAAAGCGATGAGGAGTTTGGTGAGGAGGAGAATATCGGGGGAGAGGTGGAACATGGTACGGATGCTGATGGCACGCATGTTGCGCCTTGGGATCGGTTGTGGGAGTTTCCGACGGCGGATTTGGAGAGTATACTAACCCCGTCGAGGGCGTTTCATAAGAGGCGCTTTGAGTTGAGTCTTGATCCGGTTGTGTTTGTGAGTTATCCGGTGCATATTCGGGAGGAGGGAGGGTGGAAGAAGAAGAGGTTTAAGAAGAGTAGGAGGAGGAAGGAGGGAGAGAGGGAGGGTGAAGAGGCGAAGGAAAGTATGGGGAAAGAGGAGGAGGAAGATGAGGGCGGGATGACAATGTTTAATGTTGTTTTTATGGTTAATGTTTCGAGAGAGGAGGAGGATGGGAGGGTTCAGGAGGTTTTTGAACATGTGGTGAAGAAGTTTAATAAGGCGCTTAATCATGCGCAGGCGAGTGATAATTATGTTTGGAAGGAGTCAGAGATGATTTTGGGGATGAAGGATAAGGCGAGGGAGGAGAGTGAGTGCTTTGATTCTGTTTGGAAGTTCATATGCTAATGAGAGTTAGGACGACCCATGAGCTGGCTCTGGAATGAAATTCTTCTCAAATCGACTCTCGCTAGCGCTATAAGAGATGTGTTTGATGCGATTTCAAATAGCAAGATTGCAACTTTACATCTCGCCACAACACCTCCTGTCGACATATCGCTACAAATACCTATACCCTGTTTTCTCACCAGTTTTCCGAGCTCAGACGACAGAGCTATGCTAGGACTTCTTCTCACCTCGGCAAATGCCATGATCGACGAAGAAGGAAATGAGAACCCAACTCATCTCAATAAGCACTTTGCTCTCTTGCTTCTCAACAATGAAGAGAAGATCATCTCGGAAATTCAAGCCGACAATACGGAACTCACGGCTCCTCTAATCGAATGCATCCGTCTCTGCAAACCAACCCTCTCCTTTCTTCAAGTCGCCCAGACTCAAAACGTCGAATTATCCAGCCTTCTGATCCTCGCCCAACATCTCATCTACTGGCGAAGAGCAATTGCCATTCCACCTCTCCACGCAAGAGAAACCTACATCGTCTCCCCCAACTGCGACAGTCGTCAACTCCCCATAGCAAGCATCGCCTGGAAAAAAGCATTCCCACTCGCTCCCTCACTCCCATCCTACCTCGCCTCCCTCTCCGCCGCTCCTCGACCTTACAAACACTTCTCCCCCAGCAAAAACCACCGCCCAACCTACCTCGACATGCTCGCCTGGGCCATGCGCGGCGGCTGGGTCACCCCTCTTCGCACCTACGCCTGGATTCTCGTGCATCCGGAAATTATCTACGAAGTAGACTACCAACTCAAAGCCGCGGCCGTCGAGAAAGCACGCAACAAGTCCAAAACTGCAGAATCCGATCAAGACCTCCTGAGCTCCAGCACCGACTCCTCGACTCACTTCCCTAAAGACCCAAACAGCATGACCACCTCCCAGGCAGCCGAACACGCTCGTCTCGCTCGCCTCGCCCGCAAAACAGCAGAGGAAACCGCAATCTTCGCCGCGGAATTCGAGAAACTGCCTCCCCCCGTCGCAACAGCTCATCCGTCCCTCAACACGGCGCCACATCTCAAACATCTCAGTCCGTACGTGATCAAAGACCCGCACAAGGTAAGTCACGAGGAGAGTCTGTATATCGCGGCGTACAGCAAACGGTTTGAGGACGTGAAGGTGCGCGAAACGTGGTTGAGGTTCTGTGGGAGGTATTTTAATGGGAGGGAGCCGTTGGAGATGATTGCGTTGCGCGAGGGCATGAAGAGGAAGGAGACTTGGGGGTTGCTTGCTGCGTTTGGGGAGGTGATTTTGGTTGCTAGACATTGGTAGGGTGGAATGGCGTTTTGTATGATACCCGGGATTTGAAGTTTAATGAGAAATATATGTTATTCATTTTTTAAGAGATTTGTGGTTTGGGAGTTTATTTTGAGATTGGTGTTTTGCTAGGGATTATCTACAGTCTTTCACATCCCTAATGACCCCACAAATCATCCCGTGATGATAATCACAAGATCCAATCGTCCAAAACACGCAGCTACATCCAGCCCTAATGTCAATTCAACAGCCTATATTCTGCATCTAAAAAGAATAACGCCGGGTCCCGATCAAATCATTGTTAAAGTAAACAGCCGAGTAGCCGCTTAATCATAGGTATTGTACAGGGAGATCCTTTTTAGAACTCATCTTTAAAACGTTTGCTGCATATGACAGAACAGGTCTAACTTGAGTATACGTTTACCTATTACGAACAAATTTCAACATAATACTTTGAAACCCACCCTATGTATTTCTAAGATTCTTACCAGTTACTCGAACCATCTTTCAACATAGACAACTCCAATATCCCGTTTCCACTCCCACCATTTCCCGGCACATCAGGCAGCTGCCCAGCAGGTTCCCTAGCCCTCCCAGCTGCTCTATCCCACATTTCCCGACTCACATATTTCGGATTCCAAAAGTACTCTTCCTCTTTTTTACTAAGATGAGCACCAGCGTAAATCCCACCTTGATGGGTGCCGTTTGAGTATATTAAGGGCCATGTGGGATGTAACAGATTTCCTAAACATCCGTCAGTTCTTATTGGTTTTGGGCACAGGGGACAACATACATCAATGCCGCACTTTTACGGACAGTCGATTGGAGTATCCCACCCTATCCATTTCAACATCCGTCGTGTTTGCTTTGCGTGATAAGCTATTTCTCCAGCGATATTACTTTCCCCAGAAACGCCTGAATAAAGAAGATTCGTCGTTCGGTTCTCGCTCCGTTCGAAAAGCTCCCATTCCCAAGTGCACAGTCGCTTGAGAACTGTACGAATTGAATCCTGAATTAAACTCTCAAATTCGTTGAGGAAGTTCGGGTTCAAGTGAGATGTGAATAGGTGAGTGCAGCGGGCGATTGTTTGACGACGGATGCCAGACACTGAAGTTCCAGGTCTAGGATATTGGAAGAAGGGTGCTAGAATACCGTGACTTAAGTCGTGTATACGTGTGATTGTTTTGTTCATGCCCCAAACCAGAGTCAAACTGCTCAAACGTGTAAGCTATCTCAACCGTTCAACTCCGATGGGAATTCGTTACGATTTCTGTAATACTTTGCCAATTTACACCTGAGCACTTCCTAGGAGTCTCAAACCAAACCATCGCCCAAATTTCTCAAGAACAGAGAGTGTTCGATGGTGATACAGACTCCTCTCCACCCACTTCCGAACCTTCAGAGCATCAATGGCGCTGATATCAAGCAACCGATGTCCACGACGCAAACCCCAACCATTATCATACCCATCCCTTCGTCTAATACCACGGACATGTTTCACCGACAAATTCGTCAGAGAGGGACCATACAACGAAACCATACCGTAGAGATCAAGCTGCAATCTTTTCTCCTTCGAACTATAACCCCACGCAGCGCTCCTGATTCAATCCCACGTGTATTCCTGAGAAAACGTGTTACCGAAGCCTAGAGGTGGTTGAGGATTTGGATCTCGCGGAAGGTCTGGGTTTTCTTCGTTGAGGTAGCTTCCTGGGATAGTCACGTTTGTAGCATGGAGTTCTTGGGTCCCGGAGGTTTCGACGTCGCAGGTTAGAACTTCCGAACCAGCGTTCATTCGCGTGAGGCCGTCGATTCTGAGGCTTTTCGCGAGTAAACATAATTCGTCGCCTCGGGCGCCTTCGTTGAATGTGAAGGAGTTGGAAGGGTTGAGCTCGATACGGCCGCGAAGCAACAGTGTTTGACTATCTACAGTTCTTGATGCGGTAGGTGCTGCTGATTCTCCATCAAGATAGAGTAGATGTAAAGGTCTCGAGGGAATTGCAGTGTGTTAAAAGGTTATCCCAGAGCCACCATGAATTCCTAGAGATATTTCACATTCCCACGATCAGTTGTGTCGACGTCTCGGACCCTTAGTCTAGGACTTACGCACCGAAAGCAAACCAGGTTCGTCCCCGAACTGCACCTGAAGGGGAATTGGCATGGTATAGAGGTATATTCAGTGGAAATGTCACGGGAACGATGGAGTGGCCGTTAGGAGCATAGGTGTTCAGCTATTGCTTTGCTAATGCGTATACACTGTCGAATATGAAGAGCGCTGCTACTTCGCAGTCGATGAGAGAATTAGAACAACGAGGACCCCTTGGAGAGTCTAGGGAAAGACTAGCTGGGACTGAACTGTGCGAGATTGTGTGGTGTGAAGTTATGTGGAGTAACAGCGTGAGGGTTACTTATGTGGCTAGCAAACAACAGGTATAACCAAGCTTTGTTGACTTATTTGAGGACGTTGGAACGGAGTCACAATAAGTTGGCATGGACAATTATCTGTGCTATTATCATCGTCATCTTCCGAGGTGAGCAGATGGCGACTTGAAGAAGAAGCGTGTTTGTCCTCGCAAACAGACATCTCTGGGAACCTTTGTTGTTGTAAACATTCGGTAAGCTTAAAGATAGATGCTCTTAATATAGTAAAATGTAAAAACGATAAACTTTCTCACTCCACGGTTGGAAGGTGAATGCAAGTGATAAGATACAGGAAATCGGCAGACGAAACCGGCTAGGTGCGGAAATTGAAGGTTGTATGTTTATGTTTTTTTGAATAGGTCACGGAATACTTCTACTTCGCTACATATTGCTTATTGTTTGAAATACCTGGACGAGTTTTCATCACTCAGGATATAAATACCCTAACTTGTCTGTCCCTAGTATAACGGTTTAGGACAGTTTATTTCTCTTAGCAAGAAATTCTTGACTGCAAAGAACATGAGAATTTTCTATAAATCACGGATTATAAAACAAGTCGCAATCTAAGATGCTGTTTAACCTCTTTGTTCTACAGTAAAATCTGAGAAAGTATTTGACATAATATATACCATATAACCCATCACAAGAAACCGTCACAATATATCCCATCATCGATATTCAATCTGAACTTTTACATCGTGCTACCACTACGGTACATCTTCGTCTAGATTTCAAGCCACTATGAGCTCTGTGGTCAAATTCCTGACATCCTAATACTGTAAACTATGATCATGGTACCCTCTAATCTTAATTCAGAAAGGAAAACAAAGACAGAGAATTAGAAAGAGAGAGAGAGAGTCATACAAATAGAAGAAAGAAAATGCAAGAGCCAAACCTTGTCGGATAGGACCATCATCACCCAAAGTAAACAGATCTCGTAAATCATTGCCATTGATCAAGTCTCCTCACCGAAACTTGATAATTTTGCTAATCTACGTACAAACGTAAAGCCATCAAGCACCCTCACCGACGCTTAATGCTCCTACTAACTCCTCCCAAATATGAAACCATCAACTCCCCAGGATCACCGAAACTTAATGCTTTTACTCATGTCCCCAAATATCAAATCGTCACCACGTATCTTCTCAAATCAAGCCAAAATGCTCGTCCAAAAATCCCAGCAACCCCTAAGTAAAAGCACATCCGCAACCCCTAATAAATAACAGCAGAAATCAAATTATTCCGCAGCCGTAGTCACATCACCAGCTTCATCCTCACCCTCAAGAACAACATGGTACTCGCCCTTCTTCGGCTTCTCGTAGAACTCGTGGCCAGGAGGATACTTGACATGGCCGAGGCGTCTCTTCGGGGCACTTCCATTCTTCCAGGTGTAGGCTCTCTTCTTGTTCGGGTTGTACTTCGAGTAGGTACTAACCTTTCTCTTGGCCGGGTTTGGAGGGGAGTTTCCGTGAGGTGAGTTGACGAAGTGATCGCCATTTCCTAGTGCAGAAGCTGGAGCCTTACTCTTTGCAGCCTTTGTCTTTGCTTGTCCTGGGGTGGTGGAGTCTGGCACCTCAGGTTTTTTGACTGGAACCAAGTCCTTCCGGTATGGATCTTTGTGATGGCCTAGTGGTCCGTTCGGGTCTTCGTAGTATGGGTCGGAGTGTTGGTATTCTGGGTCATCGACTGGGTCTCGTCCGGTGATGTTGAACAGCATGGGCAAACCAAGGAATGGGTGTTCGGCATCCTTTCTCTTCTTCAGCTCCTTCTCGATGGCGGCAGCGCGAAGGGTTTCCTTGATCTTCTCAACTGGCATCCAGACCATGACCTTGGTTTCATCGATTCGTTGAACTGAGCCTGGAGCGATGGTTCCGAACCAATCTGCTGGAGTGCCGACCTTCTTGTGGTAGTCCTCATCGTGGGGAAGGTGAGGGACGTATTGGCGGTAGTTGGCATTGGGAGATTCTACAACAGGTTGCTGGCGACGTGTTAGCACAGCTGACTTGCTTGAATCTTTGTGATCGATGACACAGTTGCATTGTGTGAAGTGCGATCATAACGATCTGTGTTGGAAATCTGAATCACCGACAGCTGTTACGATCCTTGAGCCATCCAATTAACATCTCCGAGGATACTCAAGGAGACGCGTGGTTCAGCAACTGGATGCGATACAGTCTCCATGTCGACTCCATTGTTGTTGGAACCGAAGAGTCATCGGTCCACAACATCGCGAAAGCGAACTCAAGGTAAACAAAAGCCATCGTCTAAGAAAATCACAAACATACCTTCTTAATCGTGTTCAAGACCTCTCCAAACATGACACTATCATCCTCCCAGTCCTCAGGGCTACCAGTGTCGGCAGGCAAACCTCGACGTGTCGGAGCGATCTGTCTGTCATCGTCCTCCTCGAAGTCCATCATATCAGAATGATCAGATATGTCCGACATGATTTCTCGAATCAACAAAAAGCGCTGGGATGAAGTTCCTGTAGAGATGTAATTGGTTGTATCGTAGAAACCCAAGAATGCAGGGTCCTTGATGAAATAAAGGTGTAGGAGGGTGGGTGGTGCCTTCCTGAATGGGTTGTTGGTGTTAGGAGACTAAAAACAAATGGTGTTTTTATTATGCTGAGCAACTTTGAAAATTTGCACTCCTTGAGTGAATAAGGATGTGAGACATTGAAAACTAAAACCACAGGCAGTCAAAAGTATATTTCAAAATCCACAAAGCTAACAACAATTTTCTTGTCAACTACACAAAACTTCTGTGAACGTGGATATTAGATTAGAAATCTTAATATGAAGATAGTAAAACATGAAGATGTTAATATATGAGGATCCTAATAACACAAGAAATCTTGAAGTGCATCAAAAATTGTTTTCCAAAAGATCAGATGAGACAATCACCTACCTCAACATTCACACACTGTGTAATTATATCTGATATGTTCACCAAGAAGTCTTTCTACGTTTAGGTTAGCCTCAACAATTTATCTTGATTCACAGGAGGAAAGAAATTGGAGGATTAATAACATACTGACTTTTCTCACAAGATAGTAGCTTTTATTCCAAAACAGCAAAGTGGTATAAATCGCTATTAGGGTATGGTTATCTCAAATTCACAGCCCTACACCATTCACATTCTCTCAACGTAGCCTTGCTGCCTTAATCATTCTCCAATGAATGTAGCCATAATAACTCCTCGACTAGTGTCAAAAGGAAAACTCTCGTTTACTTTCTTGATTTACCCTTGAAAGATTTCAACGGATCAATCTTTCTTCCACCTGCTTTCTTGCCCCGCCCTTTATTTATCCTCGTCCGTCGATTTTTGCCATCCGTAACTTTTCTGAATCCCACAAATCCATGCTCCCCTGCCGTTATTGCTTTCCGGCCGCCTTCTGGTAATAGATAATCTGGAACATGCTTCAGATGAGACTGAACTCGCGCGGCTCTCAATTCACCATCATGTCGAAGATGATGTAAATCTCCTGGGTTCTCTTCGAAATGCCTCTTCAATTTCTCGCTTTTCATCAACTCTTGCCTCAGCTCTCTGGTCCGAGCCTCACGAATCGCTACCCTTGTGACAGCCCGTAATGCGTCACTCATTCTGTATCTAAAAGCTTCCACCTGCTTCATGTCGAAGTTGTATGGTTTTACTTCCTTTCCCTTTTTGAGTTGATGTCGCATAATTTTCGCCAACACCTTTTCATCATCCTTGGCAGATTCGATGCTGGTAGGGATGTGCTTTCGATATTGATCGGCTGGAATGACAAACGACAAAGCCATACCAGTCTGACCCGCCCTGGCAGTACGTCCAATTCGATGGGTATATGATTTTGATGAAGTTGGCAAATCGAAGTTCAGAACGCAGGCTAAATTTTTGAAATCGATTCCCCTCGAGACTCCATAGTCCTTATCTTTCTCGACAACCCTGCGTTTCTTTTTTGAAGGCTCTTTCGATCGAGATTTTGCTTCCTCGGCATCTGCCTCTTTTGTTTCGCCAGCGTCGGCTTTTTCTTCCGCATCCTCAGTCTTTTCCTCCTCTTCATCACCCAATACCTCGTGCTCATCAGAAGCGATGATAATATCGTATACGTTCTTGTTGAATTCTTCTACAACATGTATGCGAGAGTTTACTGGAAGCTCTGAGTTGAGAATACAACTCCTTATTCCAAATTGCTCAAGGTATAGCTTCAAACGATAACATCTGTCGATATCTCCAACAAAGATAATGCACTTCCCTTTTATCAACTTCAGTTTGAAGATAACATAGAGAAGCAGGAACTTTTCGTCTTCCGCGCATCTATAGCTGTTAGCGGAAATCAAAGCAATATCGTACTCTTGGACCTACTTGACAGTGTATTGACTGACACCCTCACCCGCTTCCTCAGCTTCCTCGAGTTTGAGCACTACCGGATTCCGACAGAACAACCCCTTCAAAGTTTCAACCTCACTCGTCAACGTAGCACTCATCAATACCGTTTGCACACCCTTTGGCATGATTTTAGCAACATTCTGCAAGTCCTCGTCATACCCATATGATAACACCAGATCGGATTCATCAATCACCAAATGTGCCAGGTTCTCGAGAGACAGTGCCGAACTTTCCAAATTTGCAGCAGCTCTCGCCGGAGTTGCTACAACAATATCTGGCGAGTCTGCTAGGAGAGATCGTTGAACCGCATCCGAGACTTTCTGGGTCAGGTTTACCGCTCGTACATCTTTGACACAAAACGCAGCAAACGCTTCGACGGCTTTGGTAACTTGTTCCGCAAGCTCACGAGTTGGTACAAGGATAAGTGCGGACGTTGTTTGAGTTGGTGTCGTCTAAGAATGTCAGTTGAAGAACCTCTGCAGCAATTGAAGGAAATCTTACCTGTTTTCTTCTTAGAATGAGATGGATAATGGGCAACAAGTATGCAGCAGTTTTTCCAGAGCCCGTTTTCGCCCTAGCCAGCACATCTCGTCCCTCTAATGCTAAAGGTATGGCCTTGCTCTGTACCAATGTAGGTGCTTGGAAGTTCTGTTTTGAAATGCCTTGTAACAATCTGGAGTCGAGTCCTAAACCGGAAAATGTAGAAACATCCTGTTTGACCTTTTCTTCCCCCTCCGCAGGCGCCGGCACGTCATTGGCGTCTAATTTGCGTTTCATGTTGCGTTATATATGGATTGCTGAGCAAGTGGTGTCGCATCGCAATTGAGTTGTAGAAATTATTTTCGCGATAGAAAGTTTATCGCCGATAACAATACGACCACCGTAGCCGCCCCGCTTATACGGGTCACCATAAGGACCCCCCGCATCAAACACTTCCCTCACGTGCTCACAATTCCACCCTGAATTCGACTAGATTGAGCAATATTACAGTACGATGAACATTAAGGTATGTTGTATTATTGATTTCTGATTATATTGACACGTAGATATCTTACAGGTCAGATAGCCTCTTCGATACATAGACAGACGTGAGAACTACCACCGAACAGCCATACTGTACAATTGAATATTGCAAGTCCCTAACCTTTCTGGGTCTGCTTCTTTTGCATCTTCCTCATTTCACGTTCCTTCTCTTTCTCGAGATACTTCTTTTGAGCTTTGGCATCAAGACCTTTTAGCTCAAGATCGCGCTTCAGTTTCTTAGCCTTCTCGCGTTCTAAAGCCCTCTCTTCAGCTTTCTCATCTTCATCGGCTTTTTGAAGCTTCTTAATAGCATCCTCACGTGTCACACGGACTTTACGGAGAACCTCAGCTCGGAAGTGAGCACCTTGGACAAGGGTGTCAGTCAGGCGGATAAAGTACTCAAAAATTGGCAGGAGCTTAGAAAAATCGCCAGATGATGGAAGTCGGTAAGAGAGATTGATACGCTTCTTTGGAACAGTGTCATCAAGCCTAGGGAGGAATGTCAGATATAGTTTGCGCGGAACCGGGTGGTACATACTTTTGTGGCTGATCAACAGGTTGGTCAGTGATGATCAAGTGCTCTAGAAGATCACCAGCTTCCTCGATGGCTTTGATGAGTTCAGGAGTGAGTAGGAAGTCGGTGATCTCTGCGCTTTCGCTCATGACTGTCACCCAGTTCGGAAGTTTAGGACTGTCTTTAGTGCCAGTAAGGGAAACGTCATAACGATCATCACGAAGTTGCTTCATGGTCTCCTTGTTAACAATTGCCCAAACAAATCCGTCATAACTGCTCTTGGTATCCTTGCGGAGCTCGTGAGCGCCAGGAAGCTGGCCAGGAACCGTGAGCGCCTCCCGGCCATCGAATGGGTACAAGATGGCTTCCACGCGCTCAGCGGGTGTGGGCATGCTGTCGAAGAACAAGCTCATTGCGAATTCTGCAATCATCGTGATTGGACTGTATCTCTTGTGTAGTGTAAGGTTGACATCAAGGAAAGCAACATTTTGTCGACCACTGGCGTAAGTCGTGAATTCCTGAGGGGATTTCTCTTTCAATAAGGACTCCGGCAGGACAAGGCTGTCCTGCTCACTTGCGATTTGTGGTCCACCAAATCCAACGAGGGCGAATTCTTTCTTCAAAACAGGAGCATGCGCTGAGATCCACGACTTGGCCTTCTTGCGATTGCTACCTGTGCCAAAAAGATGGACAAGAACGGTAAGCACAAGGAAACCAAGAATGATGCCCTCCTGCTTGAAGTCGCCTAGACTATGTCGTTCGTGAACATTGTACCATTTCGTCCAAGGCACAGTGCTAGTGCTGGTAGGTACGGCCCCGCCATATCCAGCTGCTGAGGAGACTGTAGAGAAGGAGATGGGCGTTGGGTCGGGAGCTCCAGCGAAATCGGCGAAGTCTAAGAAGCACGTATTAGCTACAGACTGCATTCATATCGGCGCATACATACCAGAGTCGCCAGCTGGAATTGGCGATGCAGATGGTGCAGCTCCTCCAAAGAGGCCTTTGATGATGGCGGCCATCTTGATTGATGTGGTCGAAAAGTTTCCCAGAAACTGGTCGAGCTGGAAAGAAATGGGGTGGATCGTAAGTGTGGAGCGCACAGCTGTATTGGGTTAGCATTACGCGGTGGACGCCAAGACCTTGATCCCCCAGTCAACTATTCTTAACACATTCAGTCTGAACTTTTCATGATCACAGGATTGTATATTGCAAATAAGACCCAGAAAAAGAGAAGGAAACGAAGACAGTAAGAAGGCTGATATCAGGGGTATGCAAGAATTCAACTAACCATAAGCAGACTCTAAAAAAATCCTTATTATACCAAAGTCGAAATCAAGCACGACTTGTTTACAGCGAAATTTCAGAAGCGAGAAAAGCGCCTCGCTACTCGAGCTGCTTCTTGCAACGAGAAAGAGTACCCTGTCCATTTGAGATGATTGTAGCTTGAATTTTCAACTTTTGGTATGAGTATTCAGTTCAATAGTCATTTTACAAATTATGAGATCTTCCCGTCACATCCCACGCAACAAGGTCTCAGGCGCTGGCACCTTTCCATAGCTACAAAATACTGACTGAAACCAGACAGAGTGTTCTTGGAATAATCCTTGAATTAAATGGGTCCCAAAACAGACGCATCCAAGATGAGAAAACCAAAACGCACTTACGGTGCGAAAAAGAGTGCATTTAGCTCAGCTTCCACGGCGATCTTCGGTAGCAATATGAAGCAAGAGCCTTCACCACCAGCTCGTAGTGCCTTGGAAGATATCACAGATGCTGTAAAAAATATCACTCTAGCAGAGAAAGAGAAAGAAGATAGTGTAGATGTGATTGAGGAAAAGGATGATACCCCAATCGAAAGAGGTATGGTTGGTGTCATTTATAAGATAGAACAGGGCTAACAACTCAATCTCAGGCATAAGTAATTGCCACACAGAAGATTCAATATCCGAAACCGCAGAACCGGACTATCTAGAACCGCTATCCAGCGCTTACATGACTGATCTTGGAACTCCATTAGAGAGCAGATCCTGGCAGGAAGTTCTTCCGAGCAAAGGCTTCCAACTAGACAAGATCGCGGAGGCTTCATACGCCGAAGTATATCGTGTTACTTCATGGAAAACAAAAAGAGAACCGGAAAGAACTTCTATACTCAAGATCATGCGTCTAATATCGCCTCATGATCCGTCGTCCTATGAGTGCGAAACAGCACTAGAGGTTGGAAATGTCGTGTCCGAGTTTCGCATCATGAACACACTCACAGAACTTCCTGGATTCGTGACTTTCAAAGGGGCATTCTTGGTTAAGGGGCAACCTGGGAAGCATTATTTTAAAGCTTGGGATAAATATCACTACAACTCAAAAGAGGGTTCTTGGTTTACCGACCCAAGGTATTATGACGATCAAACGACTTTCTTGGTTATTGAGCTTGGGGACGCCGGAACTGTCCTTGAAGATTACCCATTGCGTACGATGGATGAGTTGTGGGATATATTCCTAGGTACCGTCATTGCCCTGGCAAAGGGAGAAATGGCTTGCGAATTTGAGGTAAGTACCAAAGCCCAGAGAAAAGGGAGTTGACTAACTTTTTTACTAGCATCGAGACTTACACGAGAACAATATTTGTGTGTCCAGTAGAGGATTAGCTGAAGTAGCCAGGGACGCTAAAGCGAACCTCCGGTACGGCTTTTCCGGTCTGGAGGTGACTCTGATTGATTATGGACTTTCTCGTGCGACACTGTACAATGGGGAAGTAATGTTTAATGATCTCGAACAAGATCTCGAAGTTTTTAGAGGATCTGATGGCCATCCGCAATTTAATTGCTACCGCAAGTAAGCTCTCTTCCTATCATAACTTGTTCTGCATATTGTGACTCCATGCTTACACTAACATCTAGAATGCGCTCTCATTTATTTACAAGCACAAGAACAATGCAAAAACGAGCTTGGCATACCGAAGAATCTCGAGCATTATCAAATGGCCACGATTGGTCAGAACACAGACCTTACCACAACGTCATATGGATCCAATTTCTTCTAGGCTATCTCAAGAAGCAATTAATAAGGCTCAAAGGACCAATCCTTGATGACCTGAAGAATTTCAATGCCCAAACCGTGGAGTTGTCTAAACGTATGGATCCTAGAACCAAGATTGAGAACGGTGCTTTTGAATCTGCGACACAGGTGTTAGAATATGTTATTGCCCGAGGATGGGTTAGCTGTGAACAGGCAGAGGTTGTTGGAACTTCGGAACCCTCTTTTCTTGGCATGGACAATCTTGAGGAGGATGTGAAGGATGAGCTTCTGAAGGAGTCTAGAAATCGGGATGAAATAGATCCTAAAGTAGGCCGGAGCGGTTCTACCACACCACGACAACGAAGAGGAGAAGCTCAAAGGGCTACAACGAAGAAACGAGATACCAAGTCTGAAAATATTAAGCCTAGGGCGTCCTCAGAAGAGGAACCAAAACCAGCAGTAAGGAGAAGCCCTAGAACAAAGAAGAGTGCGAAGTGAAGAGCTGGACTCCTTCCTTTAGTCTGCCGGCTTGTACGACTTCATAGAGATTTTCGCTTTCTCGGGCTTTGGAAGATGCATAGCGACGGATCATATTATTATTTGGCGCTTGAATTCTGGTTTAGGGAACTAATTTTACATAGATGAGCTTCTTAAGCATACAAATTAAGTGGTATTACCATGTCCGTTACACCATTCAAATGTACGGGTACTGCAAGCTTCAGGCACATAAACGAATCGTTACCACCACATTCTGTTTCGTGGTAAATCCATGCATCCAGCCACAAGTCGGGCTGAATTTGTGTGTAATTGCAGTTTTGAAAGTTTACTGAAAAGATATCGATTTTTGTTTGCATCAGTAACAATGCAAGACATACTTGCATCGCATGACAATCTAGTCATGTTATGCGGTCACTTCCTCCCATACAAATTTGTATGAGAGTGAGCGGCCCGCTAGCTCGTGTAAACTAACCCCTGTCGATCAGATCTTCGGGTCAATCTGGATCGTGGCGGGGTAGATTGAAGGCCGGATGTTCGAACATCCTTGTCCAGGGTATCGTCACGCCTTGGCCAGCGCGAGGCTCTGCCACCAGTCAACCACGACATATACAACTTCCGCCTCGTGCTCGCCATGCTCACCTTTACAACCTAAAAGTATATCAGCTGAGATATCGCCGATCGCATTCACTCACACCGAGACAAATGCCGCCTTGATAAAAGGTCGAATATCACACGTCGAACGAGACGCAATCATGGAGCACCATTCGACGATGGGACGGATACGGGAGCTCATTAACAAACCCAACGAGGAACAAGAATACGAGCCCTTGGACGACGATTCTTCAGAATATGAAGACGACGATGTGCGCCGTGCGGTTCTCATCGTGCCGGATTATGAGTATACAGAGGAGCCGTTCTCGTGGTTTGAGTATTGCATATTCTTCTTGCTGGGGATATCGATGTTATGGGCGTGGTATGTATTCACGGGTTCAGTACGCGCTGCTAGATACTGTAGCTAATATGGTGCAGGAACATGTTTTTAGCAGCAGCGCCATACTTCCAGGCTCGATTCGCAGGCAACGACACGATATTAAACTCATTCCAGTCCGCTATTACCTCCGTTAGCTGCGTCACGAATATGTCCTCCATGTTGATCCTCGCCCATATACAGCACAAGGCCAACTATCCGAAGCGGATATTGACGGCGCTCGTGCTGAATTTGATCGTGTTCACACTCCTCTGCCTATCAACTCGAGTTCTTCGCGATGTCAGCGCCGTTCCGTACTTCGCATTTACCTTGATAATGGTTTTCAGCACATCAATAGCTACAGGCCTGGCGCAGAACGGAGGATTCGCCTTTGCATCGAGCTACGGAAGAAAAGAGTATATTAGTGCTATTTTAACGGGCCAGGCGGTAGCCGGCGTGCTCCCCTCTGCTGCACAAATTGTGTCAGTCCTTATATCACCAGCACCAGACAAAACGGCAGATGAGCAAACATCAGCGAAGCTTGAAGCAGCCGCTGCTACGGATTCCGCTTTCGTGTATTTTTTGACGGCGACCATAATCAGTGTTATTACGATCATCACAGTATTGCCTGTTATCAGGAAATACAGACATACCTTGGAATTCAAAATGATGTCTTCAATGGCTAGTATCGACGAAGCAGAACAAGCAGCTCGAAAGTCTGTTACATTCATGCAACTTTACAAGAAACTTTACTGGCTCACTGCCTCGGTATTCTTGTGTTTTGCAATTACAATGTTCTTTCCAGTCTTCACACCCAAAGTCTTATCAATCATCCCCGAGGACGAAGCACCTCGACTCTTCCAGCCATCAGTATATATCCCCTTGGCCTTCCTCGTATGGAATGTTGGAGATTTAGTAGGCCGGATAACTATAACGATCAAATTTTTCGTGGTGCGAAAAGGACCGATCCTTCTCGTCGCCGCCATCCTCCGAGCGGGATTCCTACCCCTCTATCTCCTCTGCAATATTAGAGGCAAAGGCGCGGTCATCAAGAGTGATACTTTCTATCTGTTCGGTGTGCAATTCCTTTTCGGCGCCACGAATGGATGGCTGAGCAGTCTCTGTATGACAGAAGCAGGCGAGAAAGTCACAGAAGGAGAACGTGAGGCAACTGGCGGATTTATGGCTCTCAATCTTGTCGCGGGTTTAACAGTCGGATCCTTACTGAGTTTTGCGGTTGGAAATGTATGAAGACATGGCAATTGGAATGGCGTATATGGTTCAGAGCATAGAGAATGGCGTTTATTTGCGTTGGCACGGTCGGAGTTATAGATTGGTTCATCTGGATTTGCTTGGAGGTGCATCAAGACAGACAGTTTTCAATTGTGGTTATCTGTTTTTGATGTGGCATGATGGCTGTTTATTGACGTTAGGATTTTGTGGAAAGAATTTGCGCTAGTGATGTGGATAGATGTCAGGGAAGCACTTGCTTGTAATAAAATGAAGAGATGTTGTTGATACTGGGCTTTTGCAGAGGGTGTTTGTGAATCATCTGTGCGTCTTACAGGATTCTGGCTTTAGTTATCCTCTCTAGGGGGGATCTTGGAGAGGCTGAAATCAGTAGTTCGAGGGGTATCTACAGAAAGTGAAACTAGATCTGGCATCAGTACAGGGTACGTAATCCTCCACCTTCACTTCCGTGAATTCCTCGGCTGATGGTATCTTATATATCAGTATCTCAGTGCCTGGGACTTCAGAGATAGATAAGTACATCTGACGTGTAAAATTGTAAGTGAAGAGCAAAACATCTCAGAAATTGGCTGGTCTTTGATGAGGTGGCCTCAGCACGGGGTTATTTCTTTTGCTTGGTTCATCTTTGCCATTCTTACAGTGACGTGTCGGGAAGCGATTGCGGGTTCTGAGGGCAGCGATGTTGATCTCGTTCAAATCGAGATCTGTCTTCGAGTAAGTTTGTGGATGTTTTTCTTAGCTGTCCTCCAGAATGTTTTGGGAGAAGGAGGAAGGTGGAAGTTGACATTGGGGAGAGATTTTACAAGCCTGAGCGTTTCATTGATTTCTTCCCCTCGAGATCGAAACAGTGGTCTGGCAAATACCTGTAAGATAAGTATTGCTCTGTGCATCTGCCATGGCATTTGGTTCCACCTTGTCACATTCACAACAGAGGCAAGTCCTGAGGAGGTGCCCCACTTTGATCACTCGCTTCGCTCGACTCACTTCTACCAAGGCACCTTCTTTCCTTTCACTTCTTTAATTACACAACACCTCTCTTCTATTCTTAGATCTATTTCACTCTTTCAATCTATCTTGCAATATCTTCTGTTCAAATGCCATCACGGTTTCACTGTGCGGCCGCTCCTTGCCGCGGCTGAGCGCTGGTATGTTTTGATATCGATCTACCTTCACCTTTAGGAAGAAGTACCAAGTTCTGATGTACGAGCTGACTTCTCAACGTAGGTTTGCTTCAGGAAGTTATTGAGCTACAACACTGACCTACTTTGTTGTCTAGCAATACAACACCTCAGCATCAACTCGCTTGAACTCCTTCCTCATGTTTCCAAGGGAGCCATACACAGATCTATTCATCGTTGCCCTCATACATTTTAATCATCCTTCAAGAGGTCCGCTACAATTGCTATGGAGATAGACAGCGGAAGCCAGATGGGTGGTCGTACGAGTGGTTTCTTCCCTGGCTCCTCGCCTGTTCAGTTCTTACCAGATATCTCACTTCACCAAGACTATGGCTTCCCCAGTACCAATCTGAACGGCCACGCAACACCAAGCAGTATCACACATCACGCCCAAGGGGGAGTTCGTAGCTCTCCAAAGTATCTGAATACGGGATATACACCCGAAGTTGTTGGAATAGCCCCCAACCTCGATATTGGTCAAATGCCTATTCAATCCCAACATCCGAATGGTCATCTCTCGAATTTCCTCAACGAGCGGCAACAACAAATGCAGCCAAGTCCGTATCTATATGCAGTACATGGTACCTTTGAAGATCAAATGGCTCAGATCTCTTGCCAGCCAAACAGCTTACCGCAATCTACCCACTCTTCGCCATCTCGTCGATCTCCAAATGGACACATATCTCACTCGATTAGAACTGATATTGGTACACCCAACGGCAATGGCTTTCGAGATCCCATGACGAACTCAGAAACAGTCTCGCCAACCAATTTTACCCCGGCAAACACACAAATAGACCCAACTCAGCTAAGCTTCACGTCCCAAGGCGAAAGCATGATTGCAAATGGAGGTAGTTTTGAGTCTGCCCCGTCTCAAATGGATTACCCAAACCAGCAACCTGATATACAAGAAATGAACCGGCATCCGAGAGTCTGGGACAACTCTCAAGGAAACTCACAAACCGCAATGCAAGGCTCTTTTTCAAGCAACGCGGTAAATCCTCATGACTATTCCGTAAATGATAACGCGACGAACCCCACCACTCCAATACATCTTATTGACGAATCACGAAAGCGTCGAGCAAGTCCAATATCTGGCCCCGGCCCCAAAAGACTGCATGGAGCCAGTCCACTTGGCAGAAGCTTTTACAACGGTTCTCCAAATATGGCGATGAACGATAATTCAGCGTACATAAACACCAATCAAGTCAATAATCTTCCTTCAGCTCATTGGCAACATCAAGGCTCTGACTTCAAACCAGCGGTGCCAGCTGGAGGATTCGTCGCGAGTGGACAGTATGAGTTCTCATCCACTGGCCCAATTAAGGAAAATACCAGCAACCAATACCAACACGGCCCCAATCAAGCTGCTTTGCCGCCACATCATCCGGCTCCTCTTCAGATGAACCATGGCGGTCAATTTCAAGTCAACAGCAATGCAGTACCTCAAACTATTCCGCAGGCTATGAATAGACCGCAAGGATATCACTCACCTTCAAATTACCCCGGGACACAATCCAAGCCCTTTGAAAACAGGTGGAATTTCAACAATCTCTCAGATAGTACGATTGTTCCACCAGCAAATGGGCAACCGGGCGGATTATCTCGACAAAAGCAACTCGGAGATGCAATCAAATTTCAGGATTCATACTCGGCACACCAGCTACCACGTCGCCAAAATTACATGGAGCTTAGCGAGAATCGGTTTTCAGAAATGCTATTGCATGGCGATGACTATGGAGGGTCACGAACAGATCCTACCTCACGAAAGTCAAATAGGGGATTGATTGTTGAGCAACCCAGAAATAGAGACAAGCGTACCTCGCCAGCTGACGATCTGTACACAACGCCGAGTTATCTGTTGAATCGTCCACACCTGAAACCTAACTCTGGTCCATCTCTATCAAACACATCTAAGTCTCGAAGCAAGAGTGTGTCAGCACACTATGATTCTGTAAGGAAAAAGAGAAGCAGGAGTCAGGCTCGTCAAATAATGGAACACATGAGTCCTAGAGCTCGCATTCAGAATCTGCAAGCCCCTAACCCTAAATTTGCTTTCGCCGTTCAGCAGCCAGAGAAAGAGAAATTTATCAAACCCCCAGAGACTTTCGTAGACACCATGCCACCAAAAGATGTGAGTAGTTTTTTGGACACTCCAAAGGACATGAGAAATAGCTCCCCCGTTCATCAGAGTGGTTGCAGTAGGTCAGAGTCTGAAAATACACCACCATTGGAACTTGCTCTCAGAAAAGTACCTCGGGGCAAGCATCGTAAGAATAGCAAAGAGACAAGGTCAGGTTCTGTCAAGACGAAACCTGTAAAGGCCATTCCGAAAGAAAACCCTTCAACACCTGAGGGTAGAAGGGTAGATAAGCCCATTGACCTATGTAGTCCAGATTCTAGCGACAACGACTTACCTACTTTACTAGTGTCAAAGCCAATGAAAGAACGCCTCCCACTAATTTCGAAAACCGAGATAAACAAGGGAAGCAAACCTGGAAGTTATATATTTGGACTCGGAACTGGAATTACTAACCAAATCAGAAGATTAGCAGGGTTGAGGTCGGTGAAAACTGACGAGCAGAAGCGTCAAGAGACATCAGCAAAGCTGATTGCCAAGAAAGAGAAAGAAGTTGATACCGTCGAGATATTTGGGAAGGATGAGGCGCTGGAGGAGAAAAAACAGGAAGAATTGCAACGCAAGCGAAACCGCGAGAAGTCTGCAGAGGCTTCGAGACTCCGCAGAGAAATTGCCGAGCAACGAGAGCGTGAGAGGCTGCAGCGCAAGAAGGAAAAGGAAATGGAGTTGTTACGAGAGAACGAGAAAAAAGCACAAGAAATCAAAGAGCGGAATAAAGCTAGACGAGATAAGGAAAACGAGAGAAGAAGACTTGCTGAGTTGAAGGAGCGTGAGAACTTACGTCAAGCTGCGGCCAACAAGATCTCGGAGAAACGAGCTCGAGAGGAAGAGGCGAAGATACTGAAGACTTTGGAAACTCAGAAGATTGCACAAGCTCAAGCGAAACCTGCTGTTTCCACGAATGCACAACCTCTTCTAAAAGAACAGATTGCCGCTATTCCAATCCGCAAGGCGACAATTACGGATTTAGAAAGTGAGGTTGCAGGAGTATCAAAGCCGGCAGCTGAGGATGTGGAGATGGGAGATGAGCTCTTTGTGGAAAAGAATATTCCACCTACTGAAGAGTATGCGGAGCGCTAAACTGAAACAAAGCACTGCTAACGAAACATAGTACTATTGATGATGTATACGACGGCCAAACACCTTTAGCAAAATCCAAACCGACAGAACCAAGATCAGCTGCCGAAGCTGTCGCCAGAGCGAAAACGCGTGCTCCTGATACGGATAACCGTGGCTTGTGGGAGAGGATTCAAGATAGAGACAGAGAAGCGAAGGCTGCTAGAATAGCCAAGATTTTGGAGGAGCGGAGGGTACGCATAAATGCCGAGAAAAAAGAGGCAGAGCAAGCGCCTGTTGTCAAAAGACTTGGTCCAGTGGCAGTTGGACCAGCTGGTTCAATTCGTGCTCCCAAACCAAAGCCAATTGTCACACCTGCACTGCCCACTACTTCGGCATTGTTCCCGTCTTTCATTCCAAGGCCTCTAGATCAACCGATTCTAGAGCCATTGACGGCGCGAGTACCAGATATACAACAAGCGAATGCTTTTAACCGACCTACTAACAGTATTTCAGCTCCTGTCAATAAACCAGTATTTAACGTCCCTGACACGAACAATGAAGCCAAAAGAGCTGTTCAAGCAGAGAGAAATAGGCAACAGAATGAGACAGCAGCGAAGAAGCGTGAGAATATTGCTAGGACTAAGGAAAGAGAGAGGCTTGTTGCGGAAGCGAGAGAGAAAGGAGTTGTATTGTCGGAAGTTGATCTTCTGAATAAGCTCGAGGCTTTTATGGCGGCTCGCGAGGTAAGTGCCTCCCTTGTCGGTCTTTGATTATTCCCTGACACTTTCTAGGATCGAATGAAACGCGCAGCAAGAACCAAAGCCGCAAAGAAAGCAGCACAAGAAGCTCCAGGTGGTCTAAGTTTCGAGCAGCAAAACTGTTTGGATAATGATTATGACTCTGGATTGGAGGATAAAGCCGATGACAACGAGGAAGTAAAGCGTCGAAAAGCCGAGCAACAAGCTACAAAACTGAGACTCAAGCAACTGGGAGCAGAACGAAATGATCGGTTCAGAGCAAGTGCCCAGAAGACTTGTGCGGATGATGAAAGCGACTCTGATGCTTCTGTCGAGGATGGAAGTGATGATGAAGAGGAGAACGCGGAAGATAGAGAAGACAGCGAAGAGACCCTCTTCGAAATCGACCCCGAAAATCCTGCCCAACCTTCCACCACCGCTCAAACCAAACTCCATCCCCAAGCTGCCCTCCCACCCACCGATCCAGCCAACACAATGCGCATCTACACCTTCACAAAACGCAACACCAAACTCGGCATCACCGATCCCCCAGTGGTAATAAACACTTACACCTCCCTCGCCGAAGCAACCACCGTTTTCGAGGAAAAAGTCGCTCTTTGGCGAAATCAACAATCTGTTGTTACCTTCAGCGACAACGGGGGTCAAGGCCGTACAAGACGCGCGGAAATCAATTTCAGTAAGGAACCAGGATGGGAATGCGTGTTGTTCAAAATCAAGATTGGGTATAAATCGATTGATGAAGCTAAGACTCTATGTCCTAACTTCACGGCCCCAACACCGGCACGGTGTTGGTCCATCGAAAAAACCATCGACGGTCTTGACACGAAAACCAAGCCCCACAGCCTCTGGACGGATCTGAATATGGCGAACCACGAGGCTTGTAATATGCTGATCGAGCTCACGAAGCCGGATAGAGTGCGGCATATGGATTATATTAAATGGTTGGAGACGCATAACGAGATGTGCGAGAAGTTTAGGAGTCATCGGGATGAAGTTGGGAAGGAGGGCGGGGAGTTTGATGTTAGTCTTGAGGTGGACAAGGAGGGGGCGCCGTGGTTGGTGAATGTGTTCAGAGAAGTGAACATCAGGGTTGAGGAGGTTGAGGTGAAGGGGCCTTTCAGTTAGGATGATGGTGGTTGGAGCTTTAAAGACATATGATTTAGTCGTTGTGATTTTGCTGGGGAGCTCAGAAGATGAGTGATTTTCTGCCGCTGTTTCCTGGGGGGTTCGGTGAGTTTTAGAAAATGGGATTCTTGATTTTCGAACTTGATTGTATGATAGTGAAGATAATTTTATGGTGGGTGATATGTTTATTGAGCCTTTGCTGGATGAATAGTGCTAGTGTAGTATTAGGGCGACCACATACAACCCACACATTTATTCCCCACCCATATTCCACATCCACCCTCAGGCCCATTAGCACTTGCACGTGTATTCACAACCTCCCATTCCAATTTCTCACTACAATCTGAATTCCCAACACCCCTTCCCAGTCTACTAATAAATCCAATATCCCAGTAACACCCCCTACCCCCGCTTCCCACTCCCAGTAAGTAATTAAACTCTATCTCCCCAGTCCCCTATCCCTTTACCCCCTAGTAAACTTAATATCCCAGTAAACCCCTACCCTTACCCCACCACCTCTCCCCAGGAAGCAATCAAACTCTATTCTCCCCGACAAAGACAAAACTCTAATATACTATCAAATACGCGCGGACAAACCATCCTAGTCTATTTGGAAAGCTTATCGCAAAGCCTATTTCTCGAATACGAAGTAGTGAGGGATGATGCTGGTTTTAGGGTTTGCTGAGTTTTAAAGAGGGGTGTTGAAATGAGGGGTTTAGATTAAGTTTATTTTTTTTGATAAGTAGACTGTAAGGTAGCAGAGGTAATGTGATTGGTTTAAGGTAAGATGGAAATTATATCGAGTAAGGAATTTATTGATTTTTCAGGGGGGGATTCATCGCTAGATAACACGTTTTGGAGCTGTTACTGTAATTTTAGATAGGAAATGTAATTTGGTTAATGTTAAAGTACCTTGTCTTAAATGAGAGAATTTAGAGTAGTGTATTTTTCTAGTTAAAACCCTATAACTATATACCTAGGTATATCTTTCTACTCGCTAATACTAATCTACTCTTAGAAAACAAAGTACCTAGCTACGAAGATAAGAATTCGATATTTATTTCTCTCTAAACTATATACCCTTAGTCTATATTATAAATTAAAACTCTATAAGAATATAACTTAAAAGCTAAAAGCTAAAAGTAAAAACGTATATCTAAAATTCTAGTCGAGGCTTCGTTAAAGTAAATCCTTTTAACTCGCAACGTTTTTTCAAACCCTATACCGAATATATTAATTATTTAAATTTAATTTTTCCCTTCTCGACCTCTAGACCCTGCCCCGGCAACAAACACATAAGAACCCTCTACCTAAATAACTAAACATATCCTCCCTAACCCTTACTATCCCTCACTATTCTCCCCAAAACCTCGCCAGTACATTATAACATGTCTCCAAACTCCTCCCCTCCCCTCTATTTAACACATTTAACACAATTAGTTCTTAATAAAACTAATCCTAAATCTCTAATTATTATAGACCGCATCTGACAAACTCGCACAACCCTCGCTAATTAAGGTAATCTTATAAGAAATGTCAAAATTACCCTTTAAATTACGCGTATATTAAAATCTCCATACTAATAACCCCCAACGTACCATCTCACCCCTTAAAACTATATTATTCCCATCGCTATTTCAAACACCAACGCATGCCACGAACTACGGTCCCTAACCCTTCTCGCCATCCACAGACATCTTTCGATATCTACTTCAATCTAAACCAAATCTCCAACGACGCCAGAATAACAGTAATCTCCCACCCATCAAGCCCCTTCCCTAACATTCCCGCACGACCTGCTCCCAAGACCCGCCTCAAACAAATCCCACAGCCACTCAAATGAAAAATCAAAATCTATACGAATCTAGCGCAGGATATGCGAACTAGCAAGAACCCAAAACTCAATGGGGCTTATTATTTGATCAATCCGCACGGAGAGTGAGGTTTTGCTTTTCCCGCTATCTACAAGTTTCCCCCGAACGAGATACTGGAAAGGGCTTCGGGGTTACCGTTTCCGGAAGTAGATGGGTAAAGGGTTTATCGAGCAGAGGAGGAATTCTACGAATTAAGGGGTTTTTGATCGACACAACTATTAAACTTATCTCATATCCCATTACCACTAACTACTACCTAGAAACTCCATTCCCCCATCTCCCCCCACAATAGTAAAAATCTAAATATCCCCCCAAAAAGTGACACCCTTTCGAATTCCCCTAGGAAATGGCACCCGTTTCTTTGTTAATATCCGGTGACAATAAGAGCCCACGTATTCCAAGACATGGAAAGTAGCATTTTTGTTGCCATTGCCTATGTCTTGAGATATACTTTCCCTTAGCTACACAATATTAATATTAGTATTACTACCTAACTTACTTAACTAAATATACTCTTCTTACAATTCTAGCCCGTCTATTTCTCGGCCGAACAATTAACTCTATAATAAAAAACTACTATATCTAATTAAAAACCTAGTTTTTCTACTATTTTAAATAATATAATTACGTATATATTTAATCCTACTACCTAAATAAATAATATAGAAATTCTTAAATTAACTATATTTAGTATAAAGTAACTATCTTTGTATCTTCTAGAACGACTATTCTAGATAGATAAGTAGACTACCGCGACTAGTATAGTAAAATAGTAGTAAGTTCTTTAAATTCTAATATTTTCCTAGTATATAAAATAGTATTTTTAGTCTAAATCTCGTACTCTAGAATATAGCAAGGACGTAGCTTATATAGAGAACTCTAGAGAGATTTATTTAATTCTAAGTATATAATCTCTAACTCTCTCTACTATTTCATTCTATATAATATAATATTATCTATATAAATAGTACTATAACTAGTTTCTAATACCTACCTTCCTAGTTTTAGAAGTTAATTAAGATATAGAATAAGTTCGGAAAACCCGATTTATACTTAAATAATTAACCGACAATTCTCTTACCCTCCTACGATTATTCACATAGTAGTCCCCGCCGGTAAATATCTAGTCACGCTACGAATTCCCAAAAACTTCCTACACGATTCTTGAAATGCAAAGGCGTAGCTAACTCACCTACACTTTAAAAAAAAGAACTTCATCCCCCCCCTCTCGACCTCATAGTAACTTAAAACAATCCCACATCAATCCCAAAAACAGGGACCCACACCCTCTCAATCAATCTAGCTATCCATCCAAGCTTCCGAAAAAAACCCCCCAAAAACAGACACGAAATAGGAAAACGACGAAATTCTTTCTATCGCGTGTAGACGCACGCACGTGTTCTTGTACAAGTATTCGCCTACACCCAAAAACGAACGACATCGAAATCGATTCCCTCCCAAAAAAAAAACGGGCGTTTACCCGATGTTTGAAGTTAGGAAGCCGTAGGATGAGGATGAATATACGAGTTCTGGTAGATATATCGTGGGGTTAGGGATGGATGGGTAGCTTAAAATAAATGAATGGAGAAATTCGGGGGGTTTAGCTTGGAGAGTGAGATGTTGATCTTGTGTTTCGAGGTAGAGGTATCTAGGTAAATATCTAGTATTAATATTAGTATATTTATATAAAATAACTATTTATAACGATCGATAGGGTTATGAATATATAGTAAAATAGAAGAGTGTATATAGCTCTAAAGAAGGAAATCTTGATTTCCAGCCTTGGAAAGAAAACGGGGGGTGTCCTCTATTCTACGCCCGAAGGAGTGCGTGGGTGACGAATATATGCATCGATATTGAAATGAGGGCCTAGCATGAAACATCCGCAGGTAAATGTCCGATAAAGGCATTGAATTTACGAAGTATGTGCAGCTCAAAGTGGGAAATCTTGAATTTCCCATCTGCAAGGTAGAATGAGATGTTCGCTTGGAAGTGCTGGGTGACGAAGATCTGGTATAGTTATCGAAATCTCAAATGTCCATTTAAAATGATCATCCACGTGGATTGGTGGGGTAAATGTGTTGAAACATGAAGGCAGCTCCAAAAACAAGAAATGAGGATGGGATCCACATATATGGCACTCAAAGCCGGTTTGGATGTATCATTCCAGCGCGATAACGATATACCAGAATGTCTGCTGACGACTTTGTCGCCTCGATGGACAGTTTCTCATCTCACCGGGTAGATTTCAGGTATGTTATTTGATGTCGTGAATCAGTAGGTCACTTACTCTCAAGATCAACCTATGTGGAGGATGATTACTGTACGGAGAAAGAAACTCAAGACCTACAATCTCCAAGTGGCAAATACACCACAATCTGATGTTCAACACATGCCATTCCCAATCCTCGTATTCATCCCACTGATCCCATTCCCAAAGCAGAACCTCTCCACTTACAGATCAATCTCACCACGTCCGCCTCCCCGATTCGCAGCGGAGAAACCTCCACGGAAATCAATTGCAAACCGCACCACCACCACCACCCCCTCAACAGCCACAACAGACCCTTTACTGGCACGGCTGCCCCTCAGGACCCTACATGCTGCGTCGGCTGCGAGAAAGCCCAGCCCAGTATTTATGGGGTCCAGGGACCAAGCTCCCCTGACTAGGTGGGGGGTTGAGGATCGAATTGTGAGAATGGCATGTTTGAGAGGGGAAGGGACGGAGACGGGTGAGTTGCCGATGAGTGGGATGGTACGCAATGGTGTACGGTAGTTTCGTACTTGCGTACCTTGCGGGTGAGTTGTTTGACGAGTGGCAAAATCGGTATATTGTGCCGCCATGGAAATTTCAGAACGGGATTCATAGCTGAACTGTTCAATTCGGTTACTGCGGTCTTCGTGAGTCACCGAGATTCCCATTATACTTGGTATGTTGGTTAAATGTCGGCATGCGATTTAGCAACTACCGGGGGATCGTGAGTTCTGTATGGAGGGAATTGGTATGGAGAACGCAGCAGATACGTTTGACTTCAGCCCAAAATGTATGTTTTGATCCCCCGCCTGTACCTGTACCGCATCTGGACCCTTCCAAAGCGAATTACGGGGATCTGCGCCTACTCTCGGCGTCGGACTGTCCTCCAGAGATGTCCCCTCCTTTTGCTAAACATGGCATTGTTGGACCAGATGGGAATCGTTGAGACCGTATTCGGGGACTTGGGATGTGGAGATTCCCGGGATGGATTTGAGTGATCTGGATGTGTCTTTCGCAGGTTGTGAGAGGAAGGAGGTCGAATGCCAGACTGATTGACTCGTAGGAGTCGGGTACCGCTCCGCATGTTGTGCTAGGACTGTCAGAGTTGAGCGTGCAGGGCACCGGCCAAGCCATTTACTCACCGACAAGAAGATCTGGATTTCCCCGCGCGGTTCTGGTGTAAGTACAGTCGAGGAGTATGCCTTCCATAGGCGCGCTGTATAGGCACCTGCTGACTTGCGTCTACGGTTTCCCTCCGGAAATTGTACGGCAGTGTTAGTCAAGGTGGACGTGGTATTATACGCTATCCCGTACATGCGGTCTAGATCTCTCGTGTGGTCCCAACGAAGCCATCCCCGCCGGTATTTGAGGTTGTTTGAAGCTTCTTGCGAGTCCAGACTCTGTAGTCGCGTTGCCAAGACTCAGGGTCGTCGACTCCCACGGTGGAGTTCAGCCACAATGCCAGAATCGTTGCAACATCATGCCATTCTCTGCTTTTCTCTATACGTCCTGTGACAGTAACAGTGACATGCCATCCAGCCAGGTGGTTGGACGCTGACCGATGTGGAAGTCCCGTCAGGTCCGTATCGCGGTTGTCGAGGATGAGCCGCCAATGGAAACTGGACGTGGGCCACTGCTCATTCGATCTCGGCCTTTCGCGAGTCGAGAGAAGCGCATCCGCGGGGAAATGCCATTCTCGCTTGGGGGGAGACTGGGGGGAGACTGGGGAGAGAATAGAGGCATGAGTAGTATATCGAGTTAGACGACACTTTCTCTACGGAATCCGGCATGCTCGTGGAAAAAAAGATGGAAGATGTTTGTGGCACGCAGGCAGCATGATGAAAGCACATCGAGAGGGCACGCGGTGAAACACACCTCCCCACGCCTAGTCCAACCCGATGAGCCAGATGATATCACTCCCAATTCCAATGTCCTTAGCCTGCCTACATAGAGCCCAGATTGCCGTGTCTCCCACGCACGTATTTAACACATTCGCATCCCCCTCGTTGGCGGTGTTGGCGGCCGGCACAGAAACATGCGGCAGTACCGCACCATTTATTATGATTTGTGCGGAAGAAGCTCCGGGTCCACGATGGGCGATCTTGGTGTGATGGAGAAGCATGGCGATGTGCTCAGGTGAATGCGATGGCAATCAGGAGCGTACCTAGGTAACTAGGTAGATGGAATGGGAATGAGAGCGAGCAAGAGCGAGGACCAAGATCAAGGCATGGAATCAAGGCCATGCCGGTTGATCACGCTCTCTTGGGCTGGGCTGGGCTGGGCTGGTTGAGCTGGATGAGCTACCTAGGTAGGATAGAGACATAGCATCCGTCCCCGTCGTATCTGTATGGGCATCTGCTAGGAAAGATACGTACTGGTAGCTAGGTGGTAAGTACCTAGGTCCTTCCCGGTCAGACTGAGGTGATACCAATCTCACCCGGAAACTCTAATCGAAGCCCTTCCCTTGAATCGTCCAGAGAACTGACAGGAGTATGTTAAGACGTATCCTCCCGACTATAGCAAATCGACAATTCCATCCCAAAGGCCACCCAAAACCCATCATGAGAAGAGAATCCTTTTCCATCCTGTCATCCCCGCACAGCTGAAATCCCATGATTGGCGCAGACAATAAATGGCGTCGCACTGGAGTCTTCTGCTAGAGTGTTCCACGCGTGCGTTGGAGATCGTGAAAAGCAGTTTGGGATCGCGTTTTCCCATCTGGTCGGGCACTCGCTTCGTTGCTGCTCCAGTACTCGGTAGGCCCTCGACCGCCCGCCGCTCATGGGCTGCTCCCTATTCCCAGCAAGCTCGTCGGCCCACCCCCCTGGCCGAAAACCTTACCTAACGCTTCCTCTCCTTCCACCCACATCCACTCCTCCACCAAACAGGCCCGTTTCTGTCCCCGTTCGTTCGACGGTCCTTCTTTGTCTTTGCCATACACTACGAGTACTTGATCCCTTTAAACGCACATCCACAGGCCGTACACGATTCGCCTTTTCTTTCTTCCATTACTGAGCTTGGAGCTTGGAGCCTTCCGCTTTCCGCATTTCGCATTTCGCCTTTTCTAGTCATATACCTTTCCAAGCCTAGGGACTACTCACTTCCAGTTATTGTCCATCCATCTCCATCTCCACCCCTCCGCCTCCGCTAGATGCACCAGCCCAAGATCGAGCGCATCTTATAATACATGCACATGATATCGTCTTTGCCCTCGTCTGCCCCTCGAGATTCTTCCTCAAAAGCCTGCCTGCTCCCACGCGTGGCTGCCCAGGACAAAGCATATGCTGCCAGAACATCCGAATCTAACACCCAGCCCCAGCGAGATCAGCACCCGCCGTCGCGTCTTCGAGCTGCTCAAGCTCCCTCGAAGCGTAGTATTGCCGTCACTCGGCTCACGAATCATCCTGCCCCAACGGCTCTCGCCCTTGCCTTATACGATTGTGTGACGCTACGCTATCTAGCTGCCTCACGTTTCTGACGTCGACATCAGACAAGCCCCCGCGGCGAGCGACCATTTGGACAACCTCACCCGACCAGGGAAGAGACATACGGAATCGAGCGTTTCCCGTTACGAAAGATACAGCACAACCGGCGCAGGATCCTCGACACCGAGTCCACCCAAGAACTCCGGTTCGCCGACGACGACATTGGCTTGGTTCCTCCATTACATGAGCGCTCACCCTCCCAATGCAGCGCTGAGCGACCTTCACATCTCCCCCGCTCACTGGACGCGTCGTTCAGAACCGACGCTGATGGACCAGATTTTTGAGGAATTGGGAATTGCAGAATATCTCGAAACCTTCAAGGCCAACGGATTCGAGAATTGGAGCGTGGTACTGGACATCACCGAGTCGGACTTTGATGCGCTGGGAGTCAAGTTGGGCCATCGCAGGAAACTGCAAAGGAAGATAGCCAATTCGCGAGGTCTCTCACCCGATCGAGCGCTTGCCTCTCCTCGAAATACACCGGCGGAAGAGAGAACGGGCGAGGAGCAGAAATCAAGCACGAGCAAGCAAGATGGGAAGGACCGGAGTGGGACTGGTGGCCCTCAAGGCTCGAAACGAAAATATAGACGACACCCGAAAGCCGACGAAAATTGCCCAGAACGACCACCATCCGCATATGTCATCTTCTCCAATAAAATGCGCGAGGAACTCAAGGGGAGAAATCTCTCCTTTACCGAGATTGCAAAACTCGTGGGCGAGAATTGGCAGAACCTGGCACCAGCAGAGAAAGAGCCGTATGAACAACAAGCTTTTTCTGCAAAGGAACGGTATAACGGCGAACTCGCCGAATACAAAAAGACGGCCAAATATCAGGAATACGCGCAGTATCTAGTGGAGTTCAAGGCCAGACAAGCCAACCAACAACAAGGTATGCACTTCATCCCCATACCAGGCATCTTAACTAACATTGACAGCTCCGGACGCAGAAGGTTCAAAGAGACCCAAGCTGGAAGCCCGACACAGTACGGCCAGCAGTGGCACCGCAAGTAGCTCGACCAGTCAGCTGGTGACCGAAACGTTAGCAACACGAGGACGTGTTGACTCATCCGCGTCGTACGGCGCGCTGTGGCAATTGTCAGATAATTCGTCCACGCCACAACCATCGCTGGTGTCAAAGGTTGGGATGGTGCAGGCAGCAAAAGGACCGAGTCCACCCGGTACCGGACCTACGGTGTTGCCTGGGTATCGAGAAGCCATGTTTGCCAATGCTTCGGATGCCCAGCGGGAAGATTCTTCGAATTCCCATCGATTGCCCAGGCTTGCCACCATTCTTGACTCGAGAGCGGGTTATCCGAACGCATCGGGATCTGAAGAGGCCAATTCCACATCTTTAACCCAGCACCCTCACCGGACGAGACAATCTCATCCTCCATCGCTCATGACGGCTGATTCAAACAGCCGGTCCACAATGTCTTCTCAAAGTGGCTCGTCGTCATATGTGACACCGCATACACCCTTGGAGCCACCCGTCCGTGACCGTTCTCTTCCCCTTCCGTCATTATACTCGCAAAAATCAACGGGCTCATCTGATAGTCAAATTTCCTCGTTCCGCCCTCCCTCTTTGTCACCGCAATCGACACAAACCCATACACAGCAAATGTCTAATTGTAAGTATTCCACGTTAATGATGTTTGGACTAAATCTCTCTGAAAACCTTACTGATGTTCTCTTTAGTAAATCAACAACGCCAAGATTACTCTAATAAAATGTCCATGGCGCCGATTCGTGGGCTCACCTCGACCACGCCACAAAATTTGGATGGTTTGGAAAGACCGATTCCAAGAGGTCGCGATTACAAATATGACGCTTCCATTGAAGAGCCATTAGATCCGGTGAGCGCTCTTCTGAGAGCGGGAGAAATTGTGAACCAAAAAAGCATGAATCAACAGAATCGGCCTGGTACTGGTTCACCGTAATATGGGTTTCGAAGCTTCAAAACATACGCACATACATAATTCATCAGCAAATCTCGTTTTCGTTACCATGGCCATCGGCAGTCGGTTGGCTTTGGCGTTAGAAGGCATCCGGCGTTTGGGCAAATTTGGTTGAAATACGTTCAATGGCGTTGGGATACTTCTAGGAAGAAATTTACGGCAAAAATTTGATGGCCTCATGGATGGGAATATGGCCATCCGTTTTGGGCCAAATGAAGTACTAGCTTCAAGAGCATTGTTTAAAGTTTCACAGAGGATTCGAAGTATATACCCAGAGATTGTGTAACAAGCAATCGACACATATCATATGTTCTATGTCTTGAAAAGTTATCCTACCCGTCATTTAGAGGGATGTTTTTACGAGGGTGAACGGGATTGATGATTTAATGAAAATTTATAAACTGTATAAAATGTGTTTTGTGTGTTTAGTGATTAGTGATCTAGGCCTTTATAAATATACTTTCGCTTTCCGTATTGGGCACTTTTCTGCATTTTGTATCTGTGTCATGATGTCAGTAATGCACTGGGATTTCGGGTTGGTTCCTCCGGAGTGTGTGTAGGGCAAACTCAATCTTGGTCGTCAAATTCTGGATGGTTTGTAGTTGAATTAGTCGTGAGCTGAGGTGTGGGCAGGTCTCACCGCCCGGCAGAATATTTCACCCCGCCACAATTTATTAAAATGTCATACATCAGATTCAAATAAAAAAACACGTCAATCCGAGACTTCTCATTATAAAGTATTCACAATGGCAGAACGATCAAATATACCACGCGCCACTGGAATTGCAGATGGACAAGCTCCTACACATAACTATATTCCAAATCAAGGCTACGAAACTCCCACATCAGGACACGATGCACCAACTCAAACCGACTCATCTGCGGCCGGACTTACAGAATACGCTGCCGACAATGAAGACGACACATACGAGGATCTCTTCGACGACGAAGAGGAAGAATATTTCGAAGATGTGGAATACGGTGGCAATTCTGGCGATTTAACGAAATCATATAATCGACAGCGAAAAATGAATGATCAGAGCGCCACCAGTGCCCCGCGAATAAACCCACAGAGACCAGCTGCAAACACACAGTCGAGTGTGGATGATCAGATCTCGAGTTTGGCGAAACATGCGGCGAAGATTCGACTTGATGGGGGAGAGAGGCAGAAGACGCATGGGAAGGATAAAAGTGATCGTGCTACATCCGAGCAGGTTTTGGATCCGAGGACGAGGATGATACTATTGCAGATGATTAATCGCGGGGTGGTGTCGGAGGTTAATGGGTGTCTGAGTACGGGAAAGGAAGCGAATGTTTATGGTGCCTTGACGATTCCGACGGGAGATGAGGAGGCGAATCCTGTGCATCGTGCGATCAAGGTGTATAAGACTAGTATTCTGGTGTTTAAGGATCGGGATAAATATGTCACGGGAGAGCATAGGTTTAGAGGGGGGTATAATAAGGGGAATAACCGTGCTATGGTTAAGGTGTGGGCTGAGAAGGAGTTTCGAAATTTGAAACGGTTGTATCTGGCTGGTATTCCATGTCCGGAACCGGTGTATCTTCGACTACATGTTCTGGTTATGGGTTTCCTAGGCGACAAGAAAGGATGGGCAGCCCCTCGATTACGAGACGTGGAATTGGTAGGAGAAGATTTGGAAGAGCAATGGCGGGTACTTTACCTCCAACTCCTCGGTCTCATGCGAAGGATGTACCAAGCCTGCAAACTCGTCCACGCAGATCTCAGCGAATACAACATCCTCTACCACCAAAAGAAGCTCTTCATCATCGACGTCTCTCAATCCGTCGAGCACGACCACCCACGCTCCCTCGAATTCCTACGCATGGACATAAAAAACATCTCTGATTTCTTCCGTCGCAAAGCCGTTGATGTATTACCAGAACAAACGATATTCAGCTTCATCACCTCATACGACTCCCCCACCACCGACCCCGCCATGACCGACCACCTCGAACAACTCTTCGCCGATCGCCCGGAGGTCGAGGACACCGAGCAAGCGGTCGCGGACAACGAAGTCGATACTCAGGTCTTCAGACAGCAGTATATGCCGCAGACGCTCGATCAGGTGTATGATATCGAGCGCGACGCCGAGAAGATTGGGAAGGGCCAGAGGGAGGATCTGGTGTATCGCAATCTGTTGGCGGATAAGGTGCCGATGAGTGGGAATGAGGCGGATGCCGAGGATACGATTGGCGAGGAGGAGGGGAGTGAGGGGGAAAGTGGAAGTGGGAGTGAGGGGGGGAGTGAGGATGATGAGAGTCGGTTTGAGAAAGGGACGCCGAGGGGGAAGAGGTTTCAGGATCGGGATGTTAAGAAGGTGAGTTTTGATTTTTCTGTTCTTTTTCTTCGGCAGAGCTGTGGGCGATTGTGAGGGCTGTAAGGGTTCTGAGAAGTGAGGGTGTACGGGTTCTGAGAAGTGAGGGTCGCGGGTTTGATGATATGAAGCGCTGTTGAGTGGTTGGGATTTTGGCTGGAGGATTTGCGTCTTTAAATGAGGGATAAAGCTAACAATAAACTAGGAACATAAAAAAGCGGTTAAAGAGGAGAAACGCGAGAAGAGGAAGGAGAAGATGCCAAAACATCTCAAGAAGAGACTTGTTAGTTCTTCGGCGAAGCATAAGCATTAGAGATATTCCTCTTTTTAAGAGAATATATTTTGACGTTTGAAATGCTGGGTGGCTTTTTGTGAGTGAGGAAGTAAGTGAGAGGTGGACTGTGGGTGAGTGAGTAAGTGAGGGGTGGACTGTGGGTAAGTGTTTATGTCAGATGGGGCATTCATCGTGTATTGAAGAGCTCTGGGCGGTAGGGAGGGATGTCGAGATTTCGGTACGTTGTTCTCTTCTTTTCCTTCCTTTCTCCATCCCCCCTCACAATCCCTTATCTCCACTTCCCACCATTCCGACCCCAGCATCCAACTTTTCAAAAAAAAAATGCAAAACCAACACACGCTTCCCTTTTCCTCTCCCGATCGACGTGCTATTCACACACTCTGCTGCTTGGTTTGCGAATGTGAGAACTTGGGGGGTTGAGGATGATGGTCTTGGATCATGCTTCCCCCCTTTTTTTTTGTCTTTTTTTGTATTTTTGAGGGG